TGCTTCTTCAGGAAACAGCTCAATAAATAAATAAATAGAAAATCAATAAAACTTGGGATATTGTAGGCATGGCGGTGGGATTTCAGCTGTGGCGGGCCGCCAAGGCTATGCCTATGTAAGGGAAACACCGCATTAGTATGGTCAGTGGACATTGTGTGTTAAACACCAACCCAGGTCGTAACACTTAGTTCAACGGGGAGTGGCCTGCCACTCTGAAGTTGCAAGGTCTGAGTGGCATTTCAATAATTCTCTAGAGGGTCATTTAGGCACATACTGATTTAAAAATATATAAAAATAACATAGTGTGGCTTTAAATTAAACAGATGAAATGTAGAAAGATGCACTGTGCATCAGGGTTTTCAGCTTGAATTCTTTCATCTGACAAGACCGGCAGATTCTCTCAGTAACAAAAACCTAACAAAGTATGATCGAGCAAAAGAAGACGGTCCCAGGTTGTTTTGTTCAGACTTATTTTCAAGCCTTATGAGTTTTCAACAGCAATCTGCTGTAGATGTTATGATTCCATTGGCCATCCATCTATAAAAAGCCTCAACAGCAGCATCCGCTGCCGTCAACATCTCCATCGACCCACACACGCAACAATCAACAAAAGCGCGCTCAACACATCTGTGAACACAACACCCCACACAGAGTATCAGGAGTAATCTGAGATATATGCAGCCTCATCGATCAGGACTGCTCTCCCAGGAGAATTACATCATTGCTCGACAAATAGCCAATCAGAGCCCAGCAGAGAGTGACCGCCCAGTGACCCCACCTGCTGTAAATCTAAAGGCAATAACAAAGAGGGGCACACTATTCCAGTCACGTACAAGGCGGCATTGACATCTCCCTCTAAGCTAATGAGCATTTCCTGTGGCTCTGCAACAACAGAAGATGAATGAAGGCATAATTTTCCTGCTTTTACAATAACAAACATCACTCAGTCCTACGTCTTTAAAAGCAGCACATGGTGTAAATCAACCCGTCTCACAACTTAAAGAAAAGGCAGAAAAATTATTCAGCTGCATAAAATGTTCAGAAGTTAGAAGTTATACAACAAAAGAGGAATTACTACAGACTGGTTCATTTGTAAAGAGGAGGAAGAGGTTATCAGAAGGAATCTAATTTTTGTCCTTTGCTCACTTATTGTTTCCTAAAGTGTTAAATTAAGACCAGCTAGATCGGTTGTTATCACATTACCTCTCTCATTCCACACTCCTATTCTCAGCACTGCTCAGACCATCAGATGTTTAGTTATTCCTCCGCCTCCTTTAGCAATAAAGGTTGGCTTATCGCTGCACTGCTGCTGAGGCTTATGGAGCTCTGCACCGCTGAAAATAACCCGCCGGCTGCAGAAACACGTCGTGCTGCCTCCAGCCTGTAGATCAGATTTTAAAACAATTCTCACAACTAAGCTAAACACAGTATTACTGCACCTATTGTTTCTAAACAATGGAACTACATTTAATCAATGTTTTTATTATTTTTCTATCGTGTAACTGAATGTTAACCAATTTGACCAGCCAGTTAGAATATTTTAAACCAATAAAAAAAAAGCAAAAAACCTTTTTATAATTTTGCATTCTGTATTCGTTTGAGACAATGCAAGTGGTAAAATCACATACATATGTAGAAATATAAAATACTCATAATATTACTATGGTAGTGATAATGGAGTGTAATAATGTTTAACTTCAAAGATACCCCAAACACTTCCAAGTTATTTTCTTTGTTAACGGTGTGGAACACTGAAAGACATTTTTTAAATCTTATTTCTGATTATAATCGCTCACTGGTGAGTTTTTCATGCAGGCTGAACATGAAAATAGTCTCCTACACCTTTCTCCTGAATTAGCTTCTGATATAAAATAGACAATGAAACTCTAGGATTTAAAAATCTACAGATCTACGTCACACTGTCACTTGAAGTTCATGGATCACCCATCATGGCTTCAGACGAGGAAGACTGTTGTTGGTTTAGTGTCCAGGAAACAGCAGAGAATGTCTCGGCTAGTAGAAGCTAACCGTTAGCATTAGCAACTCCACCACACAGCAGAACTAATTCAGGCTTGTGTTATTTGTGGAGATAAAATATCATTATTGCAGAGAAAACGAAGTCAGTTGTAGAGTCACGTTGCTGTTAGCCAATCAGAGGTGAGAGGCCCAAATATCAGGAAATAAGGCTCCAAGTCCTGTTGTCTGAAGCTACGTTCTCCTTCAGCTGACTTCTATGTACTTCTTGAAATGGGCACAACTGAGCTACCGCTGTTGGCGGCGTCACTTCCTTCTCAGTTAATCATAAAAATAAAGAGACGTGGACACAACCATGAACAGAGACGATGGGGTCTACACATTGGATCACGCATGGGACTGTGTTGTTGAAAAGGAGAGTGCAGATGGCAGAGGGCGACTCCGTCATCTGCTGCCCGTGGATAAATGGAGAAGAAAGTGATGAAGCCAATAGCGGCGAGCTCTGAAGAAGACTGCAGTAGTCAAAACGTCATCAAAAAAAGAGGTACAACAATCGTTTTCTGTGGTAAAAAAGTATCAAGTAATGCACTTACAGACACCTTCTAAAATTCTTCTAGCCCATTAAATAAATAGTAAATTTATCTTTTTAATGACACTTTGACAAAAGTACCTTTAGCACCTATTAAATAATCAATCATAAAATTCCTTTATGATCAAAACTCAAAAACAAGGCTCTTCACTTTCAGGCTGGGTAGGTGGTCTTGGGAGGTGAAAGAAAGGTGAAAGTAAAGAAGTGTGAATTCAGCCTGTCGGCTTTATTTTATACGCTGTAAGAATTTAAAATAGTCCTGAAAAGTTTCTGCTTGCATTTAAACTATTAGATCGGCGTGTTATCAGGAGATGAGCGAGATAAACCCTCAAACTCTCACAAAAGGAACTCAGTTAAAGGGACTTTACGGACTTTTGAATTTTTATGCTTGTGATTGCCCCCTCAGGCCAAAAGCGTAACGGCAGCTTCAATAGTAGGCTCGTGCACGAGGTGCGCATGCTGTACGTGCACACTCCTTAACAAAAATAACAGCTGAGACAGTCCCGTGTGTGTGTGTGTGTGTGTGGCCCGGAGGACAGAGGACAGGAGAACATGCAGCTAATTAATTAAATCATTTGGTTCTGTACCTTTCTCTTCAGCACAGCTGACAAAGGTTTATGATGGGTCAGTCCTGCATGCTCAGATCATTCCCTTCCCTTGCTTGAAAAATTGTTCCAAAATGAAAGTTGAACCCACATCTTTTTTATCTGTGAATTCAATGCCATTCGGCGAGTCTCAAATACAAATTTGGGCATCTTACTGTAAAAAATATACCATTAATGTAAAAAAGAAACTCTAAATGAACTATGTTCACACCCAGAATCGAACCTAGGTCTTCTGCATGGGAATCAGACATCTTACAAGGTGAGCTACACTCTAATAACATTCACAGTATCTGTAACATTTATATCCTTGATGACACCTGAAACAACGTCAAACCAAAGAACGGTTCGAAGCGAAAATGGCTATTTTGTTGCTAATTTGCAGGAAATATCTAGAAGAAAGTTCTACAGAAAGTAGCTAAGGGTCCTCAGAAATGTAGCTAGCTTTGTCACTAGGCGTTAGGAACAGCGACAAAGTTGCCAAGTTGGCACTGTCTCTCTGCTGCTAAAGCTACGGATAGCAAATGATACGGGCGATGCCTGAGCGTGAACGCGCATGATGCAGCCTGCTCGACCCGAGCAGCTCTCTTTTTCTGTGATTTTACAGAAAAACAGGCAATCACAGTAAGAATGCCAGGGCTCATTCTACAGGACCAGGGCATTGCAGGAGAATGTATGAAGAAGACATTTATTATTTCTATACATGTTTTGGCTGTCAAACTTCCATAATGCCCCCTTAAGTAACTAAAATTTTTCTTCTGTACAATATTTGTTTGAAGCAAAATGAGCAGTAATTTATTGTATAATAATAAAATTAATAAAAATGTATGTAAAAAACTATGATGTAAAGAATTAATGTAAAATGTTTTAACCAAACATCAACTTTAAAGACTTTTTTATTTAAACATTTTTAAACTATGATTTAATAAGCTTTAGGTACTAAAGTGTGCTTTTCTTTATCCATCGTCAAGTCTAACAATCTAATGTCACAGTAAATGTTTATTTTCATCAAATAATCAAACTTCTATTGATAATATGACCAGTTTGATGCTTTAATGACTGCGTGTGTTAGTCCATAACCTACAGTTTAGTAACATTAACTTCTATGTTTGTGCACTAAATGATAATGGTCTATTCTTTGTTCATTAACCATTCCGTTGGCATGTTTATGACGTTTATTACAAAATCAGAAGTCAATCATATGAATTTACTTAATTTTTTTGGGCTAAAACAAACAAGATGTTTTATAAAATAATATTTATGTCCAGTAAAGCAAACATTTTTGATATATTGAGTGCTTAGACTCAGACTTGTTGTGACAGTTTACACAGTTCTTTTGTTTAAATGATTCTTTAAAAGTTCTGCGTTTATTCTTTGTGAAGCGGTTTTGAAATTTAATGAAATATCTCAGCTGCCTTCTTTATATTAAACTGTAGATATTTCATGTCATCCTTGTGTTTAATGGATTTTATTCAGCCAATAAAACAGGGGCCAATTTTCTCCCAAGCTAATTTCCATGAAAAGCGTCAACCATAAACCGTTTCTGGCTCACATCCAGCAGGAAACATTGTTTTTATGCGGCTTATCTTTTCTAATTTGTCTCTCGCCCTGTAATTTTCCGTCATCTTGCAAATAAGCTTTCTAATAAAAGAGCAAACATAAGTGACGATGGTTCTATTTTACTTTGGACAAAAACAGCTGCTACAGTCCAACTAAAACATAGATTCACTCATGATCTGAGTAAACATGAAGATTATAAATACAGGAATAATCCAGAGATGGAGCAAAGTGAAACTCAGAATTTTGGCCACCAGAATTTAGGCGCGTTAGCATACCTTGATGTAGCCTCCAGCCGAGACGAGAAGCGAGTCGTCGGGGGAGAAGTGCAGGTCGCTCACCCAGCCTCCATGGAGCGAATCCATGCCGCCCTTACTGTCTCTGGAGCAAATCTTCAGCAAAGAGCCGTCCTCGACACTCCAGAGCTGTGGTGGACAGGAAGCTTCACATTTTAACGTTGGAGCAGTACAACAATGATAACCGTGTAGCAATGCTAATATGTTGCATATATGCATGCAAAAATTTTTTTTATCAAAACTTTTGAATGCTTTGTGCACTTTTCATGACTCCATTTTTCTCCCCATCTCCTCCAGACCCATTGTCCTAGATCCAGGCCAACCATTCATTAATATAAAGCAATCATTTCCCATCTCATGAAAAGTATTGGTCTAATGGGTTGAGGTCGAAAAAGGCTGCTGGTTCCTTATTTGGCAAATTTCAGATGAGCAAAAATATTTTCATGAATAAGCAGACAGGTGAGTGAAGAAGGAATTAGCTACTGGAGAATAATTTGTGCATCCAGACAGTATATGTGCACAGAGAGCTTGATTGCACCAAATGAAAATGTTTCCTTTAAGCTATTCATAGCACTTTTCTCTTGCGGATATATTGTAATTGTTTTGTCCATGCTTACACAAGTGGTGATACTCAGGTTGTTAATTCTGGTCTTTTTCTCCTCCTCTAGACTACAGAGATTTGCTTCTATTCTGTTTTTCAATAAAGTTTAGACTGAATTTAAATGGGTCATCAGTCTCAAGCCTAAGAAGTGGTCTTGTGTTGTGTCCTCTCTAGATAATGGCTCACTTAGCCCACAGCACGTATGTTCAGGCTGTAGGGTTTGGTAAATTGAGTGCTTTAAGAGCTCTATAGATATTTCCTCTACTTATGACCAGTAAGCTGTGATACTCTATCTAAATATAGAATATCACCCTGCCTGGTCTTTATTGTGCTTTAATCAGAAGATTATAGGATTCTTTATTTATTAAGGGATTGTACACACTTTGTTTTGATTCAGAAAACAGTCGGGTTTATAAAAGTAAGAATTTATTTTACCAACAATTAAAACATGACAAGTTAACTAAGCATTTACTGTGATGGATGGAAATAGATGTGATGTATGAACCTATGTGTGAATGCGATGTTAGTCAGAACTTCCATATCTAGGAGAGCTGAGTTCTGGATGTAAAAGAATTTGGTTTGCGTTAAGCTACGAAGTTGATTATTTTCAAAAGCACATCAGACGTAATCTGTCATGTCTACTTCACCCGTTTTCGGAGACCCTCTTGGTGGATCCGAAGGTCAGAGAGGTTGGATGACCTCCAGCAGCGAAGGGCTGTAGAATACCGTGGCACTGACTCTTCAGTCCAGAGATGTCTCGAGTCATGACAGATGGATGGAACCGCACGTCTGGGACTCTGAAGGAGTCTAAACAATATCATTCTGCAGGAACTGTTTGCGGTATCAGATTCGCAGGTGCAAAAAGGTTTTGACGACGTGTCAAAAGCTTTGGTGGTTAAAGAGGATTTTTCTTCAGGTGGCCGGTCTGAAGCTTTCTTTAGAACTGAGGAATCACCAGAGTAATCTGGTTTTAATGTTCTCATGTTATGATTGTGTAGCCAACCAGAGGTTGACAAGTTTGAGGAATATTACCAAGAATCTCAGAAGCACAGCCTTCTTTGATACCGGATGCTCTGATCTGGGTAAAGGGCTATTTATGTGTCATGGGTTTAACTTAACTTTACTTTGTCCTTGTGTGAGCGCAAATGGTGATGACCTTGTCACGTAAACATGCTGAAACGTATTTCAATCACTGTAATCGTAACATAACATTCATTTCAACCTTCAATCATTGAGCACAGATTAATGAAAGCATTTCATTATATTAATTATCATAAGTAGCAATAAACAAACGTTTATTTAATGATTTTCTAGTTTATAAGTTTTAGAAGTTCATATTTAATTTTAAATCTTTTTTCTTCTGTGAAGCAAGGAGTCCTAGATAAAAGGGTGCTCTGTGAGGGATCTTGAGGAGAGAATGTTGTTGTTGACATTTCATTATCTGTGTCAGAGCTGCAGGCTCTGAGCTCCAGCTGGTGTGATGGAGGCAGGCTGATTTAGAGGGGACACATGCAGTCTCCTGTCGCCTCTTTGACCAGATGTTGGATGGTCAAACAGTACCTAAAACTGACCATTGCTCGATGTAACAAGGCATCCGATGTCTTTATTCTCTTTGAAGTTTTTAAACATGAAGGAAATGTGTTGTTGATTTTGACCTATTTAATCAGGATGCCATCTCTTCGTCATCCTAACTTACGTAAATACTAAAATATACACAACTGTAGCAACATTTAGAGCTATAGAGAATAACTTGAAGTTGTTTTTATTTTTATGAACTTTTTTGGCCCTTTATTAGCAGCGTACCACATTTTGGTTAAATGTTTAGCATATAGCTGCATGGAATCTGAAATACATCTGGAAATCCTGGAAAACCCTTTAAAGGATTAAAAGGATGCTTGGCTCCTTGGAAATAAACCCAAAAAGACGGTTCAAGAATTTTGCACAATACTGAAAATGCATAACTACAAATATCAACAAAATGACTCTTACTATCTCTCAGCTCTTAATATCAGTTAGCAGATGTTATACAACTACCATGCTTACTTGGCAATGTCACACAATACAGCTCTATTTATTTACTCTTTCACGTTTGTTTCCATAGAAACGGAGAGATTTAAAGATCTGTTATGTAACTGAACCTTATGGATTCAGTCGTTTCTGAATAATGTTTCCAGTTAGACTGATGCAGGCTACAGGCTTCACCTCTCACACTCTTTATTTTGGGTGTTTTTGCACAAACAGTTCAGACTGCAGGACCTTTGAGATCAAACCTGGCAGCGTGATTCCTCTCCTCCTCCTACTGTGTGACTCCCTTTGCCGCTCGCTCCCCAACTTCTTACACTACACCTCCTCGCGAGAAGGAGCCCTGCCTTCTCCCTTTCATCTCAACCCCTCGTGTGCGCTGCGGTAATCACGAGTAAGCACTTTATCTAAATGAGGGATGACATGTAATTAGAGGGTGATGTCTGGAAAGAAATGTTGACTGCTTTAATTGCTTTTTGTGTTTTGAGCAGGAAATTAGACGGTTTTAGGTACTGATGGGGATTTTAATGTGAAGTCATTTAACGTGTTGACATGTGACAATCACCACTCTCATTCTGCAACCTTCTCTCAGCTCTTCACCGGAAGTATTTAACTCTGTATTCACTTCAATTTAAGACTAAGACAAAGCTGGATTTTCTGAATACGCACCCGGATCTCTCCGTTGTCATCTCCTGTTGAGAGGCGTCGGCTGTCCCAGGAGAACCTGCAGCTTCTGACGCACTCCTGGTGACCCCTCAGTGTGTGTGTACACTGCCAGGACGGAATACTCCACAACTAAAAACAGAAAGTAAAACTAAAGAAATATTCATTTATGCAGGAGAGTTATCCCTTCAAACCTGCAGGAATTGATGAAATGAGGGACCAAACGTTACATATTCATGAAGAACCACTTTTCAAACCAAAGTTTTATTTTCTTACCACTATAGAAGATAAAATGCTGATTTTGGTGTTAAATAAATCAACACAGCTCCTTCTACTGACACAATGACAGTAGTCACTTTTGATAAATCGAATGCGTCTAGACGGTAGTGCCCAATGCACCCCCGTGTCCCCACAGCATCTCTCTTAATGGGTGATGTCTCACACGCTCTCCCAGCTCTGACTTTCTCATTCTCACTTTGCCCCCGTCTGTTTTTAATCCATTGTCCTCTTTAAACTCGATTTTTTTCTTCCCTCCAGTTCATTTACTATGCTGTTTGCACCCCGTGCTGCACAGAAATAACACGACTTTTAATTAAACACTTCGTTTGTCCGACAAACCATATCTGCAGGCAAATCTTTACTTTTCTGAAGGTCAGGAGAAAAGATGAGAAGAAAGAGGGAAGGAGCATTCTCCTTTATTAGAGTGCCACTCAAAGACACTCATTGCTAAGGGGTTGTGGTTTGAACTCTAGATGGATGGAAATCAGGGACTTTGGGGTTTCGTGTTTTTTTTAGACTAGCAAAGCCCCCCCACCCACCCCCAAGTCAGTCTGTGACTGGCTGCTAACAAACGTTCCTCAATTTATGATCTTTGCCAAATTCATAACACACAGTCACTGGGATGGCGGGCAACCAAATCCAAATTCCTGTGAAACTTGGTGGCTCCTGATCAAGTGGTTTAACAAATGCCAGATAGATTGGCTCTCAATTGTTTATAAGCTGGAAGAAGACTTGTCCCCAACAATTACATAACCGTTGGACAGGAGACATGGAGCGAGCAAGCGGTCGCACAACAGTTCTGTTTGAGATGGAGCTCTTTACAGAAAAACTGCATCTCAAAGTCAGGCCAAAGTCGGGCGCAGCGGTGACGGTAAACTGGCAGAATCTACAGTCAGAGGGGGAGGTGGGTTAGTAGTGGGCCACCAACCTGCTGGGCCGGCTGGCCTGCAGAACCGTGAGCTGCATTCAGACTGGACATGCACGTAGGACACACTGACCTGCAGCTAACTCACCATTCCTGCACCCATCTGCTCATCTCTAAGGTTCTTCACCTCTTTCACACACAGCAGTGCCACCATGGTTATCTGCCCCAAGTGGACAGTTAGGACGGAGGCTTGATAAAAGACGCTGGTGTGTGTGAGATAGGTTGTCCTCTCACTGGCTACACTAATAGACATATCTCATCTCATGAGTGTGTGTGTGTGTGTGTGTGTGTGTGTGTGTGTGTGTGTGTGTGTGTGTGTGTGTGTGTGTGTGTGTGTGTGTGTGTGTGTGTGTCATAGCTGAACCTTAGCCGTCTTGTCAGCAGAGGTGGTTGCAGAGAGACATCTGTCTGGTGAGACATGACAGGACAGAATGGCTCCCTGATGAGCCTGGATGTCCTGCAATCTCTCTCCCCTCTCAATGTCCCACACCTGTCAGTGAGTAAGGGACACACAGATTATTTACGGTTTGCTTTTAGGCTGCCATTTAATGTGGCGAGTGTGTGCAGATCTCACCTTCACGGTTCCATCGAAGGACCACGACAGCAAGCTGGAGTCATTCATCGAGTCAGAGAGTAAAGAGAAGCATCTGACTTGTTCCTTATGTCCCTGAAGGACTGTACACTCACCTGACTGCCACTTCCACACCTGTAGGGAGCCACAGACAGACCAGTCAACAACGGCATCATCAAAATGTGTTGGAAACCCATTAAAATCGGTGCTTTGTTAATTTAATTAAAAATGTGTTTTGATGTAATGTTGACTCTGGTGTGTTTGATTTGGACCCAAATCTGTTAGGAAAAAGTTTGGTGTGCATTGTTACTTTCATTTTAAATTTAATTTCATCTAGCTATTTAGGATAAGGACCTCATTAAAAATCAAAAGGTCAAAAAGTCTAGTTTTAAAACCATCCTCTTAGAATAATTACAAAGGGAAATCAAATTTGCCTGAGTAGCAGCAAAATGCTTCAAATAAACTAAATTAAAAAGGCTTTCTTATGCAAAAAGCCAATAGTTACATACATGAGGTTAGTCCTTGAAGATTCTGATGTTTTTCCATGCAAATGATTGAATTATTAATATTATTTATTCCATCCATCCATTTTCATCCGCTTATTCGGAGTTGGGTCGGGGTGGCAGTAGCCTAAGTCGAGAGACCTAGAGACACGGAGAAGGCATTCTACCCTTTTCCGAATCAAGACCATGGTCTCAGATTTAGAGGAGCTGATTCTCATCCCAGCTAATTCACACTCGGCTGCAAACCGCTCCAGCAAAAGCTGAAGATCACGTTCTGATGAAGCCAACAGGACCACATCATCTGCAAAAACCAGAGACCTGATCCTCAGGCCACCAAAACGGATGCCCTCCACACCTTGGCTGCGCCTAGAAATCCTGTCCATAAAGGTTATGAACAGAATCGGTGACAAAGGGCAGCCTTGGCGGAGTCCAACTGGGAACGTGCCCGACTTACTGACAGGAATGCGGACCAAGCTCTGACACTGGTCATACAGGGACCCAACAGCCCGTATCAGAGGGCCTGGTACCCCATACTCCCGGAGTACCCCCACAGGGCCCCCCGAGGGACGCGGTCAAACGCTTTCTCCAAATTCACAAAACTGGTTGGGCAAATTCCCACGCACCCTCCAGGACCCCCCTAAGGGTATAGAGCTGGTCCAGTGTTCCACGGCCAGGACGAAAACCACATTGCTCCTCCTGAACCTGAGGTTCAACAATCCGATGGACCCTCCTCTCCAGAACCCCTGAATAGACCTTACCAGGAAGGCTCAGGAGTGTGATCCCCCTGTAGTTGGAACACACCCTACGCACCCCTTTTTAAATAAGAGAACCACCACCCTGGTCTACCAGTCCAGTGGGACTGACCCCGATGTCCACATGATTTGCAGAGCTGCGTCAGCCAACACAGCCCCACAATATCCAGAGCCTTAAGGAACTCCGGGCGGATCTCACCCACCCCTGGAGCCTTGCCATAGAGGAGCTTTTTAACCACCTCAGTGACCTCAGCAATAGAGATTTGAGAGCCCAACTCAAAGTCCGCAGACTCTGCTTCCTCACTGGAAGTCATGTCGGTGGGACTGAGGTCTTTGAAGTATTCTGCCCACCGATCCACAATGTCCTGAGTAGAGGTCAGCAGCACACTGTCCCCACTATAAATAGTGTTGGTAGCGCACCGCTTTCCCACCTGAGGCGTCGGATGGTGGACCAGAATCTTCTCGAAGCCGTACGGAAGTCTTGCTCCATGGTCTCACCGAACTCCTCCCAAGCCTGGGTTTTTGCCTCGGCGACCACCGGAGCCGCATTCCACTTGGACTGCCGGTACCCGTCAGCTGCCTCTGGAGTCCCACAGGCCAAAAAGTCCTGATAGGACTCTTTCTTCAGCTTGACAGCATCCCTAACCGCCGGTGTCCACCAGCGAGTTCAGGGGTTGCCACCACGACAGGCACCGACGATCCTGCGACCACAGCTCCGGTCGGCCGCCTCAACAATGGAGGCACGGAACAGGGTCCATTCAGACACAATGTCACCTGCCTCTCACAGAACATTTTGGAAGTTCTGTTGGAGGTGGGAATTGAAGCTCCTTCTGACAGGAGACTCTGCCAGATGTTCCCAGCAGACCCTCGCGATACGTTTAGGCTTACCTGGTCTGACCGGCATCCTCCCCCACCATCTGAGCCAACTCACCACCTGGTAGTGGTCAGTTGAAAGCTCCGTCCCTCTCTTCACCTGAGTGTCCAAGACATGCGGCCGCAGGTCGGATGAAACAACATCAAAGTCCATCATCGAGCTGTGGTCTAATGGGCCATTCCCATCTGTACCGGGTCGGCCCGGGCCGGGTAGCCCCAGTCGGCCCCAGCCTGGCCCGGTTGATTCCACACATCCTTGTCTTAAGCCCATGTGGGCTGATTCTACCCACCAATCAGAGGCTTGCTCTAATGGAAGGTGTGAATGGGCTGATTCTACCCACCAATCAGAGGCTTGCTCTAATGGAAGGTGTGAATTTGCTGTCAGTAGTGGGTGTGTTGGCCCTGGTCGGCCTGAAGCAGACCCCCTCGAGAAGAGGGCTGAGAATGAGCCTTGGTTGGCCCGGAAAAATACCAGGCCACCCAGATATGTAAACAACCTACGCTACCCGGCCCGGGCCGACCCGGTACAGATGGGAATGGCCCATAAGGTATCCTGGTGACAAGAGCACATATGGACACCTTTATGTCTGAACATGGTGTTATGGACAATCCATGACTAGCACGGAAGTCCAATAACAAACCACCACTCGAATTCAAATCAGGGGGGCCGTTCCTCCCAACCACACCTCTCCAAGTCTCACTGTCGCTGCCCATGTGAGCGTTAAAGTCCCCCAGCAGAACGAGGGAGTCACCGGAATGAGCGCTCTCCAGCACCCCCTCCAAGATTTCCAAAACGGTTGGGTAGTCTGAACTGTAGTTTGGTGCATAAGCACAACCCACAGTCAGAGCCTGTCTCCCCACACGTAGGCGGAGGGAGGTTACCCTTTCATTTACCGGGGTAAACCACAACATACAGGCACCAAAATGGGGGGCAACTAGTATGCCCAACCCTGCTCGGTGCCTCTCAGTGGGAGCAACTCCAGAGTGGTAGAAAGTCCAACCCCTCTCAAGGAAACTGGGTCTGGAGCCAGAGCAATGCGTATATCTAGTCGGAAACTCAACCTCATACACCAACTCATTCTCCTTCCCCACTAGAGAGGTGACATTCCATGTGCCAAGAGCCAGCTTCTGTAGCCAAGGATCAGACCGTCAAGGTCCCCGCCCTCGACTACCACCTGTCACACACTGCACCTGACCGGCCACCCCGGCCACCAGGCGCTCGCCAACGTGCCCCACCTCCAGGCCTGGCTCCAGAGGGGGGCCACAGTGACCCACGTCCAGGTGAGGGAACACTGTTTCCATTCATATAATTCATCATAAGAGGTCTTCGGGCTGCTCTTTGTCTGATCCTCACCTAGGACCTGTTTTTCATGGGTGACCCTACCAGAGGCATAAAGCCTCAGGCAACTTAGCTCCTAGGATCACTGAGACACTCAAACCCCTCCACCACGGTAAGGTGGCAGCCCATTATTATTTATTATTTAATTATAATGTTAATTAAAATGTTAAAATGTTTTTAAGTCCTATTTCAAATTCCTTTAAACTCAAGATGCATATTGATTAAAAAAGTTCCTCTGATGAGCAACAAGACAGGATAGAATACGTTCCGAGGTAAATCCTATGTTTATTTGTGAACTTGTCAGCCTCTCATTTGGCTGGATTTGGATTATCGTTTGTGAACAGCTCTCAGAAGGTCCTACTAACCTGCTTCCATCAGGTTAAGATCTGACATTGGTGCTGCAGCAGCTTTAATATACGCTTTCTCAGCCGTTCTGCTGCAGATTTGCTGCTGATGTTAGGATTATTGTTCTGCTGTGTGACCCAGTTTAATATGTTGTATTAACTTAATTTTTAAATCCAGGTTATGACCTTTTTTTTAAATATATAATCTGATGAGGTCAAAAGAGTTTTATTACATCAATATTAACATAAAACAGGTAAGATTGAAAGTGGGACGCTTCTGGAATTCTCAGCATGTTGTAAATCTGTCGTGGGCATTTCTGTAACAGTTCTGCAGAGCTTTCTGCCTCCTGTGGACCCACACTCATAGCCACCACAGATCATTTTCAGTCACGAGGACACGTCAGAACCAACTGCTGAGAACGCCTGGACCTAATTCTTAGACTATAAATTGATGTTTATGTGCAAAATTTAAAATAACCTATTTAGCCTTTTGGTCATTATTTTTTAAAGTCTACCATCTAAGAAATAATCAAATCACCTTAAAAGACTGAATATCGGAGCAAGAGTGATGAAGAAAATTTCTGATTTTTTGACTCTGTGTGTTCTCGCATGTTGACCCTTTTCACAACAAACTTAATGTTTAAACAAGTAACTGTCTAAAACATTAAATAGTGCAAATTCGCCTGCATCAACAGTAATAATTACTCATCTGAGAGCTGAAATGCAGCTTTGTCAGGATTAGATTCTCAGGACTTTATGTTTTTCTTCATTATTGTCCATCTTTAACTCCGTAATGTGTTTTTGGTGTAGTTCTGCTTTTGTTTTAATTTCAGGTAACTATAATGTAACTTTTGTGTATTTTTTGTACTTTGTTTATAATAAGTAATTCTAAGAACTCGTGTGTATACACAAGCAAGTAACCTGTGTTTGAGTCATATATGTTCTTACATTTTATTTTGTTATAAATAAACAAACAAACAAATAAACAAAAAAATAATGTTTTAGAATTTTTTGTTTCTTAAGTATTTTGGATGTTCAGAACACAGGCTGGGAGTATAAAGGGTTAATCCAGATGAGGTAGATGTAGCAATTATTACATATTAATATGACTGATAAGATGTGATTTTCCATATAAATATGAAATATCAATCTGATTGATCTTTGAATTAATCAGAAGATTATAGGGTTCTTTACTTCTTTAGGGACAATAAACACACTTCGTATTAATTCAGACAGAGTCACTATATAGTATATAAAATGAATTTAATTCTTTTTCCTAAACTAATGATACATGACAAGATGTGATGTGGCGGATGTGAGGTGTTGTGATGGAAGCTAGATGTTGTAGCAACTGTTCTTTGTATCTGAGAGAAAATGTGAAATCTGGGGGTAAAAGAATTTGTTGTTTGTTTTAAACTAGGGAGTTGTTTATTAAAAACAGCATCAGACGCAATCTGCCGTGCCAAGTCTACGCACCCTTGGTGCGGAGGTTCTCGTTCAATCCGGGGGTCGATGGTCACTGCCAGTGGAGTGAACCTCTGATATCAAGAACCCGTAGACAGTTCCGATAGGACATGTCCAGTCTGAGATCCCTCATGGTGAAGGCCGAAAGCTGGAATGCTTATTTGCGTCTAAGGTTGATGTTTGCTTGGCTCTTAGAGAGCCGGTTGTCTGGTATCAGCCGCAGCGTTGCAGAGAGGCTTTGACAGGAGGTCAAAGGAGAAGATGGTTTCAAAAAGGCTTCTTTCCCGAATTGGCTGGTTCGAGGGTCAGCGAGAAACCGAATTAATCGGGAAGTAAGTCTTGTTTTATTAAACTACTTAGTTATGATTTCTGGCCAAGTTTGGCCAATCAGAATTTGACACATTTCTGAGTATTTACCAACATCCCTCAGAAAGCCACGACCTCGTTCAGATACAAGATTCTTAACACTGAACAAGAATCTTTAACCTTATGTGAGGTGTAGGAGTGTAAACAATGATTAAGTTGTTAAATCAAACACATACTGATTTGTGATATAAATGGATCATTGTAAGAACAATATTCATTTTAAATTCATTGATTTAAGCACAGATTATTCAAACATTTCATGTAAACATCTTGTTCATTCATCACACATGAATATTGTAAGCTCATGAGTTGTAAAATCATGGAGTTTTCCCTTATTCAGAGTGAAGAATGTTGACGTCTGGCATTCACATAGTGAGTGCAAGAACCTTGGGTGAGAATGTTTGAATGTTTTGTCTTCATGGTATGTAAACAAGCACTGCAGAACCTTCTGGGTTTGGAAGGCCAAATAGAAAGTGGCCACTATGTAGGTGAAAATTGACCCTTTTGGTACGTTACATAGATAAATGCCCAAATCATCCATCAATCGTGGACTAATGCACCATGTTGTCGTTTTTCTCCAGCCTCGTGTCTGAAGGTTAAACCTTTTCACCAACAAACGTTCCCTCTGTGTTTGAATTAACATTTCCATTTCCTAGCAAGCACATGTCAGGCAGCATGAGTATTTTCTAAATGAGAAGGATGCTCTAGGAGTGATGCTGCAGGCAGCAGCAGCAGCATGAATACAGAATGAGGTGCTTTTGCTGTCGGGGAGCGAAGGAAGTGCTGCAGTGGACAGGTCTGTGGGCAAAAGAAGAGATGAAGAAGAAGGAGAAGAAAGAGACGAGAAGGGGAGCAGAGGAGAAGGAAAATGAGCAGCAGAGCATGAACGCTGAATGTTGACGGAGCGTAACGGCCCTATGCACGCACACACACAAATTCTAACACAAACAGTTGCATGTGGTCAACACGGGAGCAGGAGGCAGATGAAGAGCTACCGAGAGTAGAGAAGCTAGAGGTGGAGCAAGGAGAAAAAAAAAGAGTAGACAGAAGAAAGGGATGAAGGATGGAGAGGTGAAGAAGCCGACAGGGAATTAGGGTGAGTTCAACAGGTAGGGGAAGGTGAAGGCACTGGAGACCCAAAACACTGAGGATGAGTGGTTCCCCACAGCTGGGATTTTTATTCAAGGTGAGGGATCGGATTGGAGGAAGAAGATTAATCAATACCAGAGGAAGAAAAATGTGAAGCCAGGCAGGGGAGGAGTTGAATAAAAATGCCATTAAATGGGGAGGAAAGGAAGGTGAAAGATGGATGAGGGGCAGAGTGATGAATGAGAAGGAAAAGGAACAACCAAGCAGAAACAAGCACGAGTTATAAGGAGAAAGGAGGAGAAGTCTACCCTAATGGTGGTGTCCTCGGAGGATGTGATGAGCGTTTGGCCGTTCAGGCTGAAACGACAATGGAGCACAGTCTTGGTGTGGCCCTGCAGAGTGGCCAAATGCTTCCCAGAAGGTACGTCCAGCACCTGGAAGGACAAAACAAAAGAAAAAAGATCAGCGAGACTCAAGTAAACAAGAAGCAAAACGAGGTGGACGTGTTTGTAAAGCTCGCGGAGATAAGTTTAATAAAACATTTGTAGCGTCACGAAGGTCCTCTAATTTGTGACAAAGGTCACATTTTCCCAGCTGGGTCGACTGTAACTTTGCCCCACAGATTAAACAAGCGAGGAGCCATGATGTCTGCTGAAAATCATCTTATCTGCTGCTGTTCCGTCCCAGATTGAAGAACACTTCAAGATCACAATAATAATTTCAATAATAATTTTAATAAACTCTGACTTTAGTACTGTTTATTATAATCATCATAAATAATCTCTTGGTTCACTATAAATGTATTTTAATTACTGAAATGAATTATTATGCTTTGGGTATAATAACCAGAAAGTCATCTTCCACTTTATCCATCCAACACAGAGGGTATCCAGGGTAAAAGTAAACTGCCATCACATGTCTTTGACTAATGGCCAAAGCTTTCTTGCTCTGAGAGTGGGCGTGTTCTGAGGGGTTTGTTAAAACTAAATTTCCAGCAGCAAAAGTTCAGTTCGTGAACCAACCACCATCCTGAGGATAAGGGAACGGCCGCCCTGAACCTCCACCTGCTGTTCTGTCACGCCGATAGAATAGCTTTGAATAAACGCACGATAACCAGCTGACGCAAAACTCCTTCAGAGTTATTGATTTTTAAGTAAGACGCAAAACTCCTTCGGAGTTAAGCCAAACGCTCGACACTGTGTACCCTGCGACATCTCTGGACCAGAGGATCGGTTCTTCTCGCGTCTTCTCTACCGGACCGAGTACCCTGAGGCTGACAACATCCTCCTTGACCTCCGGATCCACACAGAGGGTCTTCTTGCTGGGTGAGGTAGCACACAGATTGTGTTTGATGCTGTTTCTATAATTAACAACCGAGTTAGCTGCAAAACCAGAATTTCACCCAGGATGAGTTCCTCTCTCTGACAGAAACCTTCTGAGAATCCATTCATGCATACAAGCTCTCATTTCATTTTAGCTTTCCATCCAGACACAGGTAAAGCTTTTGATACCAAGTTTTAATATCAAAGCTGGTAAATTGTCAACCAAGAATTGTCATTTTTAATTGTCCTTTAAATTGTCATTTCAAATTGTCAAGTTTAAAATTGTTAGTAATAAATTCTTCATTTTTAAACTCTGCCTCATCTTTGAAATGAAACACAGAAAGGTATAAATATTTCTGGTTATTGAAAAAGCAAAGATTCCTAACTTCTGATTCAAAAATAAACTTTTGCTATTAAATTTAATTATCTTAAATTAAACATTAATCTTTGGATTAAATATAGACCAAGCAGGTCGGTGTATGAACTTCTATCGATTATATAAGTATCCTGGATATTTATACATGATATAGGCTCATATGCTAATGTGCTTGATCATTCTCAGAATCTAACAATTGATAGCAAACAGTGTTGATTCTAGAATGTAGAATACGCTACACATTTGAGATGAAGTAAAGGTGGGGGGACCAATAGTGATAATGATGATCTGAATGAACAAAATCTCGTTTCAGCACAGCCCGTTAAAGAGCAGATGTACAGCAAATAAAAACACGTAAACAGGATCAATATTACGGACACGCAGCCACTTCACGGCACGTCCATAAGGTTCTGCCAAGGTAGAAGAATCAGGGAGGGGGGACACGTTGAAACCATGGGAAGGTGTGTGTGTGTCTGTGAAATGTGTGTTTGCATTAACATGTGGCGTCAGTAATAAGTGAGCTTTCTCTCATCTTGGATGTAATGGTACGAGCTCCGGGCGGATTGTTCATAGGTCCATGTGAGCCTTCAAGGCCGACATGCTGGAGCCAACTCGGATAAGCATGACGATGACAATGATGATGATGAAGTTGGGCATTTATAGAAAAAAAGAAAAGAGAGTTTTGAGTGTAATTATAGTTCTGTCTGGCCAAGAAATGACAGACATGAATGCAGGAGAACGACGTTCTGGGTGAGACTTTTTTTAGTAACAACTTCCTGAGAGGGAAGTTTATAAACATTAAATGTTGACTAAATCAGCTGCATGCAACATTATGGCCTGGAGACATCTGCAGGCTGTAAATGAACTCTGGTTAAACAAGGACACACTGGTAGCATGGCTGGTTTCTTGGTCCTGTTGGATTTCTTCAAATACAGTCACATTTATTACATCATCACTGCTAGTAAAGCCTCAAAGGTGAGATGTGTTTAATGCATGTTGTCCGAGCATGTTAGTCAGCAACGCGGTGAAATCATGAAAACAAAGAAAGATGAAAATTCATCCAACAAATAAGTGGATGGCATCATCTGGTCCTTGTAGGATGTGATTATTAAGATATGGATGACATTAAAATCTAAGCAGCAGTAGCACATAGTTATATTTGAACAGTTATGGACAATAACCACTAGAAAAGAAATCTGGAGAGGGTTGAAGGTTCTTTTCCTGTGAGGGAAAAACACTTAAAGTGCAGTTAAAAGTCTTTCATCCACTACAGATTTATTAAGTTTTTGCTTTTTCTCTCTCCAGAGAAAATGTTTCAGTTCAGCAGTAAATTTCATAGACTGTAATAGACTCTAATTTCCCTCTGGGATTAATAAAGTATCTTTGATTGAAAAGATATCAAAAAGCAACACATAATGACTCATTCTAAAGAAATAAAGTACACAGAGCAACGTCTAAAGCTCTGCAGGCCTCGCTTGGTTAAGGTCAGAGGTCATGATTCAACAATGCATTTTACCATGCAGGGTTAATGACCATTAGAACAAAAAACACCAATGAGTTGTTAAAAAAACATTTAATGCGAAGGAGGTTACATTTTAGGGTGGATTGATAGCTATGTTCCTGGCTAGACCGCTGCTGGATGCCCTCTCACCATGCAGTTAAAAAATCCTTAAATATAATAACATTAAGTAAAAAATTATTAAAAGATTAGTTAGATTATTTCAAGAAAATCAAGGGGGACAAACTAACGTTTAGCATGGTACGCGTGAGTGTGAGAGTCTAAGAGGCGTTTAAGCTGGAGAGGTTGAACGGTTAAAGCATAAGAAGCCTTAAGGCGAGGCAGCCATGTTTGTCAAGCTTCACATGCTGGAACACAAGTTTTAAACGCTGTGTGGGAACATCTCAGTGTGTTTTACACTTCAGGTTAATGAAGAAGGTAAAAACAGAAAACAAGCCAAAACCACAATGACTGAATTACCTTAAAGTCAAGGAAACAAAAAGGAAAATACATAAATTAATAAATAGAGGGGCTGATGGCTGCTAAAGAGGCATGATGAGATATCTTCAGCACACAGCAAAGTTTTTTAGGTGGTTCAACCACAGCCTAAATTAAAACATTTTGAAAGCTCTGAGATGCAAACGCCGCGTCATCTCTAGCATACAATACCCACACTCTGCCTGAGCTCTGAGCGACCGCCACCACCGACCCCCAGCAGGAGGTCAGCAGTCGACGGATCCTGCAGCCAACAGTCCTCAGCACCTGCCTAGCCGTCGTGCCTGGCACCTGGCACACAACACACCGACACACTTTTTATTTATCAGAAACATGGGAGTGACTTTCTGTTCTCGGCTGTTAATTTCTCTCCAGTTTGACTGCAGCAAAAAAGAACCTTCACAAGATTACTGTTCATTTTCTCTTAGCATGTTGATTATAAATAAGCCAAAGTGAGGGGGAACAAATATGGATGCAATGCAGTAATCTGCAGCTCTGAGCTAAGACAGTGTTAGATGACGCCACCTGATGTCAGCACCAGGGAGGACAGCATATCCAAGCCTAAAGCCAAATACAAACGTTAAAAAGACGGCTGGGGTCAGTTATAATAATCTAAACCAGAATCAGAACTATGTGCCTCACAAGTAAACTAAAACAGACATTTCCCCAATTTTTATTGTAAATGAATCATCTACAAAAACCACTGATAGTCTGAAAAAGACATTACTGAAAAGACAATAATTAAAATATTATGTACAGTTTTTGTTTTTGTATTTTGCATTGTTGTCTCCAATATATGAATTTGAGGTTTAATTTTTTTTGGCGGATTTGTTCACAAAGTGATGTAACGGAGTTCCTGTTTAGTGATGCAAGAACTTTTACTAAATTAGTCCTAAATTCTGACTCAAATCAGAAACTATTCTAGGATATCTTAACTTTATGTTTTAAAAACTGTTTATCTTTAAAGGTGTGGTTCACTCATTTAATCAACACATTTGCAGTGGTCTCTAGTAGGAATGAATGCCTTGAAATTCGATACTGGTGTTCCATTTCCAGGAACTAGTAGTGACCCTAATCACAGCTGAGCTTCGGACGGCAGGATTTGGAGTCTTATGACTTATGGAGTAATGATATTTGGATATCTCGTCTCTGACTGGAAAACAGCAACACAACTCTTGCACTGACTTGCGACGTGGACATTTTAAAGTTGAAGTACCATTAGTCATCATCACACAAGGGTGAAATTACATCTCCAAATCCGACCCATACCCGTGAAGAAGAAGAAGAAAAGATCTTTTCTATAGCGCCTCTCAAGATAAAAACCACGAGGCGCTTCACAAAACCAAAAAACGTAAAATATAAAAAATAATTTAGAAAATGATTATAAATATATTTTAAATGAGCAAAAGTAGACAATTGTGATAAAAAATATTAAGAAAGAGAGAGAGTGAATAGGAAAGAGGGAAATCAGTGGATCCTGAGGAAGGTGGAATAGGTGGGGAGAGCAGAACAAGGCGAGGGTGATGAAGGTCACACCAAAGCCAGCTTGAACAGGTGAGGTTTCAGCTGTTTTCTAAAGGAGACCACTGAGTCCACTGATCTCAGGCTCAGGGGGAGAGATTGAGCTGCAGCAGTGGCCGCGCTCAGGAACTATTGGCGCTTTCACATCTGGGCCAGCATGGACCAGACTGGGTGGCATCGGTCCGGGTCCCGCACCGGTAGGTTTTGTTCACACACACTTCCAGGAACGAGAAGATAACCAAGCACACTGTGTGTGTGTGTGTGTGTGTGTGTGTGTGTGTGTGTGTGTGTGTGTGTGTGTGTGTGTGTGTGTGTGTGTGTGTGTGTGTGTGTGTGTGTGTGTGTGTGTGTGTGTGTGTGTGTGTGTGTGTGTGTGTGTGTGTGTGTGTGTGTGTGTGTGTGTGTGTGTGTGTGTGTGTACGCTCCTCCCTGCAATGAGGAGAGATGCAGCTTCAGTCTGAGGCAACGCTGACTTCTCAGTATCCAGAATGATAATGAATCGTGCATGCGGGAAGCTCCCGCTGCTTGATTCTCTTCGCCAATCGGAGACTCCCTCTAACGGCAGGAGTGTATTTGAGCCGGCCAATCAGTTGGTAATGGGTGTGTTGGACCTGTTCAGCCTGAAGCTGACCTCCTTGGGATGTGGGCCAAATAACAGACTAGTTGAGCGTGGAAAAATACAAGGATACCTAGATATGAACACTTTAAAAGCTACCCAGTCCGGTCCGTGCTGGCCCAGATGTGAACGCACCATAACTGACCTTTCGCCAGCCTCGCCCCCAAAATGGCCATTGTCCAGTCACATATCATAGCAACTTGTACTGTGTGTACATGTTAGTTAACTCATCAATATTCATGACATGCAAACATCTCGACCCCTAATGGCTAACAGCAATGCAACTCTCCCGCTGCCTCGATTGTGTTCTCGGCTAAAAATAATGCAACGCTGATGCGTTTTCTCCACAGATAACACAAGGCTCAATGTTTGCCCGATGGGGGTTGAAGACATTTTCACGTTCAGCACGAATACGCAACTCAGAGTGACCGATCGTGTGTCAAAAATAACAGGTGTTACACAATTTATAAGTGAACCAAAACCTTTAAGCATCTAGATAATCTGGTAAAAATAAAAGAGCACTTGTTAAAAACTCTCCCTCTTTATTTTGCACTCTAATTCTTGACATTTGAGTTCACTAGATCAAATGACCTTTGCTCCTGTTCCATTACAGGTGCTGGCCAGTAAATTAGAATATCATCAAAAGGTTGAAAATATTTCAGTAATTCCATTCAAAACGTGAAACTTGTACATTATATTCATGCAATGCACACAGACCAATGTATTTCCAATGTTCATTACATTTAAATTTGATATTCATAAGTGACAACTAATGAAAACTCCAAATTTGGTATCTCAAAAAATTAGAATATTCTGAAAAGGCTGAATATAGAAGACACCTGCTGCCACTCTAATCAGCTGATTTACTCAAAACACCTGCAAAGGCCTTTAAAAGGTCCCTCAGTCTTGTTTTGAAGGCACCACAATCATGGGGAAGACTTCTGACTTAACAGCTGTCCAAAAGACAATCATTGACACCTTGCACAAGGAGGGCAAGACACAAAAGGTGATTGCTAAAGAAGCTGGCTGTTCGCAGAGCTCTGTGTCCAAGCACATTAACAGACAGGCGAAGGGACGGAAAAAATGTGGTAGAAAAAAGTGTACAAGCTCTAGGGATAACCGCACCCTGCAGAGAATTGTGACGACAAACCCATTCAAAAATGTGGGGGAGATCCACAAAGAGTGGACTGCAGCTGGAGTCAGCGCTTCAAGAACCACCACGAGGAGACTCATGAAAGACATGGGATTCAGGTGTCGCATTCCGTGTGTCAAGCCACTCTTGAACAAGAAACAGCGCAAGAAGCGTCTCGCCTGGGCCAAGGACAAAAAGGACTGGACTGATGCTGAGTGGTCCAAAGTTATGTTTTCTGATGAAAGCAAGTTCTGCATTTCCTTTGGAAATCAAGGACCCAGAGTCTGGAGGAAGAGCGGAGAAGCACAGAATCCACGTTGCATGAGGTCCAGTGTAAAGTTTCCACCGTCAGTGATGGTGTGGGGTGCCATGTCATCTGCCGGTGTTGGCCCACTCTGTTTCCTGAGGTCCAGGGTCAATGCAGCCGTCTACCAGGAAGTTTTAGAGCACTTCATGCTTCCTGCTGCTGACCAACTTTATGGGGATGCAGACTTCACCTTTCAACAGGACTTGGCACCTGCACACAGTGCCAAAACCACCAGCACCTGGTTCAAGGACCATGGTATCCCTGTCCTTGATTGGCCAGCAAACTCGCCTGACCTTAACCCCATAGAAAATCTATGGGGTATTGTGAAGCGGAGGATGCAATACGCTAGACCCAACAATGCAGAGGAGCTGAAGACGACTATCAGAGCAACCTGGGCTCTCATAACACCTGAGCAGTGCCACAGACTGATCGAGTCCATGCCACGCCGCATTACTGCAGTTATTGAGGCAAAAGGAGCCCCGACTAAGTATTGAGTGCTATACATGCACATTCTTTTCATGTTCATTCTTTTCAGTTGGCCAACATTAGAGAAACAAACATTTTTTCATTGGCCTTTAGAATATTCTAATTTTCTGAGATACCAGATTTGATGTTTTCATTGGTTGTCACCTATAAATATCAAATTTAAATGTAATGAACATTGGAAATACATTGGTCTGTATGCATTGCATGAATATAATGTACAAGTTTCACGTTCTGAATGGAATTACTGAAATATTTTCAACCTTTTGATGATATTCTAATTTACTGGCCAGCACCTGTAATCCTTGCATCCCTTATTTCTGTGGTCAGGATTGAGAGAAGAGCTGTAATTAAAAGCATTAACTCCTGTATTCATTAGGGCTGCAGGATCTTTTAATTAATTAGTTGCTTTCTGCTGCAGGATGCTGGCCTGGCCGCAGCGCTGCCGTCTCAGGGGACTGTGGCTGATAATAGGACTGTAAAATACTGAGACGGCCTAACATACAACACACTGGGGCATCTGCAGTCACACATTACCTGCAGTAAAGCATGACTGAATTTCAGAAATTAACAGCAAAAAGAGAACAAAGGAAGAAAGAAAACACAATAAGAGAGAAGGGTGTAAGGAATGTCAAATAAGAGCAGGAATGAAGAAAACTGGGAGTATCAGGAAACATCAAGAGGGAAACATGGATAAAGGATAAATTTGGAAAATAACCTGAGATTCAGCTGTTAAAGAAAGAATAAATAAAATGGCCTGTATTTATATAGCGCCTTCTAGGGTTCAACAACCCCCACAAAGTGCTTTACAACACAGTCATTCACCCATGTACACACACACACATTCACAGTAAAGTATGTTTTACCTTTTTCTTCTCAGAACAGTTTTTGTTCTTAAAGGTTGAATATGGAACTATTGAATAAAAAGCCATTTAAAAAAAACTCCATGGGGCGCTTAGTTGAGGGGACAGTTTTTCCTTTAAAGGCTATATCTTAATTAAAAAAATGATCTAATATTAATTTTGATTACACTGGGTGTATGTTTACATCCACCAGCCAGTAGAGGGCACCATTGCAGGTTGCTGAATACTAGTTAACCAGTCTGCTCAGCACAGCGGGGCTGGCACTAGCAGTGCCTACACCACGCTCAGGACAATCCAGACTCTTCTCATGCATCGTTCCACAAATGTGGAATGACCTTCCAAGCTCTACCAGAACAGGAGCTTCCTTTTCAATTTTCAAGAAACTCCTGAAGACCCTGCTCTTTTCAGAGAGCATCTTCTAAACTAGCATCCTCCCTGCACCCGTCCCCCCCTCTACTGTCCACTCCTTTGTTCCCTCCTCTCCATGATTGATGTCAAGTTGTTGTTGTTATTGTTGTTGTTAGCCTCAAGGGCAACATGCCGATTATCACTTGTAAGTCGCTTTGGACAAAAGCGTCTGCTAAATACATAAACATAAAATGGCGGACTTGGCAAGACAAGCAGCTGCTTCTGAGCCCAGACGATGTTCCCACTTTAAATATTGTTCTAAAATAAACGTTTTAGTAGAAATGAGTCCTTACCCAGTATGATTCATAAATGGACATGGTGATGGCTGGTCAATTCACATATCGGCAGCATACCTGGTATCCCGATGGCTGGAAACCGTGTTCTATTGTTGCAACTAATACCTCCACACACTAGATGTCACTCTGGTGTTCGTGTTCCATATTCAACCTTTAAAGACCCGTGTTTGACCTGCTACAGGTAAACGAGAGTTTGGTTATCTGCGTCAAATCTACTGTAAGTCCGTTGAGAGCAACTGTGGCATTTTTCGGTGCGAGATCGACTAGGACCATAAAAATGTTTACTGGAGATGTGAAGGTGCAGCTGAGCGCGTGTGTGTAATCTTACCTGCACACTACCGCTCTCTTGGCCCAGCGCCACAGCAGAGGGATGCCTGGACAAGCAGGTACACCTGATTCTGGACGACATCTCCTCTGACTGGAACAGCACCGATGATGTTCTCCCATCACGCACCTGACACCAACACACACTCATGATGTTGTAACTTATATAAACTTATTAGACACTTCAACGGGAAACAGTCCAGTGTCCTCCAGACTAACACAAGGAACCTTCTCTGCTGCTCACCTGCAGTCTGTTGCAGTTGTCTGCAGCCGACACAATGATTTCTTCATTATTGAAGAGAACGTCTGAATCTCTCTTCAAGCCAATGGCTGAAGATGTGTGGACCTTCTGGGTCTCCCACAACTACAAAACAAGTAAAGCAAAGCTTGACTAGAAAATAATATGAAAGCATGTTACCTCTTGGTTGTCAGAAATTGATTTAAACATCATCAACATTATAGAAAAGTACCAGTCAGACTGCAGAACTCATTTTTGCAAAGAATTCACTCGTTAAAATAACCAACATCTGTCTTTCAGCAAGGCTGGATCTGCAGTTTGGACCTGAGCTCTCCCATCGATCTGTGCTCCTCTAAATCACATGTCAGACTCAACGCTAGCGGAGCATTTTTATGTGGCCCGCGAGATAAATATCAAAAATATGTTTAAACAGACCCGCTGGCTGATTTAACTACAAAGACTACAACTCCCATGATGCTTTGCGGCATTAGCGCGGAGCCGAAGCGCCCCCTCCTTTGTGTTTTTTCCAGCGTCTGCTGCCGGTGTCTGCAGCTCCGTTGTCTCGGACAAACTAAACACTCCTCTCACTCAGCTCCGAGTTTACTCAGCTATTTTCTGACGTTGAAGCTCAGAAACGGAGATTTTAACCGCTCAGTAATGTGTTCACAACTGAAACAGAACGTTTTCCAGCTAACTTCCAGACAAAGCTGATATAACTCCAGCGAGCAGCGACACGCTCAAATAAGCATGACTCTGTGGCTGCTGTCGTTTTTATTTTTCCTCCCCGACACACAACAACGTGGTCAAGCTGCTCATACATGTTCATCAGCATAAACCTATGTGAGCACCTGTTGTCATCTAATGTCATTATTATGATGAAGATGAACAAAACAACAGGAGTGTCCTCCTCAGCTCAGATCAACCCCACGATGCAGGTATCTGGCTGGAACAGGTGAGCATCACAGTAAACCAGTGGAGCAAACTGAGCTTTAAATATGTTGGTTTCTCTTTTTCTGCTCCAAAACATGAAAGTTAACAGGTGAGATGTTGCATTTTCATTTAAGATTAAATTATATTTTTATTTTGTTGTTGGCCCGTGAGAAAAGATTTAACCTACAATAAAAAAGGAAGTGGAAAGGCTGCAGATAGATGAATAGAATAGAAAATCCCTTTATTGTTCCTCAGTGGGGAAAGCTAGATGTCACAGCTGCGATGACACTTATTACAGGAGAAAAAAAGGAGAATAAAAAAATAAGAAAAATGAATAAACAACAAGAAAACATAAATCCTGAATAGATTTAAAAAATGCTGAATATACCACAAGTAATGAATACCACTGATGTGTTTTATTTAAAAATGACTTGCTCGCAGAGGTGGAAAGAGTACTAAAATTTCCTACTTAAGTACCAGTACTTTGATAATTTTTTACTCAAGTACAAGTAAAAGTACTTGCCTAAATTTTTACTCAAGTAAAAGTAAAAAGTACTGTAAATAAAATGTACTCAAAGTAAAAGTTACTCAGTTACATTTTTGTCAGCGTAAAAATGGTCACATCAGTGCTAAACCACAACACCAGTTCACAACACGCTCGTGTGTGCACGCACACACACGGACACATACACAGTTTGATGGAAGGATTTCTATCCAGTCAGTGAGAACAGGACGTGCTCATTGATTGGACGAGGTTTTTCTAGGATTGTACGTTTCAATTGTGATTAAAATTATTCTTTATTTTGAAAAAAAAGTTAATTTTTAGATGCCATCAGCCTGTGAGGTATCTCAATGTTTTCATGACAAAACTCTAACATGAGACTGAGCTCTAACCTGTCACATAACAACCTAAATGAATGTCTGGCGCGCGCGCTCACACACACACACACACACACACACACACACACACACACACACACACACACACATCATGACTAATTTAACTACACTGAACTGCTTGTGTAATAATTGAATCTCTTATTCTGGAGTAAAATAAAGAAACAAGCTAAATCATCACATATCTGTGGCATCAAGGAGCATCTTCTGAGTTCAAACACAGGGATGGAGCACAATGTTTACACCTGAACAGTATCAGGATGGTTTAACTCACAGAGGCCTGCAGGTCTTCTGTTTTATGAGCAAAGCGCTGATAATCCGCTTGTTATAAGCGCTAAACGTTATTTTGCCGCTTCAGCGCAGAGCGGTAGCGAAACACATTTCAAGCACGGAGCCGAGTCCGGCTACCGAACCGAGCAGAATTCTGATGACGTCACACCGGTGCGCGAAGGTGCGGGTTCCAACCCACATGAGAGGAGGGAGAGAGGAGGTAAACAGCGAGTAGATCACAGGGACTGAACTGATGTTTTTGAGCAAAACTGCAGTAAAAATGGCTGTTTGTCCTCATCATCAAGTGTACCCTCCACACGGTTTAGACGCGGTGCTCATGCAGGTGTCTCTTTCTGTTCCGATGCTGCTACACGTAATATTTTTAATTTACTAAGCCTACAATTTATTTTTACTCAGTAACGGTATGATTTAAAATGTAGCGAATTACAATTCTTTTTAAAGAATGTACTCAAGTAAAAGTAAAAGTACAGATTTTAAAAACGACTTAAAAAGTACAAATATACAAAAAAGCTACTCAATTACAGTAACGTGAGTAAATGTAATTAATTACTTTCCACCTCTGCTTGCTCGTGTGTAATTTGGTTATTCCACATTCAGTGTTAATGCAAAAATAAGTTTGTTTCCAAATTTAAAGGTTCAAAATTGGATATATGTTGATAAAGAAAATGTGCAAATTCGCCGTCACTTTTTCAAAAAAATATTAAGTTTGGCCCTCGACTTCGTCCCTGATTTTCATTTCGGCCCCGTGTGAGTTTGAGTTTGACACCCCTGATCTAAATCATCTTCATGGGATTCAGTGGTCCATATCTTATTTAAAGACCAAATTCAATCTTTTTTTTTCTACACATTTGCAGTCTTTAGTATAAACTAGATTAATGGCATCTCTTGCGTACTGAAATCCAGCAAATACAAAATTAGCTCATTTTACAGGTTACATACAATTATTTACAATAACAGACAACTTTATATTTCTTGAGTTGTATTTCTGATTTAAACTCTACAGTTTCCTGGACGCTAAACCAACAACAACCTTCCCCGTTGTGAGTCTAGGTGGGTGAGTCCATGAACGTTTGGTGACAGAGTGACATAGATCCATCAGACTTTTAAATCAGAAGCTAATGCAGGAGACAGGTGTCATGTTCAGCATGCATGTACGACTGTGACAGAATATAATCAGAAATAGGATTTTAAAAGTGGTTTTTCAATTATCCACACCTTGAAATGTTTTTGTGTTTTATTCTACGTGCAACAATTTGGCTACGAAAAAATAATTTATTTGATTTGATCCTGCAGATTGTGGCAGCTCATCGGAGCTGTATGTGTTTAGAAGTTTGAACAGAACTTCCTTTTCTGTTTTAATCGGTATCTCAATGTGTCAAAACAACAGTGCGTCCATAAAAAGGTACCAGTAGGGACTGTGTCTAACCAGAACCAGTGTGTTCCTTGTAAACATCCAACATAAGCAGATCCCGGTACTTCTGCGTAATTGAACATGGTCTTCTTCACAATGTGCAGCTTTGAAGTCGTCAGTTTTCACATAAGAGAAGGTTCTGATCATGTTCACAGAGAGCCACTATCAGGCTCGTTTAACACTCAGAGACAGTCTCAGCTAGAAGAAGCTAACTGTTAGCATTAGCAACCCCACCACACAGCAGAACTCCTCCAGGTTTGTGTTATTTGTGGAGATAAAACATCAATATTGCAAGTCAGTGGTAGAGTTGCATTGCTGTTATCAGGGTATATACAGCAATCCTTAAGTAAAATTTACTACTTTTTAATACTTTTTTTACTACCTTCAGAATTTTTTTAAAACCATCACAACACTAAATTGCAAGTGTTAATCAGCGACCTATTTACACATATTTTAACATATATAACATACAAAAAGAATAGACTTAGAGACTCACTGATGTTGACAACATATTGCACATATTTATTTTACTTAGAAAATAAGCCAGGCACTTCTGTTCAGCGATCCAGACAGTTGACCACGAGGCCTGAAATGATGCAGAACGACCACTGAATATGACGTCATCATTATGTGACTGGATATGCTAAAGTAGGGCTGCTCGATTATGGCAAAAACAATAATCACAATTATTGTGACTGAAATTGAGATCTCGATTATTTAAGACGATTTTTCAATTTATGTAAATTTTTATTTTTTTATTTTTATTCAGTCATAAAACTGCTCAGGGCACAATCAGGGCAAAAATAAACAAGAAACAAGATTATCACTAAAATAACTCCTGATTCCCAGTATAAAAAGACCAATATACTTATAGCTCATAGTTTATGACCCAAGGGCTATAGACCTTGGTTTAACTCATTTAAGTCTAACCAGTGCAGACCCAAATACCAATATCTTGCAAATACTGACAGCAAGAATTATACAGTGGCATTTATAACAAATACATGCAAATTGCTGTTGACTAAATGTTGCATAACATTTATTGAGTCGTGTCAAGGTGCTGTAGGAGTGCACTAGCACCATGTCCTCAGAGAGATTAGTTATTATTTATCAGCGTGAGGAACTTATTTCTACCTTATTTATAAACTATTTATTTATAAGTCCATCGGTTAATGTAATAATTGTCCCAACCACAGCTGCACCCCCCACCCCCCAACCCGGTCTCACAGCAATCAGGGGCAAGCTGCACGTGTGTTTAGCACGCCGCACGCGCACATTTAGCCGTTTTTATCGGCTCAGGAGTCCGCAGGTGCGGTGTGTGTGTCACTCACTCTGGTTAAACCAACAGGGAGCCGGCTCTGAGAGCTGTTTCTTTAGCGACCGACACATCACTACATCATTCCCTTTCCTAATGTCCTGAAGAACGGTACGGAGCGCAGGCGGAGTGTTTAGCTAACCTGCAGGAAATGTCGACGACAGTTATCCAGAAAGTAGCTAAGGGTTACCAGAGATGTTTCTGAGGTGTTCCCTAGGTACTTTTAAGATTTAAAAAGTCAAGAAGGGGGTCTGAGAAGCTGTTAGAAATAGCGTCAAAGTCGCTAAGTTAACTTGGCAACACTGGGAGGAGCGCTTCATTTGCAACTCAAGGCAGCGCAAGTGGGAGGAGCAAATTATCGGCTTGTTTTGTTTTTATAATCGTTCAAAACATTTCATTCGGAATATATTTCTATGTCGATGTTCAGAATACGACATCTGATAGTCTGAAAAAAAAAATACCTAATTTGGAAAAAATAATACCTCTGAGACCAAATTTAACACTTTTAATGGCCTTAAATTTGACTATTTTTATTTATCACTTTTTAATACTTTTTAAAACCCCGCGGACACCCTGGTTATCCAATCTGAGATGTCCAAATATCAGGAAGTAAGACTCTAAAACCTGTCCTCTAAAGCCCAGCTGTGATGTGGGTAACTGCATGTTCCTGGAATTGGTGCACCGGTGTGTTTTCCCCCACCCATGAGAGCGACTTACAAGGCATTAATTTCTACTAGAGACCACTGCAAATGTAGTGATTAAATGAGTGTTCAACACCTTTAACTCATTCACTGCCAGCCGTTTCCTGATCACTAACGGCCTTCGCTGCCAGCGTTTCTCACCGTTTTACTGTTTTTTTAAGAGTGACAGAACGTTACGCGCTAGGATGATGTCGACGCCAAAACAACCCAAACAAAGAGGAGACTCACCTCTTACATCAGGAAGAAGCCGCGTGTTTCGAGCGTTATCTGTTCTTTCATAATCTGTTGTCGAATTGTGATCGGCAGACGCTTTTCCGGTTCGCGCCTCACTTTTTTTACAGGAACAGCCCAAAACGATCTAACACATGGATGTGTTGCTTCCTGATCATGTGAACTGTGACGTATGCGGATGAAGATCGGCTTCAGGGCTGAGATGTTTGTTCTCTCAGCGCAGGGGCTCGTTCCGATGCTCACACAGTAAAAAAATGCAAATGACGACTTTAGTCATCATTGGCAGTGAATGAGTTAAGTAGAGGCATTTCAAAAATATAGTTTGAGCTATTTTATCAATAATAACTTCAAACAAAAACTAGAAACAGTTAGACATTTTGCTTTCATTAGCAAAAAATACAATTCAGATGTTTCTTTTTTACCCCCCGTCAGTATTTCTAATGAGGTACTGAGATGAAACAGCTGGGAAATAAAGTCTAATTAGTTAGCTCGTGCTAGCGAATAATAAGACAAGTTTGATCCTATTTTAGGAGCATGTAATAAGATCTTTAATGGCAGGATCTCTGCCAGCCGCTACAATATGAGCATGCACACATGCACGAGCGCACACGCACACTTCCTCATACCCTGACAGTCTGGTCGTCTGAGCAGGACAGCAGCTTCGAGCCGTCGTTAGAAAACTGCACACGCTGAACCCAACTCAGGTGGCCGCTGCAGTCAGCTTTCTTCTTGCTGTTCTCAAGATCCCAAAGCTTAAAGACACAGATGGTGTTTATTATAAACTAAAGCATTACCTCAATTACATCTTATGTGGCATGACCTAGATTGCATGTCTATCCTCTGCTTTGAATCACTCTAAATAAAAGGTTATAGATGCATGTCTGAGTTTGAGTTTCACCTCTAGGGCGTAGTTTGAGAAGGCGATGGCCAGCAGGTTACTGGTAGGACAGGCGTGGCAGTACTGCACCATGCTCAGACGGTTGGTTCTAATCTCCAACAGCATGTCTGATGACTCCACATCAAACACCTAAGAAACAGCAACACACAGGAAACACAGAAGAGTTTGGTTTCAGCTGTAACAGAATGAAATGACTGTTTTTTCCCCTCCTCTGCACAGGACTAGTCTGCATGAGATACGGTCTCAAGGTGTCATGCATTCCTTCTAACCTGCTTATTTTAAGCTCAACAGAAGAATGAACTCTTTTCTTTTAATTAATCAAAGAACTCTTATTTTAATAAAGCTAATCCAACCAAGTGTTAGTCAATAAATAACATGTGACCGATTAGTGAAATCAAAATATTAATTACTTTATTATAATCCTACAGAATATAAAGGTACTATGACTTTGACCATAAACCATAATATCCGAAGTATAAAACTATGCCCACGTTATCTCTAACGCCAGTTCAAAGCGTTCCAGAGAAAGTGTCGGAGTGGCCATCCGTAACTCTGGAAAATTTGTTGCTGTTCAAACTGCTGCAACAGTTCCTTTCAGAATAAAAGCTGAACCATCAAGACCCAGGCTCGGGTCTCACCAGACTCCAACAAATTGTCGTGACCCAGAAGTATCTCACAGACTGGTCTGGTCGGCAACTGCTGCTTTTCCTACTGACTCAGTTCCAGAGAAGGTCAAGCTGGACCTCGACATTCCTGATCTAAAGGGGACTTCCTGAAGGGTAGGTAGACCGGCAAATGGCGTCGAATGTGTTTATGAATCTCCTAACCAAAGCTTAACGTGAAGACAACACCTTCAGTTCCCATTTGAACTAATCGCTTCTTCGGATTTGCTGGTTCTGATCAACATCACACGTCATCCATTCACCGTCTCGTCCACATTAGTTACACCATACATTTAGTGTTTAAAGTCAGTCTAGTTTCATTTGTTAGTAATAAAATTCTTAACTTATAAACTCGACTCTCTCTCTTCTGTTGTCTCTGAGTGAATGCGAAGCTGTTATCTAATCCCTGCATTAAAAGTTCCAATCTTCTGGTTTAAATAACTCACAGATCCATAAGGTGGATTTCATATTTCCTATGGAATCCCACGCCTCATGGCTTATTAAATAACATGTCATTTAGACCATTATACAGCAATAAACCTGACAGCTAAAGAAACAATGAAGACATAGAGGACACAGACAAGACAGATTACAGGACAAGGAGAGAAACTCTGATTTGGGAGATGTAGCGCATTTATAACCAAAACACAGACGACTAATGTTTAAGCTCCTTCCTGCTTTCTTTAATAAAATAAAAAAACGAAGTGTTCAAAAGTTCAATCTGTAACAACAAAAGTACATCAAAACAAGTCTTTTATGTTCAAGATTTTCTGTTTCTCACCAAAACTGCATTTCTGGCAGCACAAATGACACGTTTGCTGTCAGGGCTCCAGGTGCTGCACTTGACAATCACCTCTTCGCCGTCAGCAAACATGCTCCTCACGTCGATTGTCTTCCACTCGTTGGCAGACGAGACCTGAAACAACTGCATGCGTGCAGGGATGCACAGAAACGTTCGAAGAGCTCGTCCTAAACGTCTCCTGGCATCTTTTGTATTAAACTAAAGTGCCGAGTCAAACGGCGCTTACCTTAACAGTACCGTCATTACAGGAAGTAGACAAATAACTATCATCGGGGGAGAAACAGCAGTGGTTCACTGGCTCAAAATGACCAAACATGGTGTTCTGGGAGGAAGGCTTGTTTAGATTCCAAAGCTACAAAACAAAAGGTAATGAAATATGGGAAACATGAATTAATGCCAGAAAGAGTAAAAATAATAGTAATTTTAAAAAATCCTGTGTACAGTAAACATACCTTGACATTCATGCAACTGTCATTAGAGCAGGTGGCCAAAAGGAGGCGCCGTGCTGTGTTGGTAAACTCACAGTGGTTGACCTGCTCCTCATGCTCCTCCGCAAAAGCTCTCAGCAGCTTGCCTTGTTCTGCGTTCCACACCTAAAACATACAAAACAATTTAAACAGTAAAAAAATAGGAAAAACATTGAATTTGATGTGTTTTTGTTTGTCTGCTGAGCTCACCTTGACTTTCCGGTCGCTGGAGCAGGTTGCTATGAGACGGTCGTCATAGGTAAAGGCACAGCAGAGCACTTCCTCCTCATGAGCCTGGATCTCTGCGAGTTTCTCACCTGAGGTACTTTTAAACACCTGAGCGCAAAGGTGTGGCAGCAGTTATGGAAAAAGGCAGAAATTAACTGAATAACATTGTTTTAGCTGAAAACTCCGTTTTCATAAAAGAAGAGGAGTCTAAAAAAAGCTTTTATTTTTTTGTACATTTAACAATAATGTTCTGCTGGGACCCATCTTAGATGTCAATTTTAGGTATTTTTCAAAATATTTCTAATTTAAGCTTTATTAAAAGTGTATTTTAGGACCCTAAAGCATAGACTCTCTCAATGATTACCTTTAATGTTTTGCTAGCTCCACAAGAGGCGACTTTTGTTCCATCATGGGAGAAACAGGCAGAGTAGATGAAGCCCTGATGAGGATGGATCACCAGATAAGACAGACTCTCTACACTCCTCTTATTTCTGTAATAAAAATTAATAATGAGATACAAAATGTTAGACTGGCCCTGGTAATAATTACCTTTCAAGGGTTTAAATGCTAGTTCAGACAGTAAAAATGCACAAAATCTTGAGTCAAGTTCTTGTTTTCCTACATCAAATCAAAGTAGAGTTTCCCGCCTTTAGCCCGGTTCAGCGCCTGCTGCCGGGCCTGCCTGTAGACCTCTGAGGTGTGAGGCTGAGACAGAGCGAGCTGAACCACATCGGGGAACGGACGCTGCTCCAGGTGATGAGCACTCTGAGACAGAAACTCCTGGAACTGGCAGCGAACGTCACTGTTCTGAGGACGGAGCGTACATGAAAACACTTGTTTACTGCAGGGAACGTGTCACAACAACTAATCAGAAATTCCTGCGGAAAAAGAGCAAAGTTTTGCACAGCTTCACTGTACAGGAAAGAAAAACTAACTTGTAAACCTGCCCCTCCTCCAGCCCCGCAATAACGTGTAAAGGTCACTTTTCATGAGCAGTCATCAAAGCCTTCCCTTTTTATGCATTGTTGTGGGAAAACATAGTTACCAGGCGCACAGCAGCTGAGGGTGCTTCATTTCATCAACTAACCTCTTTATCAAGAATGGATCCATGCTCCACATAGTCATTGATGAGAGGTGCTGGGCCCATTATTCTGGCCTTGATGCTGACCCAGTCCAGGGAGAACATGAGCGAGTAGAGCTCCTAAAGACAGAAACAGACGGATGCACCAGCAGCTCCGCAGATTTACACTCATGCACCAACCAAATTACTTTGAAAATAGTGTAGAAGTTAAAACACATGTTTCTTTCTTAATATAAACACAAACATTTGTTTACCTGAGAGAGGTTGGCTTTGGCCATGTGGTAGGTCAGAAATCTGATCCAATAGAGACATTCCTCATCTCCTGAGGTGGGAGGAATGTCTCTGTAGTGCTGCTGGTACTGTCGCACCACCTTAGTGTGAAGGCTCTGAAAAGCAAAAACACATGTTTTAAAGGTGTTTAATCATTACATTTGCAGTAGGAATAAATGCCTTGCAAACCATGGGGGGGCTGCAGCAGAGCGGCAGAACATAAACAAAGAAGAAGAAATTATCGTTAACATAGCGCCTTGAAACAGAATGAAATGACTGTTTTCCACCTAAAAGTCATTTCTCCAACCCCCCCCCCCCCCCCCCCCCCTTCTCCTCAGCAACAACTAATCTGCATGGGATATTGCTCAAGGTCTCGTGCTCTGCTTCTAAACTGTTTCTTATTTTCCAGCTCAAGAGAAGAACAAGACGAACACTATTTTTAATAAATCAGAAAAACTCTATTTTTAATAAGCTAATCAACAAAGTGTTAGTCCAATAATAAAATGTGAACCAATCTGTGAAATGACAATGTTTATGATCAGTAGTTCTTTAATAAGTAATATGACTTTAAACTAGACACTAGACATTCTCATCCACGTAATGCTTAAAGTCACATGACACATTGCCCTTTTCCGATCCAATCAGAACCTTCCAGATCTGATGCGAGGCGTGGTTTTGTTGGTTTTTGGTAAATCTTTTCTTGTTGTCCTTTTTTTGATTCAACCGTAAATCAAAACATCCACATTATAAAACTATGCCCACGCCATCTTAACTTCAGTTCCAAGCGCTCTAGAGAAGTTATCGGAGTGGCCAATCCGTAACTTTCCTCTTAAAGCCGAAAGAACCTGACGACAAGCGGGATGAAATCTGTTGCTTTTCCACCTGCTGCAACGGTTCCTTTCAAAATAAAAGCTGAACCATCACGACCCCTTTTTGGGTCTTGCTAGATGCCAATAAAACTATCATGACCCGGAAGTATCTGAAGACTGGTCTGGTCGGCAACCGCTGCTTTTCTACCGGCTTCGGTTCCAGAGGAGGTCAAGCTGGACCTCGACATTCCTGATCTAACGGGGACTTCCGCAAAGGGTACATAGGCTGGCAGAATGGCGTCTCAATGTGTGTTATAAATCTCCAAACCAAAGCTTAGAGCGAAACATCATCTTCACTCCCATCAGAACTAATCGTTTCTCCAGATTTGCTGGTTCTGAACAACATTCCACACTACACCATCCTCCATCTTACTTCACCTTAGTTACACCATACACCTAGTGTTTAAAGATAGTCTTGTTTAATTTGTTTAGTAATACGTCTGTTGAGGGTCTGACCTCATGAGGAAATTACTATGCAGTGATTTTCTCCAAAATGACTGTGCTTAAATTGCTCTGGAAAGCAAATAATCACATCAGCGCCAAGAAACTTCATTTCCCATGATGCTTTGCACACGGAAGCATTGGGTGATGTCACCGCCTAGTACCAGAAACACGTTCTGCGCATGTGCGGGAAGCCGTGGAGCTTTTCCCGCGAACTAAGACCATAAATCTTCAGCAGAGACAAAGAAACCTCGTTCGTTTGCCCAGGATACCTGGCGGTAAGGACACGCTTGTCGAACGCTCCGACAACTTGAGCACGCGGAAGCTCTAAGTGCCCAAGTTGAGCCACGAAACCGCTACAAAGCCACTCGAACTCCATCAGGACCTGACTGGGAACGAGCGGAGCTCCATCCAGCTCTCAGAGACGCTGTAAGTTGTTAAACTCAGCACAAAAGAAACTTTGTTCTCTTTGTGTCCAGCCCGTGGAGAAACACTCGTGGAGCCAAACAACGGAGAAAGCATCAAACCGACGGATGACGCTGAAAACTGCGGAGAAAAACGGAGAACCGTCAAATCGTAACAGCGGGGGACGCCTCGCTCTTCTGGTGATCAGAAAACTCATTCTTCTCTCTCCTTTTCTCCTCCCGTTTCCTCTATAGTCCAGAATAAGCAATAAAACCGCGCTATTGCTTAAAAAGTAGCTTCGTGTTTTCCTCTTTCGCTCCCAATTCGTCCTTCGGGTCATTTTGAATAAATAAACTGCTTATTGATCATTGTTTGGTATCTTTAAATGTTTTCTGCTTGGCCACGTGGTTAAACTAAAAGATATTATTCGTGATTAATCCTTTGTGTTGTTTCATGATCCTTTGAAATGTTTTGAGTGAATTTAAGGTTAAGTTACTGATGATTCTAAGTGCCTTGGAAGTTAAAGTGCAAGTTGCCACTCACACTTTAGCCAGACAAAGGGGTCAGCCATCTTGCATACAGACTCCATTTTAGAAACACACACACACATACATACACACAAAACACCTTGAACATTATTTTGAATATACATCCTTTTATCATATCACATGGTTATTAGTCATTTATGCCACTGTTTATTCATTTGACAAATTGTTAATTAAACGTTATAAAATTCAGATTTTCGTCTCCAGTAGCTTTGTTGTGTCGAAGAGAAGTCTCTGCTCCAAGGATTCTACGAACTTCAAGAAAGACTGATAAGAGTTTTGGATTCAGTTTTTCCCCGGTTAAAGGGGAATGGTGCCCCGTATATCTAAGAATATCTTAATTAATTAATAAATCAGTAAATATTTACATATCTACAGAATTTATTGAAGAATCCAAAAGTAAGTTAAAGCTTACGAATTGTTCGCTCCTAATAACCCCAACACGTCTTTAAACTTTTAAACTTGACTCCCTTTCTTTTGTCTCCGAGTTAATACGAAGTGGTTACATAATCCCTGCAATAAAAAGTTCCAATCTTCTGTTAAAAGTACCCATATTTCCTATGGAATCTCACATTTTATGGTTCATTAAATAATATGCAAATTTAATCGTTAAAGCCTCTCGGGATAAAAATCACGAGGCACTTCACAAGAGCAAACATTTAAAAAATAAATAAGATTAAAAATTATTTTTAAAAAAAATCATAACAATTTGAAAAATAAAAAAAATGTGATTAAAAAATGTGATGACAGGGAAAGAGAAAATGAAAGGCAAAAGAAACAGCTGAATAAGGACAGGGTAGTGAGGAAGGTCACGCCAAATCCAGCCTGAACAGGTGAGTTTGGACTCTTATTTCCTGATATGTGGGCATCTCTCCTCAGATTGGATAACAACATGATTCTACCACTGACTGTTTGCTCTGCAACGTTGATGTTTCATCTTCACAAATAACACAAGCCTGGAGGAGCGTGTGCCGTGTGGTGGAGTTGCTAATGCTAATGGTTAGCTTCTACTAGCGGAGACGTTTTCTGTCGTTTCGGGGACGCTAAACCAACAACAGCCTTCCCCCATCGCGAGTCAAGATGGGTGATGGTGAGTCAATGACAGTTAAATGACAATGTGACGTAGAACCATCACGCTTTTCTAATCCTAGAGTTTCACTGTCTATTTTCTATCAGAAGCTAATGCAGGAGATAGGTGTAGGAGACTATTTTCATGTTCAGCCTGCATGAAAATCTCAGAGTGACTGATTATAATCAGAAATAATTAAAAAATGTTTTTTTTTTCACTGTTCCAGACTCTTGAAGTGACAGTAGGGCTGGGCGATATGGCCTAAAATCAATATCAAGATATATTGAGGATTTCACCTTGATAAGGATAAAAGAACGATAACTACAGGTATGCGCAGAAACAAAGGTTGTCCATTAGATGGGGCTGTCACGTGTATCACGTTCAGTCACATTTTTATACGACTCGAGGTGGTACAGCTTCTTAAAGGGACTTTACGGAGTTTTGAATTTTTATGCTCGAGATTGCCCCCTCTGGCCAAAAGCGTAAAGGCAGCTTCAATAGGAGGCTCGTGCACAAGGCGCGCATGCTGCACGTGCACACTCCTTAACGAAAATAACAGCTGAGACGAGAGCAAGCTCTGTGAAGCTGACCCCCGTCAGCTTCACAGAGCTCTGAGAGCTGACAGTCCCTTGTGTGTGTGTGTGTGTGTGTGTGTGTGTGTGTGTGTGTGTGTGTGTGTGTGTGTGTGTGTGTGTGTGTGTGTGTGTGTGTGTGTGTGTGTGTGTGTGTGTGTGTGTGTGTGTGTGTGTGTGTGTGTGTGGCCAGGAGGACAGAGGGCAGGAGAACTCGCAGCTAATTAATTAAATAATTTGGTTCTGTACCTTTCTCTTCAGCACAGCCGACAAAGGCTTATGGTGGGTCAGTCCTTTTTTTTTAACATAAACTCACCCCAATCTGATCTCGGTTCTGCTCCAACAGGAAGTCCAGCTGCAGGTCATGAAGGTAGTACAGATGGGGCTTATTGTGACTGTCCACAAAAAGCAGAGACTTGTTGACAAACTCGTGGAGAATGTCCTCCACTTCCTCCAGCTCCAAATCCCACAGAACAGACAGAACCTGGGGAAAAGGACATTCCAGAGTTCTGTCGTGTGTCTGAGCACTGGACCGTTTTCTAGAGCGTTAACTCATAAACGGGTGACTTTAGTTGACGAAAAATAGGTGCAGAGTACTTAGGTTGAGTTTTTACGTTTTTCAAATAACTAAATTTGTTAAATTGCGCATAAAAGCATCAAATAAATCCTGAAGTAATTTCCCGAAAAATCTAAAACATTTGAAAGCATCTTGTGATGTTAAACCTTAGCGGGGATCTTCACGTCTTTCTCCAGCACAGTCAAGTCCTTGTAGAGCTCTTGGTGCTCCTCAGGAAGAACCTCAATGCTTGCAGCCATGGCCTGATCTAAAGCATCGTAGTCATAAGAAGAAGACTTCCTAATGCGCTTAAACTGCTTCTGCTGCAGCTGGCGGAGGTAGTAAGGCCAGCGGTTTGGTTTCTCTTTGAGCAGAGCGCCGATCAGCGACAACACCAGAGGAGAGCCTGATGAGAAGCACAAAAACAAATCAGAAAGCGTGTAGATCGCTCACCAAATACAGCGTTTAACAAGCACAAGAGCAAAAAACGGCACCGACCTCAATCGACTCAGTGCATGAATTACAAATCAGTTGACAGACCTTTACACTCCCTGACGATGCTATGAGCCTCTGTAGGAAGTTTCTTTAACTCCGTTTTTGTGTAGAGAGCCAGAATCTCTAAAGCCTTTTTGTCGTCCAGCCCACTTTCCACTTCCACCTCGTGTTTGGAGCCTAAAACATAAAAACAGCAGAGTAGCGGTTTAGTTTGGCATCAAAGAAAATCTCTGCATGAAGTCACAACAGCTCACTTACCACTGACGGAATCAGCAATGCTTTTGTTTCTGGAAGTCAGAAGAACTCGACAGTGGACATCGAACACCTTCAGCACGGTGCTGTCCCAGATGTCATCTAGAATCAGTAGAGATCTACCAAAAGATCAACATCACAGGAGCAAATTAGGAATGAAAAATAATGAAAAACACACAAAAACAAAACCACAGCAGAATGTTTGCTTCAAAAGGGACTAATTATAGAAAATGTTGTAATTTTTTGTTTTTTTATGAACAAATTTCTGCTCCAAATGTGACAAACCTGTGCAAAATAAACTCTTAAAAAAAGAAATAACACAAATAATCATTAATTTATTTATTCATTTTTACTATTTTATATTTTATTACAAAAACAACGCAAATATTTTACCTATTTAGAAGAATTGAGTGGAAATTTTAAGATACTTTGTGTCTTTAATGTTCAGAATTATTGAAAATAATAAATTGGCTTGGTGTCTTGAGTCCTTGCCTGCAATAAATTGTGTGATGTTACTATGTTGTTTTCGCACAAGAAACAAATATTATTGATGTAGAGGGACTTTTTGAAATTAAAACTAAGCTATTATTGTTCAATTTGATAATCTCTATCTTAGGATAAATTTAAAAAGTCATGTTTGTTGTTTTAAAAGGTTAAATTCCATTTACTTCTCCCGATTCCGATCCTTTCAAAAACACGTCACCTGGCCCGATTTCCGATCACGTGATCGGTTTGGAGTGTCCCTACTACCAACTGCACCACAATAATGATAATCAATAAAATAACAAATGGCATCCAAGTAGACATTTTTGATTTGGAGGAATTTTCAAACACAAAAGGCATTATGGGAAATGAGCCTAGATTAATTAAATCAAAAACACTTGAATCTGGATCCAATATAGAAAAAATTATTAATGCAACTTTCAATAAAGAAAAATGCCCTCGCCCATTAAGTTGTGCATTAATTAAAGTTTAACCATTCATCCAGACTCTAAGATAATTTGGTCTTTTGGAAATATAAAATAATGAATCCCCATTCAGATGCATTTTTGCTGCAGCGATGGTATCTGTGAAGAACTTTAGCTTCTGCACAGACAGGAGAATTTTAAACATGAGAAGTTTTCAAAAATGGGTTAACCTCGGATATTTGCGCAGCATGAGGAAGCGCAGACATTCCTTGGCTTCATCCAGAGAGCTGGGGGGCCGGTGGCGCGACTGTGCATCCAGGCTTTGCTCCAGACGAAAACACAATGACTGGACCTTCACCAGCAGGCCTGGTTTATCCAGCTGACCAATGGATAGCCAGTGGATCCCTCCAGGAAAAACCTCTGCAGGCAGTGAAGAAGAGGAGCTCATCTAATGCAATGTGGAAACGTTCTGAAAAGCATTAAAATGTGTCCATCAAGCAGCATTTCGGTTGAACTAGTCAAACGTTATTTACCTTCAATAAGCCCATGGTGTCTAACAGCTTCAGAAGCAAGAACAGATTTGCCTGAGCCAGCCATGCCAAAGATCGTCACCCATCCGGAGATCTTATGGAGTTGATAGAGTTTCTCCTGGACCCGGTTTACCAGCTCAGGTCTGCTGACGAACACTACAGGTCTCTGTGGGACTCCACCTTCACTTAGGACCATCTGGACTGTTGGATACGCCAGAAAAGGATGAGATTGAGTATTATTGCTAAAATATTTAAATTAAAAAAAAATCAATAAGTTTACAGGTTGTTGCCAAAACAGCAAGTACACTTGAGCACTCCTACACAGTGAAAGCCAAAGTTAGCAAATCTTCTCTCCCATCCCATAAATTCTCACCATAGGGTGTACTGTCGGGAGAGAAGCCCTTAAGTGCATCAGATGAGACATGCGGTAAACCAGCATGCAGTAGATTGGCCAAATCATCATATGCCTCTTTAACCAGGGCGTTGTAGAAAGAAATGTAGGAACGATTGTCTTTCCTCAGTAGGAGCTCAACGAGCGCTGCAGCCTGGTCCTTCCTGGTGGGCTGGAGAGGAAAAGACGTGAACAGTGCTTTAAACATGCAGGTTCCTGGGTGGTTTTTTACATTTCATAAAAGCTGTTGACTCTTTTTTTTTATAATTTACCATCTGTTCAGGTGTGAATTCAGAGCCAAATCTCTAAATGTCTCACCCAAACTAACTTCAAGATCGGCACATAACAAAAACTATGAGAACAACAGTGTTAAACATTATGGTTAGAAATAACCAATGGCTTTTTGCTCTAGCTCACCTGAGTCCTGACCCTCTCCTCCTCATCCACAGTGATCACACCATCACTGATCATGTGGTCCATGAGATAGGTGGGCTTGATGTCCTGCACCAGTTTGTGGCGAAAGCGCAGCAGGCAGCTCCGGGCCTGCTCCTCCATCACCATCTCTACAGAGGCCACCGACCATGCACGGCCTGAAAATTTATGAAGAGAATTGTGTGACAATAACCTCCTTGCTCCTCTCCTTCCCAGGACCTGGCAGACATATCAAGGCTATCGGAGAAGCAGGATGCATGTTTTGGCCAGTTGTGTAGACAGAATCTAGTGTGAAGGAGTTCTGTCTGTACTGTGGAGAAATAGGCTGCAATAAGCACAAGTCACGTGTATGATATAAAAATTTCCACCACACCTGTATGCTCTAAACAATATTTGTGAATAAGGTAGATTATTAAATCCAACTGAGTTTGAGTAGTGTCCCACTTTCTAAACACTGATCTATTACAGATTTGGTCAGGGTTTTATTGTATTTGCTCTAATTTGGGCTGAGAAACGGTACGTTTAAGTAAAAAACTGTCAACATGTGTGTGTGTGTGTGTGTGTGTGTGTGTGTGTGTGTGTGTGTGTGTGTGTGTGTGTGTGTGTCATTTCCAGCACATAAACACAGGCATGTATATCTTTGCAGATTCTATACAGTGTGATTCACACTAAACATCATCTACTTGCTCTATGATGCTCAGCTTGAGTAGGGTTTTGACTGCCTGGTTCATGGGAAATGGCGCAATATGAATGTGTAATGGGGATTTAATTTAACCATTTTGTTTAAAAATAAACAGCTCATTTTTCATACAACTGCTGTAGAGTTTTCTGTATTATATGGAGACAATTTAAACAGGCTACCTTAAGAAAATAAAACCAAGACGAAGAGAAACCGGAAGACAGCAAAAGCTAAACTACAAAAGCTTATCAGCTGTTCGAAAGGGCAAAAGTTGAAATACTTAACTTTTACCTCACAATTAGTATGAACTCGGTAATTTGTTTAGAGAAGCGTTTCATTATTTGAAAATAATTCATTTACTAACCGCACGTCAACAGTTAACTTCGCGTATGTGTGCCAATAAGTATATTTGGATAATTTTGAGCTGTTACAATTACAACCATTCAGACTAAACAAAGAAAGTGACAGAAAACAAATACTTACGAGTATATTTAGCTGTTTAACAAAAAGGCTGTTTGTTTGATAGTACGTCACTTAAATGTAACCACGCTGAAATAATCCGGTGAAAGATAAAGAGGGTTCAATTCTGTGTAGACGTGAAATTACACACCCAATTTAGTCAGACGAGCTTCCTGGTTCAGAACAAAAAAAACAAATGCTACGGTTAGAGCCAGCCAATCATGTGGTGACTTTTACGTCACGTGACGAATTCGCTCACAAGTTTGACGAATCTGTAGCCGGGCAAACTAATGCTGCATTCAGGGACTATTGAAACCTCGTAAAATGTAAGTAAATGATTTTTTTTTAACTTTTTTCTGCCAAGTTTAATGTAACATGCACTATAAAATTTAATTTTCAGGAATATTTCCATGTTCTTCAACAGCAAACGTTTCGTAATTTGAAAAGCACTTGCAACGTTGCGCTACTTTGAGAGATAATTTAAAAAATACAGCTTTTAATTACTTTGATAATAAACTGTCATTAGCAAATTTTTGGGTTGTACAAAATTACCCTTTTCAACAATTCTTTTTTCATATATATACTATGTGACTTGTGAGAATAAGAAAGCGTACATTTGCAACTTTCACAAAAAAGTTTTGATTTCCGGATTGTCCTGTAACGCAACACAATTGCCTGGTAACAGCACCAGTTTACAGCATCCATTACCAAGATAAAATGATGGTGTAGGTCAGGGGTGTCAAATATGCGGCCCGCGGGCCGCATCCGGCCCGCGAGATGGTTGTGTAAACTTTATTTTCATACTTTACAATGTAGAGTTAAAATAAACTTATCTTTGTGAGCAAGTTTCCTCTGTAATGAGTATAAATAAAAACAAAGCTGCGATCAAGGCTCACACAAGAACTTGAATCACATCCTGAAGTTGGCCGCCACTCAGGATGTGACTTCTGATATTGATGTGCTGGTGAAAGCTAAAAGATGTTAAGTAAAATGAGTCAAATATACTTTAAGTGCTGCATGAAACTGATCTAGCCATGTGACCTGTAAGCTCTTTGAATCACTAAGGAATGTTTATTTATTTTTTCAAATTTTCAAGTACACTTCAGGTGTTGTACTTGTACTATTTTGGATACATTGTCCTCAGGCTCCAGCTTTGTTTTATATTGATTGTATTAAAACAAAGAAAACAATCTGAAGTTGTTTTTAATTTACTGGTCCGGCCCACTTGGGATTAGATTTCCCTCAATGTGGCCCCTGAGCTAAAATGAGTTTGACACCCCTGGTGTAGGTCATCATAAACTTGCAAAGTAGAACTAGGTGCTGATGGTTTTTTAAATATAGACACACTGAAAATAGAACCCAAACATAAAACAAGCACAAAAACAGTGAAGTGTTTGGCTTTCTTTTTGCCATTTTTTTTTTTACTTCTTGTTTTATAAAAGATTTATTTTCAGGCAAAATGCTCATGATTAAGTAATGTGTATTGTGTTAAAGTTTACCACAACTTATTCTTAGTTTAATAATTTTATGACAAGATAAATGGATTCATTTTCAAGTTTGTTATATTAACAGAATCCCTCAATTGACCACATTTTCATGTAAACTTTTCGTAAAACTCTACTTGATTTTCTTTGTGCATTTAAAGGTCAATTTGGACAAAAACATATAAATGTCAGCACCATTACTTAATCTATACAGCTAGACTGTAAAGACTACAGTACTTTGCACTGCAACACACATCGGAACAAAATCATTAGAACAAGCACTGGCAGTAAAATCCAGAACAAATATAGTAAAAGAAAACCACTCCCAACAAACAACTCTTATAGGAACTAAAATGAACAAACTCCAACTTCTACTCATGCAGGAAAGCACAATCATGTTACTGACAAATCAGAACTAAGATTCCTTATCATTCATAAACACAGTTTAGCTCTTTGGCTATTTAACAACTTAGTAACATTTGTAAGTCGCTTTAGGTTAAAGCAACTACCATGCAAATAATATTCATTAATATGAAAAAAATATTAACAACTTTCAGATTTTCTATTACTAACTTCAAATCTGACACAAACATCTTCTGCACTGATTCATAAAACTGGCTGTAGGTCTCATACACTGTAAAGTTTTCACCCTCCTACTTTTTGCCCCAACAATAAAGACTTTTGGTAGAAATTACAAACGGAATATAACACTAGCTTGTTTTTGCTGGTCAGAGAGCATTTACACAAAGGTCACACAGCTGATGCTAAACACATAAATGTGCCTTTAGTGTGATAAACAAACTCAGAATGCCTCTCCTTTAAACACTTTTAGGACTTCATACATTTATTTAATAAACTTTCTCTCATTTTAGAATTTTCCTTTCTCGACAAGCCCTCCCAACACCAACATCAAATCAGAATCAGCCACATATGACAGCAAAGAAATATTCTTCAACTCCACGAGAAACTTCTGTGTCAGTCATGAGGAATGGATCCCTGAGCTGGTTCCTGGGGAAAGCTTGTTGCTGGTGGATCACTGAAGAATAGCAGCTTCTTCATGATTTCCATGTAGAAAGGTGCGTAGACAGCCCTGTTGTAGTTGACCAGAGTGATGAAGGCTTTCCCAATCACACCTAGTTCTGGTTGGATGGCAGCCAAGCCCGCTGGTGCCTCTTGAAGTTTGACCTCGGGTCTGGGGTCAGAGAGGAGCCCCATGAAGTACTGGTGGACACGATCCTCTACGGGGGGGGAAGACATGAGAAAACTCTCAGTCAGGTAAATTTCTGGATCATTTACCACCCCTGATACCTATTCAAGATGATCTTCAGACTCTCAGGTTCAGGTTCTTACCAACAAGGGTGCGAACAGGGTTGTCCTTCTGTCCGATGCTGCATATCTGTCCCGTCAGTGTGGCCTGCTGCTCTGGGGTCAGCGCTGGGTAGTCCCTCTCCCTCAGAGACTTGTTGAGTTCGCAGCAAATCTGTACACTGGTGCCCTCTAGTGTTTCCTTTAAGTTAAAGTTCCTGAAAATGGAAAATAAAATAAAATAAACATTTTTCTGCTCAGCTTTGAATTTAAATGAAAGTAAAGGAAAGAAAACTGACGGTTTGTGCATCCCGTTCAGCAGCACAGTGATCATCCTCTTCAAGCGGTCAGACAGGACAGAGAGACCCTGGATCGGATCACCAATGGTACTGAACACAATGAGCAGCACCGTGTTCACAGCCACAGCCTGCTTCAGCTGCCTCTGAATCTCCTCTAGTTGGGTCTCATCCACCACCCAAGTCTAAAGTAGAACAAAGACTCAGTGTGCTCAGTTTGCCATTTAAAAACATCTTCATACGTTGGTTCTGTGTGTCACTTTGTAATCCATTACTTTGTTCTTTTTTAACACATGGGTTAGACGGCAGGGTTATGGTCTTCTGGTAATGTTTATTTGTTTTCTGTGTTCTGTCTAGGATGACAAGCACACAATCAGCCTTCTAATGTTTATGAATGCATGTGTTGATTTTGTGTTTTATTTGAGTTACCAGTGACTTGGAGTTGCCCGTGGAGTCTCACACACCTGCAGCTCATCTCCTCAGGAAGTCTAATCAGCACTTCTGGGATCTACCTACTCCCAAGGGAGGGGAGATTCATGTGCATGCTTTAATTAGTGTAGATATTTTCTGTTATGGATTATGTTATCTGCACTTCGCAGACACCTCACACTCACTACTGAAACTCCAACATTACACACTCCATACTGTACATTAATGCCACTGTTTTGCACATACCAACCTCTGTATATTTTATATCTCTTGTTTTATTGTTTACTTTATTCATTGGTTAAATATGTATATACGCATTATACACACACTCACATGCACACACGTAGAAAAATAAAAAATAAAATACTTAGCACACACATTTAGGAATGTATATACCTTACATTCTATATATATTATTACTTAGATTAGCCATTTTTATACTTTGATTGTTTTTACGTTATTGTATTTTGCACAACTGTTGCTGTGAAGCTCGCACACAAGAATTTCACTCGCATGTACTGTACCAGTGTACCTGCACATGTGACGTGACAATAAAAGCGATTTGATTTGATTTGGAGGTTGTAATTATGATTTAGTTATTTGAGTTACCTGAACTGATTAGACTGGTGTGTGTGTGTGTGTGTGTGTGTGTGTGTGTGTGTGTGTGTGTGTGTGTGTGTGTGTGTGTGTGTGTGTGTGTGTGTGCGTGTGCGTGTGTGTGTGTTAATCGTTTAGTGTTCTGATCAGCCACTATTTAAGTTGAACCTGGTGTGCCTAAAAGGCCCTTCTTGATGACGTTGGACTTGTGCTGGTGTCATTCTGACTAGTCTCGTCTCAGGAGACATCCTGAGTTTACACAGATTTATTTATTAGGTCAAATTCATGTTATTTTTTAAGCTTCTCCAAAAATAAAACGGAGTTTTCAGAACCATCAGCAGTGCTTCTCTGGCTGTTTGTGCAAGTCCCCGACAACACAGCTTAGTAAAAAAATCAATTTTAACTATACAAGTTTTGACTAATGCCTCTAGCCATCATCAGAGTTCGCCGGTGTTGGTGGCGTCACTAGGGCTGAAACGATTCCTCGAGTACCTCGAATAATTCGAGTACAAAAAATCCTCGAGTCAAATTCTCTGCCTCGAGGCTTCGTCCGGGGTCATGTTTCACCCGGACCGAAATAAGCGACGCACATACACACTGCACTGAATGCACACGCGAGTAGCGAATGTAACTTAACTTTCTCTTACGCCATGGCATGGCGGACAACGTGGACCCCGGTGGAGTTCTAAAAAGACACAAAATGTCTAAGGTGTGGGACCATTTTTCACGTCGTAAGGTGGAAAACGTACTCCAGTGTAAATACTGTAAAATGGCCTATCACAACATCACATCCTCGATGCTGCAGCTTCTGACCAGGAAACATCCACATGTAAATGTCTCTTTTGCAAGCGGACTCGGAGCCTCTACAAGATAATGCATTTTAGCCTATTTCTATATATTCTGCAGACACTGTGTGACTTTTTCATTTGTAGCACTCAGTTTCAGCTCACACCGTACGTCTGGTAGCAACACGTCGGACTTAAAATGTGCTAAAAATATCAGTTTTTACAACATGTCGGACTTTTTACTTTGTTGTTATTGATGCCTGTTGTCCCTCAGGATTGCTGCAGGAGGACACGGGTATTTATGAGCGGCGGAGGAAAACGAGAGAAAGTAAATAAATGTTGTGTGATCAGTATAATTTGACAAAACCACAGCAAACATGCTTTAGACAATCCTTGTTAGTGTGAGAAAAAAAGTGTAGAAATTAAAACGGATGTGTGTTAATAGGGAAACAGCTGGCGAGCCAAGTTTGCGCATGCGCCGTGAGCGGTTCTGGTTCTGTTTGGGCCGCTGCCGCTCGCATTTGTTTACTGTGAAGTAAAGTTGAAGTGCTGAAGTTTTGAAAACTAATTTTGAATAAAACTTGAAGAATAACTGGCAATTGCTCATTTCAAGAGGTCTTTCATATTTTATAACATGCTATTTGATATAATGGTTTAAAAACGCAAAAGAGTAATTTATTAGAGTACTCGATTAATCGATAAAAGATTCGATAGAGTACTCGATTACAAAAATATTCGATGGCTGCAGCTCTGGGCGTCACTTCCATTTAGCAGACGGCGGTGTCGCCCTCTACTGCCCGCGTCCTCCTCGCTGATGACACTGTCCCATGCGTGATCCAGAGTGAATACTCCATCGTCTCCGTTCACGGTTTTGTATCCACGTCTCCTTATTTCTATGGCGTCTTTGATCCATCTTTAGTAATTTTGTTGTTCTGTATGTATGATCCGTGTTCCGTCCCAGACCATTATGGGACAGCTCCTGTGTGTCTTACACTTGTTTCCCTCTCACACTCTGATGTTTTATGTGTGTGTCCATTCTCCCCTATGTTTGTTTTATTGCACAGTTTGCATGGTATTTCATATACGACTCCACATTTTTATCAGCGGAGATCTTGTTTTTTGGGTGTACTAAACTCTTTTCTGACCGTCATGTACGGTTTTGTTGGTGTGTTGATATTATGTTATTTTTTTCTGTCATGCCGTTGATATATAGAAGGGTTATTGCTGGTTTTGGCTCTCGTCTTTCTGGTTTGTTTTTCTTTTCTATTGTTTGTAGTTTTCCTTTGTTTATTGCCCATGTTGGGAATCCAAAGGATTGTATGCGCTTTGCATGTGTTGATCCTCTAGTTTGCGATCTCGTTTTTCTGTTATTATGTTTATTTACTTGGCAGACGCTTTTATCCAAAGCGACTTACAATTTATAACCTATAGGGCATGTTGCGATCTGCGGTGGAAACCGGCGTACACGGAGGAAACCCACGCATGCATGGGGAGAACACGCACCTCCACGCAGAAAGACCGCAGCCGAGTTTCGAACGTGCAACCCTCGTGCTGCGAGGCAACAGTGCTAACCACTGCGCCACCATGCAGTTATTATATTTGCTCTGTGGTATAATGTGGAGTCAGCTACAAAATACCATGCAAACTTTGCAATAAAACATACATAAGAGAAACCAGACACCAACTCAACACACAAAAATAGAACAACAAAGAGTGCGGGAGGGACACAAGTCCAAGACCCACAAGAGCTGCAAAACAAGAATCAGAAAGTACAATAAAGCAAACAGCCATAACAGATCACTGCACAAGGGACAATCGTGTAATGAATTGGGACAACACAAGGATCCTAAACACCGAACAACAAAAATACTAAAGATGGATAAAAGAAGCTGTAACAGATTTGTACATGAACATGTACAGGTCTCTCCTGACATACAAGATCAATTACAGCGATTAGTTACCCTTGATGTTAAATGGTAAATGGCCTGTATTTGATATAGCACCTTCTAGAGTCCTGGAACCCCCCAAGGCGCTTTACAACACAATCAGTCATTCACCCATTCACACACTGGTGGGGATGAGCTACGATGTAGCCACAGCTGCCCTGGGGCGCACTGACAGAGGCGAGGCTGCTGAGCACTGGCGCCACCGGTCCCTCCGACCACCACCAGCAGGCAACGTGGGTTAAGTGTCTTGCCCAAGGACACAACGACAGCGACAGACTGAGCGGGGCTCGAACCTGCAACCTTCCGATTGCGGGGCGAGCACTTATCTCCTGTGCCACCGTCGCCCCATGTACAAAATCCCTACAAAGGATGCAAAATAGAATAGTCTACACCCTTCTTTTTCAAAGGAGAACGTAAACCATAAATTACCCCACCATCAACTCACAACACACACATCACACACCCAACAACACACAACGTAGCGGCTTATGGATCTTCCTGACTATTCATTCGTGTCAGCGACAGGGAAGCCACCAATGTACCCGCTCTGAGCTCGGCGGCACTCTCACAGTCAAACTCAATAGATTGTTCTTACTCATGGAACCCAACGGGTCTCGTGGTTCTGGCAGAAGAACGTAAGCACCGGGGTCGGACAGGCCCAACTCGGAATCGTAACCCGGGCGAAACAGCTGCGTGTCACACCGAAACGGCGATCTCGTCCTCTTAATTTCCGCTGTGGAAATGTCTCGTCTCTCCTCCGTTTTATCGGTTTTATTTTCACAAATATTCTCGTTATTATATCAACTCTACTAGTAATCGTCCTTTTTTCGCTGGTCTGTGTCTCTCCCTCTCACTGTCAGCGGGGCAATCAGACACACCTGATCGGGTCACGCCCCCCTTTTATAAAGACGCGCTCGCCACAGTGGAAATGACATAAGAAAATGAAATAGAATTACCTGAACTGGCAAACTGCCACAAAGCGATAGAAATAAGGAGACGTGGACACAAAACCATGAACAGACATCATGGAGTATTCGCATTGGATCACGCACGAGACAGTGCCATCAGTGAGGAGGACGCGCGGAGTAGAGGGCGACACCGTCCTCTGCTGCCCAACGATGAACTGAAGAGAAGCCACCAACACCGCCGACTCTGATGATGGCTAGAGGCTTTAAGCCGGGCGTACACTGTGCGACTTTTTCACTTTTTTGAGCCGATTTTCCACTCGTGCGAGAATCCACAAGATCGGGGCGAGTTTTGCACCGAAAGTGTAGGGTACAGGGGGTTACGAGAGGCGATTAACACCACGTGACCAGCTACCGATCAGCAATCGTGAGCTCGTACGGACTTCTGGCGTGTTTAATATTTTGCTCGTCCCTCGTGAGGGTATCGCACTGTTGAAGCGGCGCTGCGAGCAGCTGCGACCCAAAAAGTACCAGAACCGCTCACGGCGCATGCGCAATCCTGCATCAACACCGCTCGCCCGCTATTTCCTTAATAACTCACGTTGTTCGTTTTTATTTCTACATGTTTTTTTACTCACAAAGATTGTCAAGAAAGTGTGTTTGTCGTGTTCATGTCAAATTAAACTGATCACTAAACACAGATTCACTTTCTTTATTTCGTTTTCCTCATCCAACCCCCATAAATCCCTGTGTGTCCTCCTGCAGCACTCCCGAAGGACAACAGGCAAGACAAAAAAGTCTGACGTGTTGAGTAAAAACTGCTATTTTTAGCATAGTTTTAGGTCGGACGTGTTAGTACCAGACGTAAAATGTGAGCATGACTCGTGAGATCTGCCCTGCGAGGAAGTCGTCCAGTTTGAGCTGAAGCTGAGTGCTACGAGTGAAAAAGTCGCACAGTGTACGCCCGGCTTAAGTCGAAACATGTCAGGTAAAAAAAATTGTTTTTTTATTGAGCTGTGTTAGAAAAGAACAAAGTAATGGATCTTTATGAACCTTTTCTTATTTACAAATGCACCACGTTACCTCAGGCACGGAGCTCTTGGAGAAGTCCCACGTGAGGAGACGAAGGAAGGCCGTATTGAAGATCTGAGAAGGTCCAGGCAGGCCTTGCAATATTTTCTCCGGATCATTCGATAATTCAGCAGGTTTTCTGACCGACAGAAGCTCTTCGATAGCTGCTTGGATCCAGGAGGTGGTGATGTTTAAAGCATCTGATGAAACAGCAGTTTTTCAGTTTAAAAAAAAAGCCATTTTCAGACTCAGACTTATAAGCAGCAGACGGATTAGATCTGTGTAATTTTTGTTTTGTTTACTCACTGGGAGTTTTGTCCAGGACATTTTGAAACTTTTCCCTCTCGTATTCAGCACCAATCACCTGCAGCACAGGTCTTATGCTTCGAATTGCAAAGTTGACCATGTCTGCTCTCATCAAGTCCAGAACATGTAGTATCTCCCTTGTGCATCAAAAAAAAAAAAAAGAGCAGAGATTCTGTTTTTGTTTTTTTCCCCAACTCTACCGTAATTTCCGGCCTACAAGCCGCCATTATTTCCCTGTGCTTTGAAGCCTGTGGCCAATATCATGGTGCGGCTCATGTAGATTTTTGTTGGTCAACAACCACTAGAGGCGCTCTCCAGCAGTAAAGTGAGACAGGCACGGCAAAACGTTATGCGCGGAAGAAGACGCTCTTTGATTTAAAGCGGCACGTTTACACATCAGACACACCCTCGTCATGGAAAACACGCAGAGGAATGCATATGCTGCAGCTTTCAAGTTAAAAGCGATCGATCTGGCCATCAAACACGGAAACAGAGCCACTGCACGGGAGCTTGGCATAAATGAATCAATGGTGCGACGTTGGAGGCGGCAGCGGGAAGAAATCAATGTAAAAAATCTTCAGCTGAATGAAGGTAAGACTGAGATCCTCATCTGTGCCCCAGACAAGCTGGTTCCCAAAGTCAGAGACTCTCTTGGTCAGCTTGCTTCTCACACCAAACCTTCTGTCAGGAATCTTGGCGTGACCTTTGACCCAGCTCTCACCCTGGATTCTCATGTCAGTTCTCTTGTTCGCTCTTCTTCCATCTCAGGAACGTTGTTAAGCTGAGTCCCATTCTGTCTCACTCTGAACTTGAGACAGTTCTCCACACCTTCATCTCCTCACGCTTAGACTACTGTAACTCTCTTTTCACGTGTCTGAGCAGAACCTCCCTGAACCGTCTACAGGTGGTTCAGAACGCCTGTGCTCGGCTTCTGACCAAGTCCTCCAAACACACCCACATCACCCCGCTTCTCCTCCAGCTTCACTGGCTGCCAGTCAACTTCAGGGTTCATTTCAAGATCCTGGTTCTGGTCTATAGGGCCTTACATGGACAAGCACCATCTTACATTGGTGATCGTCTTAGTCCCTACACCCCCAGCAGGTCCCTGAGGTCCAGTGATCAAAGCCTACTGGTTGTGCAGCACCAGGCTAAAGACCAAAGGTGACAGATCATTTGCTGCTGTGGCCCCCAGACTCTGGACCTCTCTCCCCCTGAGCCTGAGATCAGTGGACTCAGTGGTCTCCTTTAAAAAGCAGCTAAAAACTCACCTGTTCAAGCTGGCTTTTGTATGACCTTCTTCACCCACTCTCTCTTTTTCTGCTCTCCCCACCTACTCCACCTTCCTCAGGATCCACTGATTTCCCTCTTTCGTGTTCACTCTCTCTCTTTCTTAACATTTTTTATCACAATTGCCTATTTTTGCTCGTTTTCAATATATTTTTAAACATTTTCTAAATGCTTTTTTATATTTTTACATTTTTTGCTTTTGTGAAGCGCCTCGTGATTTTTATCTTGAGAGGCGCTATAGAAAAATGATACTTTCTTCTTCTTCTTCAAAAGCTTTAAGAGGAAATAAAAGCAGAAGGCCGGAATTGGAAACCATTCTTGAAGACTGGGTGAACACACAAAGAGCAGACGGCCGAGGTGTTTCCACTGTGCAGATCATTACTAACCAGGCATGTTTTGTGTGCAGTTTGTATTTTCTAATCATCCAGGGCTTATTAATGCTGTGTCAGCGCTGTTCTTTTCTCCTAAACAGGCAAATGACCGGTAATAACGTGCCCGTTCTGTTTTTATTTTATAACCATCCAGAAATATGAATGCTATCAGTGCTGTTTTCTTTTCTAAACTTGCGGGCAGGTTCACCCGTGTTTAAAATTCGTTTTGTTGAATTAAAACAACGAAAAACCTCCATGTAGCGTCTTTCTTTCCAATTATCTTACGTTATGGCCGTACATGCGCTGTGCGCCGGAGACCTGCATGTGGCTGCTGCGCCGCGGCTTGTATTTGAGTGCGGCATGTGTGTGTGTAGAAAACCTATTTTTTGCTGGTGTGGCTTATATTGAGGTGCGCTCTATAGTCCAGAAATTACGGTAATTAAATCTCAGATTGTTTTTAATCATGAACATACGTAAACCAAAAGTTTGTTTTGTTACCTGAAGAGAGTCACGATGTTTTCTGTGTTTAGTTCTTGGAGCTTCTTGATGTCGCCATCCCTTTCCGGGGAACACAGCTTACCCATGGTGGTAACGACGTACGAAGCAAGTCCGCAGATGTCTACAGCATTGTTGTCAGCCTGCTGGTTTATCAGGTCCATGTCCAGCACCTCCATGATCTGGGTTCGCATCCGATTGGCACCCGGATTAAGGAATGACAGCAGGATCTGTTCATTAAAAAGAAGAAAAAACTACTTTGTTTAGTGATTTTTGATTGAGTTCTTTTTGGTTTTACTGTGATCACAAAAGGAGAAGTAAATAGGTACGGAAATGTGAAACAGATCGTACAAAAGAGCAACAAATTCATCCCATTGTGATCTGACCTCTCTGATCTCCTCCAGTAATTTAATGGCGTGTTTATACTCAGGCGGGTCGTCGTTCAGCTCAACCTGCAGGATGTCCCAGAAGGCCTTTTGGACATTTTCTTTCACCGCATTCCATATACTACAAAAAAATAATAATAATAATTTTAAAAACAGGAAAATCTGGCTTTTAGTTTAATGGATTCTTGCTGTAAAACTGTTACTTATAAAATATACTTTGACTTTTTTCTAAAATGGGTTACTTTAAAGCTGCTATCCAGAGTTTTCCCCTTTCAGACATTATGTATGATGTTTCAGAAATCCATAAAAGTGATTGTCTTATCATGTAGTATGAAATCATGTAAGAAATTAAATGTTTTGTTTTATTTTGTGCTAAGCCCGTCCCCTGTCCCATAGAGCTTAATGCAAGATGAACTGAACACCGGTCAGCACTAACCACCAGACTACTGCTTACGTACGAACGTCAATCACAGAGCGTGCTTGAGCGTTTAAGGATGAACCTCGTTGATGCAGAGTTGCAAACTTTCTCACGGACAAGTAAAACACAACATAACATTGTAAAACAACGTGTTTTGGCTCTGTTTTGTCTGCTAGAGGAGAGCATTCAAGAACAAGAGTCGTTTATTTCGGCCTTAAAGAGTAACTAACCCCCCAAAAAAACTATTTTTTGCTCATAAACAAGATAATCAGGTCTTTAAAAATGCAATCTTTCTGTTTCTGTGCATATTTTGACATGTTTGTGTAAACTTGATTAAATCTAGAATCTAGGTCTAAAACATCTCAGTGCTGCCCCTTGTGGAAGAACAGCAGCTACTGCGTTTTAAACTTGTGATTGACTGGGGCTGGAACAATTTCACGTCATCGGTACAGTCTCCTCCCACTCCCCCTCCCTCCCAGGATGGAAATTCCCCACACTTGGCCATGCCACTCTGTGCCTCCTGGCAACGCCCACTTTCATAGCATTTTTCAAATCGTGTCCTTTTTAACAAAAGATTAGGCGATGGCGCCATAAAAGGGGTATGGGGGGGGGGGGGGGGGGGGTATGTGATGCCACGGACTTCTGTTTATCTTGGACATAACTTGCTTTTTTTTGCGATAAAAGCTGTGATCGTTGGGTATTTTAACAAGCCTCTCATAAAGGTGTCTGGTGATCTGTGCTTCAGCTCTAGCAGGGACGTTGCCCCGCGGCGCTCCAGTTTGCCGTCTCAGCCGATTTTATTCAAAAAGCTAAAATTACGGCTAGAGGTGTGAATCCTCACTTGTCTCCCGATTCGATTACGATTATTGGGTCAACGATTCAATTCGATTCGATATCCCGATGCATCACTATTATTTCATATTGATTTGTTTTCATCGATAAATAGAAGATGTCAGATAATTGCTTTTTATTTTTTTTATCAAAAACATAATTGACACAACCTGCCATCCCTCAAAAGCTCTCCATTCACAACAGGTTAGGACAAAACATTTTAAACATTTAAGAAGATTTGACAAAGTAAAACATCTGTTTCCTCGTTCAACACCACGCCTCAGGCTGAGAAAAACACGCTTTGCAGAAACTCACAAAATCTAAAAAAGTACTGAAAACCTACAGGACACATAATGTAATAATAAAATAAATAATGGGTTCATATATGAGTGTTTAATGTCTCTGAGCAGCTCTAGAGTCAAATATTTATGCCACAGTTGAAGGGTGACAGAAATAACACCAAATGAAATGTTTGACTTAGTTTATTTTATTTGAACCCAGCGGTTCATTTCTGAAATGTTGGAGAATGAATCAAGTTCTGTTTGATGCAGAAAATAATAAAACATAAAACAAATTCTACACTTCCAATAATATTTAAGATGTGTGTTTTATTCTTTCTGATAATAACACCAGCAGAAGGCTGTGGGCTGGATTAGGATTAAATTACCCAGCTGATGGATCTCCTTCACTAACCAGCTAACTACAAACCTTTCCACTAACCTGTCCTGTGTGACCCTCACCATGTGACCCTCATGTCCATGCTGTCTCTGGAGGAGCAGATAGGAGACAAATCTCCTGTAACCTAAAATGAACCAAAGCTTCCTCCCAGTTTCTCTTTAAGCTGAATTTAACATCAGTTTATCATCATGACACAAAAGAATAAAGTGGAACAAGAACTTCTATCTTCTATTTCTCTCTCCTTTTAACTTCTCCGTGTCCCTAAATAAAAGAGACGGACGATCACGCTGCAGCCGCCGTCATTGACCCCGCCCCCTCCCGAAGACCGGATCTCCCTACATTACAACACTCGGTCTGACTGAGCTCTTCCAGGAGAAATAATAATTAAATGATGAAAATAATAACGCGTGTTTGGAGCATTGGTTTGGAGGAGCGTCCGATCGTCTCTCTTGTGTGAGCAGACAGTGTCTCTCTCTCTCTCTCGGTCGCTGATCGAGCGAGCGGAGCGCGCCGCACGAGGACCCGCTCAATTAACATAATTCTTGGTCCAAATCCAACAGAACCGGTCGGGCTGATTCGGTTCCGGTTTGGTCTCGGGTGACAACTCTAGCGCTCAGCCCTGCAGTACCACATTAGGCGGAGGTAAATGTGGAGGACGCTCACTCTGACAGATTTGGATGCAGCGCTGGTGCCGCCGTTAAAAAAACAAAACTACATTCCACTATAATCGATTATGGCGTACTCTTCTACGATGCAGAATCGTTTATGTCCGCATCCCGATGCATCGATTATTTGATTATTTTCCTCAGCTCTACTTAACTCCCCAAGTCATCATGACACCTCCTTTTGTTGTGCCAAGACAGACCATTACGCAATATAACTACCAAGCGAGGTGGAACAAATGCCACTAAATTTGAGCAACGCCATGCCGGCATGGCGCGTTAATAAGACACACCGTTGCGGTAATTTAACGCCGATTAGCCGGTATGGTGCGTCTTATAAAAAGGGCTTCAATGGACAGCAACTTTAACTAAATAAACAAGGACTGCAGTTTTCTAAAATGAATGTTGTGTTCATACCATTTGAATGTTAAATGTTACCATAGATTCTGACAGTGCTCTTGCTGATTTTAGAAATCTTTTGTAGCCATCTTGTTGGGTTTGCTGTTAGTTTGTGAACAAGAAAAGTCATCTTTCTCCATCAACCATTCTTATTTTCTTTTATACTTTTAGTCAAGGGACGATGAGAATTTGAGCCAAAAATAACAAACAAGTATTTTCGTCATTGTCTGTAAGATTAAATTATATTTAAATCTGCTGCAGCAAATTTCGAAAGACAAATTAGCCTTTTTTTCATGTCTCTTTACAACATTCCAACATAGCTATAAATATATTGTGGAGATTAAAAACAATAATATTAAAGTGGTTTTCTTGCATTTGTCTAAAACCCTCCGCCAATAACACGTTTTAGACCACAAGCATCGATTAGACCATCCGGTTGTCGGTCTCACACTTCCCTGGGTCCTCCATTCATTACACACTCATGTATGTATCACCAGAACACCACTGCTGTGAGAGGTTCTCTGCTCAATAACATCAGAGGAGAAACAACCAGTTGCTACCACTTAAACGTTAGTTTCAAAAAGAAAAAACATCATTTATGGACAACTAAAGGCGTTTGACGCTAGAAAACAGTGACTGGTGTTTAGCGCCATCTTGTTTCCTCTGGCAATGCGAGTTTCCAGTTCCAGTGGATGTGGATCCAGGGAGGAGAGGAGGGGCGAGTGTTCTGTGACCGCGTTCAAAAGCTAGCTTGTTCTGTAGATTTGCAATAGCAGCTTTAACCTAAAGTCTTTTTTCCCATATTTGCATTAATTATATCATATTTGAACTCCAAAGTTCCAAAGCAAAAAGGTAAATGTAATTTTGCTTAGATGCTCTCTATCAAACCCTTTTTATGATTTACGCCGGGGACACACCAGCCGCCGAAGCGCCGCGAAGCGCCAGGAGGCGAAGCGCTCATGAAATTCGGCCGCTGCTCCTCAGTTCAGACCAGACGCTTGTTTCTCCGCTCCGTCAAGGCGCTTCGTAGTTTTTCCTTTTAACCACTTGGCGTCCTCCATTTCCTCTCTGCCTTTTCTCTGCTCTTTTCCTCTACACCCCCTCCCCCTTGCTGTTTGTGTGTGTGTTTGTACGTGTGTGTGGGAACCATCGACATAAATATAGGTGTGAACCAGTTGTTAATAGCTGGCCTACGACTTTCTGCCTCCCTGTCCTGTTTGCTCCGGTTGAAAGACACCCAAAGCCACACCCCCTTCACGTGGTCTCACACACAGAAGTTCGCTCTGTGTGTGTGTGTGTGTGTGTGTGTGTGTGTGTGTGTGTGTGTGTGTGTGTGTGTGTGTGTGTGTGTGTGTGTGTGTGTGTGTGTGTGTGTGTGAGTGTTTTTTATGCAGTGTCTGTTAACGAACACATTTGACCATCACGGAATTGTATTTAGAAATGCTTTATTTTGTTAAATTTACCGGCCTGCCTCTTATGTCTAGGTTTGACTTCCTGCCAGAATTGACGCGGTTCACCCGCGGCTCGCGAAAAAAAATAGAGCAGACACCGAAACGATCGCTGCACGGCACAGGCTGGAGCGCCGGCGCTTCACGGCACTCCGGCGGCCCATGTGGTCTATAGAATAGGATAACAAGGGCGCCGAATGAAGGCGGTCCCAATTTCGCAGCGCTTCGGCGGCCGGTGTGTCCCCGGCATTAAGGTGAATAATATTTGTACTTTTGAGCTTTTTTCCCTATTTAATGACTTGAAATATTAACAAATGTTGTAAAGAAAGGTTGACTATGATCTGCTAATCCATCAGCTGAGTTTAAAAGTATATTATAAATGTGGCGGAATAACTGAAAAGGTACCTGTTCTTCGCCTTGAGATTTGGATGCGGTTGGAATTCGCGGTTCATAACGATGTCATGTGACAGTTTGAGATTGAACAAATCTCTTCCAGCCTCCATGACTTCGTCTAGAGTCAAAGTTTCAGGTGGGCTTGCTGTGGGAAGCAAACACAGAACCAGCTTTATAACTGAATAAACATTTGCTCATTAAAGCTGCATGACAACAATTTTCAAAAGTCCTCCACTAATCAAATAACAGTCGTTAAAAAGGCAAAAACATGTCCGTTAGCACAGGAGATGAAGAACTTGACACCCTTTTTAAAAGAAAGACAGAACTCACAGGAAGGAGTGCAATGCTTGCTGGAAATGTCACTATTGAAGCTGTCACGCAGGGATTCGAGGTCACTGGCCGTCGCCATGCTCTCACGGCACTCGGACGACGATTCCCCATCGCTGGTTTGATCTTCACTGCTGGATGTGGAGGAAGGTCGCTCATCGTTCAGAGGCATCTTTGATTAGAGCTGCAGAGGAACTCTTATCAGACACTTCAAATCCAGTCATGCAGACATGTGTAGGAAATTTCAGGTAAAAATTCACACTAAACATGGAAAGTTGTTAAAGACTGGGAATATTGTAAAAACACAAAATAATAAAAATAATTAGAAAAACTAGACCTAAAACTGTTAAGCCAAATGAGAATCCTTGCCAATGTCTTCAGTATTTGCTGACACAATAATTATTTTACAAGAAAGCAGAAACTGATCTCTGCTCCGAATCTAAAACAGTCCCCAAAAACTTTACCTTCATTTTACCGCTTTGCTGAAAACCAAAAGGTTTTGTTGCATAGGCAGTGTGTGTGTAACAAAAACACCACTGCACTGAACAGCTGGCAGGCCAGTCGCCATGGAAACGGATAACAGAGCTCCAAGAAAAACATCTTATCAAACTCAGAAGGTCAATGAGGTACTTTACTGGAAAAACTTGACTATTTGGCTTTTGTTTACAGGTCCGAAGAGAGTTAGCACATGTTTGAACAAGACAAGAGACAATGAGTCTCCAGGACAACGTGGGACAACAGAGTCCTTCTCAACAATTCTAGAGATCACCTTACACCCCATCGAGCAAGAAAAAAAGACATTAACAAGTGTTGATCTCATAATGGAAGCTCTTAATGGCCATACTTAATTTATTCTGTAATGTAACATCCACAAAAGGAAGCAGATATTTTTATTTTGAGTATTACCCAAGACATTTAGTACCCGCAGACAGACCCATGGGTGGTTCTGCTCCTGGTCTCAGTTATCTGCAGCCAAAAATGAATACAGACTCTGCTCTTGCAGGTCAAAGATAGTTCAGGGAGAGAGAACAGACTGGTGTGTTTTTCCACTACAGCTGATCATCTGCTGAAATTCACAACTAGGTCAAAGCAATGCAGCAGGCTAATTTCAGATTAGCACATGGAGATTGAATCAAGAAAATGTGTTAAGGATTATTTGTGCGTCTGCTGCCTTATCATGAAGCCTTTTATAAATGTTGAACAAGACAAAATCTAAAACACATTTAAGAGATTTTTATGTCTCAATTAACTGCTCCAATTGGCCTTTAGTGACAATTTGCTCACAACACAACTCCTGCAGAGACAGCCCTGGGGATCCAAATGTGACTGCAGTACAGTGTAAACAAAGCTTTGGATCGGGTAGGCTGGGCTTTCTACATGGGAAGCCTCCTTATTGGCTGCTTCTGCCCGGACATGGAAACCCTTTGGCAGCATAATTTTCCACAAGGATAAAAAAATATATATCAACACACGAGTAAGAAGTGGGAACACGTGATCCGTGCCACTGAAAAGCCAAAAAGCCTACGTTACATTTAAACTAGCACATTCACGTTGGTTATGTCAAGTTGTGCATAGAGAGAAGGAAAAACTGTCACCGAAAAGAGCAATCAGAACGATTATTGTTTACGTTTTTCACATGTTCGTATTTGTAACTTATCGCTTTAGTATAATATAAAAGTTGCTCCACCGACAGCTTTTAACGCTGACACGATTAGCTTTGCTAACTGTACTAGTTAATTTCCGCTCCGCAACAGTCACACTCGACATTGCCGTCGAAGTTATAGACAGACGAGGAACTAAAACGTTAACCCAACCCAATCAAACAAACATTAAACTGTGACTGAATCTAACAACTTTACCTTATTAGCGCCTTCGGAACGGGAGACGCACGCCGACAATAACTCTTTATCGACGACGTCCCGTTTCGTGTACTCAACTCGGTTGTTAAATGCCCTGGATATGTGAGGCCAAATGGGCTAAACCATCTCACATGTGGGTTTTAACTACCAAATAAGCAGATAGAAAAATACTTAATTGCGTCATTACTTTCAAAATGGAAGAATCAAAATAACTAAATAATTTTTTTTGTGAAAATTTACGTTGTTTCACAACCGATTATGAATCCTTCGTGGTCGAAATGGTTTAGTCCGCTGCCTCAAATCCACGCTCAGTTTGTTTACACCAAATTCTGCGACCCATCACAATTTGTGACCCCAGGAGGCAGTGTTGCGTTTTGTTGCGTCTGTACATCCTGAATTGGCATAAAAGAAAAAGATGCTACGTTAAAACCGTAAACTACGTAAGCTTTGAGTTCTGCGGCGCGGACCATGGATTTTAAAAAGAGCGTTTGTTAATGTTTATTGCAAACAAACGGGACAATAAATGCAGCGATAACCAGGGCTTTGACAAGATACGTTTGCTAACGTTAAACACTGATTTTACAATATGCGAGGTCAGCAGGTAAAATGTTCAGAACTTCAATTTATTGATGTTAATTGTTGTGATCCACATCCTCAGTTTATTAGAAACTTCTGCAGATTATCTGGTTGCTACATTTTTTTCCCTGTCAATGCCACTCATATGTACTGGTGGAGATAAAGGGGAAATAAAAGGACGCAAACATCACGAAACTCCTTTTGTTATTATCTTTAGTGAAAATTAAAGACATCTGCATTATTACTGAGATGCAGATGGCCACATTCTGTGGTAGCCACTATCATATTGTGTGACCTTACTGTAACTTCAGTTATAATGACTTTTACATCACGCAAACAGTTTTTGGTAACTTCTCTGATGATGTAGTTTATAAAAAAGTGCATTTGACCTCCGTCATCTGCATTATTACTGAGAAGCAGATGGTCACATTCAGTGATGGTCACTATCATATCTTGAGTGCCCAAGGACCGCGCCGCACAACTTCCTCAAAGTTTACGTAGTTTACGGTTTTAACGTTATATTTTCTTCTTTTACGCCAATTCAGGATGTACAGACGCAACAAAACGCAAAACTGCTCCCTATGGTCCCTTTTGGCAAAATTTGGCTTCAGTGGTGATCAGGAAATACTTATTTTGTTTACCACTAGGGGGCAGCATCACAGATTCCAGCACAGATTGAGCCGTTTGAATTTGCTGTAGAAGGAGAAAGTTCGTGATGGCGGTTGATTTGACTCCTCGGTTCAGAAGGTTAAACAGCCAAACGAGAAGTTTTCGTGAAAACACTCAGCATGGTAAGATTTTAAATAGATATTTAATTTAATAATATTGTTATCTGCTTCTTTTGATTTAGAAAGACCTATATAAACACCCACATCTGAATGGTTTCCTGTTGAAGTGACGCTAGTAAACACTAGCCGTATGACCTGTTTATAAACTTGTCAACCTATTTTGCTGTTAAGAAATTGCGTTTATTACAAACTAAAGCATTGTTCGCGTTCATATTTTCAACAACCTGATGACAGTTAGAAATAACTAATTAAAACACACTGTACTAGTTTTTGACATTACACTGACATTGAGCTCAGTTTGAGGAATATAATCAGATTGTAGTTTCTTTGTGACTTTTTTTTACTCTGAAATATTTAGGCCTAGATTAGATTAGAATTTAGGTTTAAAAAATCTTACATTGAGTCTCTTGCTTGAAATATTTAAACACATTATAGGATATGTATCATTTATGCATCAGATTTATCGTTTTAGGCAAGGCAGCTTTATTTATAGAGCACATTTCAAACACGGAGGCTATTCACTGTGCTTTACAATTATCAGGACATGATATGAAAACGACATAAAAACACAAATTAGAATACACACAAATGGAATTACAGATTAGAGCTAAAGGAGAAGACAAAGTTACAGCGCAGATTACAGCGGATATGACGCATGATAAGAAACAATTAATTTAAAGGCAGATGAGTACATTAGGGTTTTTAGTTTAGTTTTAAACAACACTAGGGTTGGGGCACATCTGAGGTCATGGGGATGCTGATTCCATATGTGAGCAGTATAGTAACTAAATGCATCTCCACCATGTTTGGGTCTGACCCGAGGTTCTACCAGCTGACTGTTTCCAATAGATCTCAGAGCCCTATTGGGTGTATATACAGGAATAAGATTGGACATGTATTTTGGTCCCATGCCATTGAGTGATTTATAAACTAGAAGGAGCACTTTAGAGATAATATGTAGCTTATTTATTAAATTAGATAATTTAAAAAAATATAATCAGATTATAAAGTCTACTAAATATTACCCGTCACAATCACATTCTTGGTATTTTCTAAATGATTGTCTTCTGATTTCTTTATTGTTTAATAGATTTCTCGAGGCCCTTTGGAGCCACTCAGCTGTGGCACAACATCATCAAGGCTCTGCAGTCTCAGGTGGAGGTGCGTCGCTGCAGGAGACACCTTCGTGTTCATGCTGAATGTTTCACTGGCTCAGACGCCGTGGATGCAGTTCTCAGTTATCTGATGCAGAATGTGGTGTTTTGCACAAGTGAAGTGTCCCGCCTTAAAGCGGCGCGACTCTGCCAGGCTTTGATGGAGGCCAAGGTGTTTGAATCGGTGGGCACAAAGCTGTTTCGCAGGGACAAGGAGGCGACCTTCGAGGATAGCAGCGGCAGCCTTTACCGCTTTTTGGACTACAAAGGAATTCCTGCTCTTAAAGAAGGCAGCAGTGACACAGAAAACAGTGTGCCAGAAGAAAACGAGACAAAAAGGAAAAAGAGCTCAAGGTTAGAATAATATCATTTGCTGTTTTGTTTAACAACATATCCTCACACATTAAACATCTGATGTTTAAATTGATGTTGACATCTTGTGCTTTGATTGACTTTGATGTTTAAGTTGCCAATTTAACCCTTTAGAACCCACATCATTTTGAATTAGCAAACAGATTGGAATAAATAAATCAAAATGTAGGAAAAAACTAAATGGAATTAAAAAGTTGAATAATTTTCTATCCATGCATGGATAGGATGTCATTTGGGGTTTTCAAATTTGAATATTTGACTCAAGAAGCTATTTTGCAGATGTTTGAAACAGGTCGTGACACCGGCATCACCACAGGTTCTTAAGGGTTAAATATTAAAATGGTAATTTGATATTTTCTCCAGTTACACACAAGGAAAAAAAGATTAATCCAAAGAATCCTCTTATTGTGTCCAAAGGCTGAATGAAATGAGGACAATCTCCAATCCTCTTGCTGTCGGATCATCAGACAAGAGGGTTGAAAGACTTCTGAGGACCATCAACCTGCAAACATCCTTCTCTCCAGCTCTGAACCCAGCACCCTCCGACTCTTACTTCTTGTCTAAAGCTGGTAAAGAAAAATCTGTCTGGATGTAAGGGTGTGGTTCATTGCGAGGCATAAAAAAAACCGACACCATTTACGTTTTTCCTTAGTGGTGGACGAGGTTTGGAAGCAGCAGACGTTGTTGCAGTTGCTGCAGATCATAGAACTGCCCGTGTTGGACTGCATACTCGCTTCACCTGAAAGGGTTCATCCTCGGTCCTGCAGAGCTCCCCTGACCAACCAAGACTTGATCATCTCCAACATGTGCCTGGAAAGAGAGCTCCCTGATGCACTCAACCTACTCCAGTCAGTAACTTATCAAACACTCTAAAGATTGTTGAGTCGTGTGTTGAAACTTGTGTTATTATAGTGCACAAACAATGGAAATTAACAACTTTTCTGTCCATGCATCACCCCTACAATAACAGTAAAACTGTTTTATTCTGTCGTAGGGTTGTCACGGTAACCGGTGTAGCGGTAAACCCCGGTAAAAAAGTTGACAATAATAATAACCGTCTTGTTTTTAATAAAAATATATTATCTCGGTGGATTACCGTGGCTGCGGTGTAGGCGCGGTGACCCTTACCAGCCACCTTATCATCTGCTGAAGTTGCCGGCGGCACATGCGCACTTTGTTGTTTACAACCAAAACTTTCTTGAAGCTAAAGCTGAAATAATGGCCAAAGGAGGAGACGGCAGCGCTCAGGAGGACATTTTTTATCCCTCAAAGAAGACAAAGTGGGAAGTACGGGCATCTTTTAGATATCTGAAGAATGCCGAGGGACAGCTGATAGAAGACGGCTATCCTGTTTGCAGCACGTGCAGAAAAAGTGTCTGTGAAAGGCAGCAACGCTTCAAATCTCATGACACATCTGCGTGACCATCACCCACAACTCTACAGTCAATGCAAGGCAAGCTAACGTTAGCGTTTTAGCTAAAATGCGTGATCCGAGGATTTGGGTTGAGGGAGAATGCAACGAGTCGCTATATAAAGCAGCCGCAGCGCTGCTATCTGCATATAAACCGTGTCACGGACACCCCCATATTGAAATGACGCTATGCATTACGGGGCTCCCAGGGGCAGATAAGAGTTGGTCTCTCTCCGAGAATAATTATGAATTTAACAATGATTACTGCCTGATGACATTTTCCCACATCTGCAAAGCTCACTGGAAGGACACAAACCGAGGACAATATTTTCCTGATGTAGGGTTTATTACTCAAGTAAGGGTAAAAAAGTATCTGATTAGAAGCTACTTGAGTACTGTCTATCATCTGATCTAATATTTTTTAAATGATGACATCAAACAGACAAAAAAAAAGAAGTTATGAGCAAATATTGGTATTTTAAAGACTAAAGGGGAAAAATGTAAACAAATAAACAACATCATTACAAAATAACAAATTTTAGGTTCAATTTAGACACAAACGGAGGACAATATTTTCTTGACATACAGGGCTTATTCAGGTGTCTGAAAATGTAACGTGTTTAAAAAAAAATACCGCGATAATACCAAAACCGCGATAATTTTGGTCTTAATAACCGTGAGGTTAAATTTTCACACCGTGACAACCCTACTCTGTCGTCGTTTTTCATCCTCAGGTTTGATGCATGGCTGTCAGCGGCTGCTGACTGCTTGGAGTTGTTTCCAGACCAACTGATAATGGTTGCAGGGGAGCAGCTCGGCCAGAAAGAAAGCAATGCCTCATCAGAGAACGGGACAACGGAGCATATGGGCAGCCAGAAGCGATGGCTGTTTGACATTATCGCCAAGTATTACAGTGGTCAGGAAAAAGCACCGCTGATAGCAGGGCGCTATCTGGATGCACATGTTGCTATTCTGAATTTACTTGGTGAGATTTTTAGTCGTGCATATTTAATATTAGATGAAAAGAGTAAATATCTAAGCAAGGCCTGATGTCTCCTGTTCATTTCCAGATGAGGGGAAAACACGGGAGGCCGTCAAAGCATCTCAGCTGTGTTTGCGGCTGCTGGAGACGAGCACCAGAGACGAACTACGGAGACTTCTGTCATTCATGGCCACAGCAGCTCAGTCAGATTCCTGCCGAATGCAGAAGCAGGTAGCACAGACACGTTGCTCAGTCCACAGTGATTACAGCTTTTTTCATAATTTATAAAACAAAAGAATCCTTTTCATCAGCTGTTCGCATTGATGTGATTATTTATTTGTAGGATTTATTCGCAGGTTGATGTGATAACCATGACTCTGGTGTTTTTGGTTTTCTTTCAGACCGAAAATCGGACCTTGGTTTGTCGCACTTTTCAGAGAGCTCTTGTTCAGAGTCACGAACTCACGAGATCTCAGAGTGACACCCTCGTACTCTTTCTGATGGATAATCACTCAGAGCTCTTCAAGGTACACCTCTGCCACGATGATTTAGAAACCACACTTTAGATATACAGAAATCCAACTTTTAAAATTGATTAATTGATTTGCTGATGTCATGGTAACAGACTCCTACAACTCTCGTTGAAGCTGTGAGAAGAACACTACGGACTCTGCAGCAAGGCAGAGATCCAGACTTGATCGCTAGTAAGTTCAAAGTCATGTCACTTCAGATGTGGTCTGGAGCAATGTTGCCCAAGACTCATGAAACACTATAAATCAGTGAGTCATTTTCAAATCCTCTTCTTTCTGTGTTGCAGCTTTCACTTTCTGCCAGCAGGTGACGCCACAAGAATATGAAGACCAGTGTGAGGCCACCACTTTGGAGAGCCTCCGCCAGCTCCTCCATGACATTTCATCAAACAAGAGCATGCCTCTCAAGGAGAGGAGGAAGCTTCTCAGAGACTTTGAAAAACATCATCCTGTTGTGTTCCTGCAGCATTTTTCCAGCACTTTCTGATAGTGGTAATGGAATAATGTCATTGATTCCCGTCTGAGTATGCAGCTCCAGGGTTAGATGGGTTAGTTCATAGTAATAACCGGAAAATGAGCACACATCCAATGTCTGGTGTGCAGAATAGGAATGACAAGCTTTAAGATGAACAAGGCCGAAAAATCTCTCCCAAATCACGTTATCAGGTGACCATCCATTTTCGACTGCTTATCGTGGCTTGGGTCGCGAGGGCAGCAGCTTAAGTCCAGAGGCCCAGACTTCTCTTTCCTCAGGCACTTGGGCCAGATCCTCCGGGGGAATCCCAAGGCGTTCCCTGGCCCGCTGAGAGACATAGTCCCTCCAGCGTGTCCTGGGTCTTCCTTTAGGTCTCCTCCCGGTTGGATGTGCTCTGAAAATCTCACCAAGGAGGCGTCCAGGAGGCATCCTGACTAGACGCCCGAGCCACCTCAACTGGCTCCTCTCGATATGGAGGAGCAGCGAATCTACTCCGAGACCCTCCCGCTGACATTGCTCTAATTTTACGAGGGTGGCAGCTCTGTGTTGTTTTACAAATCACTTCGGCCATATGAGAGTTTTATGTTTTTTGTAAATTTGTGCCAAAGTCACATTTAGGACAGCAGCTGTAGATGCCATTTAGAAATTGACAGTTTTTAAGTTTAAGGCATCAGTTAAGCTAAAAATTCTTTATAATCCACTGTTAGAACTTTTTTCTCCTTATGCAATTCCATTTCCTTTAACATTTTGTTTTGTTTAGTTGGAAAAATCTAGTTTTTTTTTTTTTTATATTTACTAAATGATTTATAATTTGTTTGTCAATGACTATTTTCTCTTTTGTTGGAAGATAGAATTACTTTAAAAAGGGACTACTTAAAATAGCCATTTTGTTGATGCTATTATTTAATATTCTGAGAACAAATTAATATTTTTTTTACTCATAAGTGCATCATTTAGATAAAAGTTTTGCTAATGTTTTTCTTTAGTCTGATTAGCTCTTATTGAAGATCTTTGCACTTGGGGCACGTTAGTACTTCTGCATGTTAAATGAGGAAAATCGTCGTGTAGCAAATCTTATGTTTTTGTAGTATTTAGAGGAAAAATACGGGAATAATGTAAAACATTAACGTGGATGAAGTTTGTTGCTTGAACTAATTTTTTTATAAAGATTTTAATTTTGAATTTATATGAAATGTATGTTAGTTTTATTGTAGCTCAGGGCAAATGTAGGCTTTTGTTTTTTGGTATTTTCAGTATTTGTGGCAGGAAAGCAGTTACTTTAATTAAAACTGCAAGATGTACTTGAAATATGGACTTTGACTTGATTGGAAAGGTAATGAGTATTGTTATTTTTTGGCTACTAATTGTTTAATTGCTTTAAACGTGTTATTTACTGCTGGTTTTTATTTTCCAACTTGTGTTGTTTACAAACACTAAAATCGTGTTAGAATGCACTTTATAATGTTGGCAAATGTAATAATACACATAATAAAAATAATTTGAATATTTTGATGCAAATTTCTCATCAAATGCACAAAATGTTTATTTTATTCCTCATTAGTAATGAAAACAAAAATACAAATATTACTTTCTCCTATTTTATTTGCGTTAGCATAATGAATTCAGCTTTTCTTAAAAGATTCAGGAAAAGCAAAAAATGTAACCAATATTAATCCGTGATTTGAAGAAAGGGGGGAAAAGATGACGTAGAGGCACCTGACTACGTGAGAAAGCAACCCGGAAGTGGTGTTTAGTTTTATTAGCATGCTGAGCTAATTCTTTTCGTCTGCAACTGGAAAACATGGGGGATGTGTTTCACAGCCATCAATGACAACGTTGCTACCCACTATCAATTTGTAGCAAGGCTGTAAAACCAAAGGTTGTTTTTATTTAAGGTAAGCAGCTGAAAGGTTTTGGGTTTCTGGGTTAAATCAGTCGGTGTTTGAGTAAAACGCAGCTGTTTGCGCATCGCTGGCTAGTTAGCTTGAGTAGTTGGTCATCTTTAGTTAAAGAAAGACTTTTTACTCTGTAACAGTGGTGTCAGCTACACGGCTCTAACACGGATTAAATTAGATTTTAAAGGGATTTATGTCTAGTAATGTATTCGTTGGGCCAGAACTGACCATGCTAAACAATGATTGGCTAACAAGTCGTTTCACAATCAGACCTGCTCGTTCACTGTTCGAAAAACCATCAGCCTAACGTCAAGAAGTGGTTTAATCCTCTAGCAGAAAATCAAGTTTACTAGTTTCTGCTTTTGGATCTGACATGTTTTAAAACGGCTGTACAGGTGGTTAAACGGAAGTAAACATTCAAAACTAAGCGCTTTAGTTCAAATTTAAAGATCACGTGGAGTCACGCTGAGTTGGAGTCAAAATTAGTCAGTGCTAATATTTAAAACGAGAACATATGTTTGGGGAAGTTGTTGCCTTCTGGCCTTGGTCGATGTTTCCAGATAGAAAACTGAAAATGTGCAGCTGAGATGCTGATGTCAGTTCAACCAGCTGATTCTGTTTATGCCACCAGTCATATGTGTTATTTACAAAAATGCATAGTTTCATAATGACTTTCATGATGTTCTCCATAAAGCATGGAGAGGAGTTCTCTAAGCCAGGCTTAAGAAAATAATATAGATGTTATCATACATAAACACATTTTAACCCTTAAAATCAACCCCACTACACACACACACACACACACACACACACACACACACACACACAGCGACTTCAGTAACAGCTCAGGTGGTGTTTTTAGGAGAGTCCTGTTGCGTTGCTGATGATTTTGCTCTGAGCCATGTTATAATTTTAGGGGCAAATTCCACTATTTCATTTTAATTTTCCACAGCCAACTCAAGCAAGACACTGCTGGGTTCTTTGAAGTGCTAGTTTTCCTGCAGCTACCCCAGAGTGCATATCTGATGGATACTGGAGGGCTTCTTTGACCAGTTACTGACACTATTGAGTTTCCACATTTGACTGATTGTTGATCACCTCTGCAATTTGTGTCAAATCCTCTTTTTTTTTTTTTTTTTGTCCTCTGTGGTGATGCATGCCTCATCCTCAGCTGCTGGGCCACGCCTGACAATGGAGTCCATGTTGAACAAGTTAAAAAGCACGGTCACTAAAGTGACAGCAGATGTCACCAGCGCCGTTATGGGAAACCCGGTGACGAGAGAGTTCGAGGTCGGGCGGCATATAGCGAGTGGCGGTCCCGGGCTGTGCTGGAGGATTTATAACGGCACCAAGAAGTCCACCAAACAGGTGTGTGTTTATTATGCTGCCTTGTTGTCATACACGTCACCGATGGGCTTGAATAAACGATTTACAGTGTGGTGTCTAAAAGGTCATCATCGGACGTCCTACTGCTCTAGATGTGTGCATGTTGCTCATTTCTGTAACCCTCTAGGAAGTGGCGGTGTTTGTGTTTGACAAGAAGATTATTGACAAATACCAGAAATTTGATAAGGACCAAATCATCGATTCGCTGAAAAAAGGAGTGCAACAGCTGACCCGACTGCGTCACCCTCGTCTCTTGACCGTGCAGCATCCTCTGGAGGAGTCACGGTGATTACCTCTCATGCATTCACACCAGAATGTCTTATTTCCTGTTATGAAGGACAAACTACACGAGTCACAGCCCAGAGATGGGCATTAACATTCGGGGTGCATTTGTTACATAACAAATCAATTATCCTTCCTGTTTGTGTGAGCATAAGCATGTTCCAGTTCAAAGACATGGATACATCTACACTTATTTTATTTATAAGTTTATTTTTCTCCAGACAGATATTCATATGGTCTTTACTCTGTTCCAACCTTTGCTATTGTTTATGTTTATTTGGAAGGTGTTTTTATCCAAACAGAGACTTACAAATGACTGTATTGTCTCCATTGTTAAACCAAAACATTATTTTTAATGATAGTAATGTCTTTTGTGTTTTTATCCCACAGAGACTGCTTAGCATTCTGCACAGAGCCCGTGTTCGCCAGTTTATCTAATGTGTTGGGCCAGTGGGACAACCTGCCCAGTCCTGTGCCCAACGACATCAAAGAGTACAAACTCTTCGATGTGGAAACAAAATACGGCTTACTACAGGTGTGGGAACACACACACACACACACACACACACACACACACACACACACACACACACACACACACACACACACACACACACACACACAGACACAGACACAGACACAGACAGACAGACAGACAGACAGAGAAAAAAGGCGACTGCTTCAGTCTGATGATCAAATGGATGTTAGCTTTAATTCCATATCTGTATCTTTTATGTTAAGTTGGAGCTGCTTGTTTTTATATTTGAGGACACAATCACAGTTAGCGGGTTAGAAACCTGCATTCTGATTCTGTTGCATTCATGTCACATTAAGCCAGTTAAACCTGATCATTTCGGCCTCACCTGCCTTTATTATGCGGTTTTCCAACAGGCTGAAGTGTTAGTTCAGTTTCTCCTATGCATTACCCTCCCTTTTACCTCCCCCTCCCGTTTTTCCTTTAGTGCAGGATAATTGCCTCCCTCCCAAACTCCATTTGGATCTGTGTGAGATTTTCCCAACATTCCCTTTTTTCTGTCTCCTCAGATCTCGGAGGGTTTGTCTTTTCTCCACGGCGGGGTAAAAATGGTCCACGGCAACCTGTGCCTAGAAAATATCATCCTCAACAAGAGTGGAGCCTGGAAAATAATGGGCTTTGACTTCAGCATCTCCTCCGTCAACCCCTCAGACGCTGAGGTATCAGCGAGACTTTTGATGGAGAATAAAAGCGTAATCGAAGTACGGCCGCATCCTTCCAAGGTTCCAGCGTTGAAACTGGACGGTCTAGCCATCAGATTTATTCCCGCCTTCGTATATGTTTGTTTATTTGACAGACACTTTTATCCAAAGCGACGTACAATAGTTAACCTATAGGGCGTGTTGTGATCTGTGGGGAAACCCACGCATGCACGGGGAGAACACGCAACTCCATGCAGCAAGGCCGCAGCCGAGTTCCGAACCTGCAACCTTCTTGCTGCAAGGCAACAGTGCTAACAACTGCGCCACCATGCAGCCAGTTCTTTTTGCATAGTTGTATGTACTGTCGCCTAGCAACCGTGACACCGACAAAAGCCTAATAACCCAGCAGCTTTAATTTTTGTACTGCCAGGCTTTAATCAACTTTTATTTAAAACTAATCCTCTCCCAGGAGAAGGATGCATTTGTGGGTAGGGTTGTCACGGTGTGAAGATTTTACCTCACGGTTATTGTGACCAAAATTACCACGGTTTTCGGTATTATTGCAGTATTTTTTTAAACGTGTTACATTTTCAGACAATTAAACAAGCCCTGTATATCAGGAAAATATTGTCCTCAGTTTGTGTCTAAATTTTGCCTAAAATGTGTTATTTTGTAATTATGTTGTTTATTTGTTTACATTTTTTCCCTTTAGTCTTTAAAATACCAATATTTGCTCATAACTTCTTATTTTTTGTCTGTTTGATGTCATCATTTTAAAAATATTAGATCAGATGATACTCAGTACTCAAGTAGCCTTCTAATCCGATACTTTTTTACCCTTACTTGAGTAATAAACCCTACATCAGGAAAATATTGTCCTCGGTTTGTGTCCTTCCAGTGAGCTTTGCAGATGTGGGAAAATGTCATCAGGCAGTAATCATTGTTAAATTCATAATTATTCTCGGAGAGAGACCAACTCTTATCTGCCCCTGGGAGCCCCGTAATGCATAGCGTCATTTCAACATGGGGGTGTCCGCGACACGGTTTATATGCAGGTAGCGGCGCTGCGGCTGCTTTATATAGCGACTCGTTGCATTCTCCCTCAACCCAAATCCTCGGATCACGCATTTTAGCTAAAATGCTAACGCTAGCTTGCCTTGTGTTGACTGTAGAGTTGTGGGTGATGGTCACGCAGATGTGTCATGAGATTTGAAGCGTTGCTGCCTTTCACAGACACTTTTTCTGCACGTGCTGCAAACAGGATAGCCGTCTTCTATCAACTGTCCATCGGCATTCTTCAGATATCTAAAATATGCCCGTACTTCCGACTTTGTCTTCTTTGAGGGATAAAAAATGTCCTGAGCACTGCCGTCTCCTCCTTTGGCCATTATTTCAGCTTTAGCTTCAAGAAAGTTTTGGTTGTAAACAACAAAGTGCGCATGTGCCGCCGGCAACTTCAGCGGATGATACGGTGGCTGTTAAGGGTCACTGCGCCTACACCGCAGCCACGGTAATCCACCGAGATAATATAGTTTTTAAAAACAAGACGGCTATTATTATTATTGTCAACTTTTTTTACCGGGGTTTACCACTACACCGGTTACCGTGACAACCCTATTTGTAGGTCACACTTGGATCAGCCTTCGTCACGTCGCTGTCATGTAATCAGCTTTCAAATGCGACCTTTGAAGGATGCAGCCCTTGAAGGTGTACACAGCTTACATCTGAGCCTTGAACTTCCTGTTTTCTCTTGTGTTTGTAGCCTAAGTACTCCTGTAAGGAGTGGGAGCCCAACCTTCCTCCCCTGTGCCTCCCTAACCCCGAGTACTTGGCCCCTGAATACATCCTGTCTGTCAGCTGTGACGCCGCCTCTGACATGTACTCCCTCGGTGTGGTCATGCACTCCGTGTTCAACGAAGGCAAGCCCGTGTTCCAAGTCAACAAGCACGACATCTTTAAGAGTTTCAGCAGGCAGCTGGATCAGGTGAGCACAAGGCCAAGCTTAAAAATCTCATTAAAAAAGTGTTAAAAACAAAAGGTTTTCTATGTAGAAAATCTGGATTATGGTGCACTAGTACGTTGTTTTCTTTTCTGTTATTTCAATCAGAAGTATTTTAATCTCCTCTTGATTTAAACTGTGCAGCTGAGCAACATGAACCCAGCCCTGCTGAACAAAATCCCAGAGGAGGTGCGGGAGCACGTCAAGATGCTGCTCAGCGTGACTCCAAACGTCCGTCCCGACGCCGACCAGATGACCAAGGTCCGACCTGTCGTTCCCGTTTGAAGACTCGGTGAAACCTCTCATCTCGTGTGCTTGTGTTTTTTTAAGGATTGCATTCTCTTGTTTTGGGTTTAGATTCCCTTTTTTGATGACGTTGGTGCCGTGACCCTCCAGTACTTCGACACCCTCTTCCAAAGAGACAACCTCCAGAAGTCCCAGTTCTACAAAGGACTCCCCAAAGTTCTGCCCAAGCTACCAAAGGTGAAGATGCTCGTGCGACAGATAAATGATAAACCGAAACGTCTTATCGAGTTGCCTTGAACTCATCCCGCCGTTTCCTCACAGAGAGTTGTGGTTTATCGCATCCTGCCAGCGTTGACCTCTGAGTTTGTCAACCCAGACATGGTCCCCTTTGTGCTTCCCAACGTTCTGCTGATTGCAGAGGATTGCACCAAGGAGGAGTACGTCCGCCTCATCCTGCCTGACCTAACGCCTGTGTTCAAACAGCAGGAGCCCATCCAGGTAGACGCTGTGCCCGTGCACGTGCCTGATAACAACTTAAGCTTGAAACTTTTGGAATAGTGCATGTTTGCCATGATGGCAGAAATCTTGTGGCTTTTGATGATAACCTGACTGAAGAGCATGCTGGTTTTGGATTCTCGCCTAAGTGTTTTCCTATTTTGTTTTTTTCCCCATGCCTCTTCAGGCTAGTAACATGGTGAGTGGCCTCTGCAGTGACACGTCCGTCACACCAGCTAGCTCTGTGTTGTGTTGTCATGGCACTAACATCTGCACTAACCTCACTGAAATCATCACTTTGATCTCCCCCCACTCTGTTGAATGCAGCCATGTTTTTTGTTTGTTTCCCTAACTTTGTTTGTGTGATGTTTAGATCCTGCTGATATTCTTGCAAAAGATGGACCTGCTTCTGACAAAGACGCCTTCAGAGGACATCAAGAACAGTGTCCTCCCAATGGTCTACAGAGCTCTTGAGGCTCCTTCAGTTCAGATCCAGGTACAAAGAAAACGATCGGCATGTGGAAGCAAATCTGTTGGCTAACATGCATTTGAGTAAGAAAACCTTGAGTTTTGTTTAATCCAGAGTAGGGTTGTCACGGTGTGAAGATTTAATCTCACGGTTATTGTGACCAAAATTATCACGGTTTTCGGTATTATCGCAGTGTTTTTTTTAAACGTGTTACATTTTCAGACAACTACATAAACCCTGTATATCAGGAAAATATTGTCCTCAGTTTGAGTCTAAATTTTGCCTAAAATGTGTTATTTTGTAATTATGTTGTTTATTTGTTTACATTTTTTCCCTTTAGTCTTTAAAATACCAATATTTGCCCATAACTTCTTATTTTATGTCTGTTTGATGTCATCATTTTAAAAATATTAGATCAGATGATACTCAGTACTCAAGTAGCCTTCTAATCAGATACTTTTTTTTTACCCTTACTTGAGTAATAAACCCTACATCAGGAAAATATTGTCCTCAGTTTGTGTCCTTCCAGTGAGATTTGCAGATGTGGGAAAATGTCATCAGGCAGTAATCGTTGTTAAATTCATAATTATTCTCGGAGAGAGACCAACTCTTATCTGCCCCTGGGAGTCCCGTAATGCATAGCGTCATTTCAACATGGGGGTGTCCGTGACACGGTTTATATGCAGATAGCAGCACTGCGGCTGCTTTATATAGCGACTCGTTGCATTCTCCCTCAACCCAAATCCTCGGATCACGCATTTTAGCTAAAACGCTAACGTTAGCTTGCCTTGTGTTGACTGTAGAGTTGTGGGTGATGGTCACGCAGATGTGTCATGAGATTTGAAGCGTTGCTGCCTTTCACAGACACTTTTTCTGCTCGTGCTGCAAACAGGATAGCCGTCTTCTATAAACTGTCCCTCGGCATTCTTCAAATATCCAAAAGATGCCCGTACTTCCCACTTTGTCTTCTTTGAGGGATAATAAATGTCCTGAGCGCTGCCGTCTCCTCCTTTGGCCATTATTTCAGCTTTAGCTTCAAGAAAGTTTTGGTTGTAAACAACAAAGTGTGCATGTGATACGGTGGCTGGTAAGGGTCACCGCGCCTACACCGCAGCCACGGTAATCCACCAAGATAATATATATTTTTCAAAAACAAGACGGTTATTATTATTGTCAACTTTTTTTTACCGGGGTTTACCGCTACACCGGTTACCGTGACAACCCTAATCCGGATACTTTTTAAAGGTGCGGTTGACTGAAAAACCATTTTCTAAAAGCTTTTTTTCTGATTATAATCGGTCACTCTTGAGTTTTTCATGCAGGCTGAGCATGAAAATAGTCTCTTACACCTATCTCCTGCATTAGCTTCTGATAGAAAACAGATGGTGAAACCCTAGGATTAGAAAATCCTGACTGATCTACGTCACTTAACATTCATTGACTCACCTGTCTTGACTCCTGATTGTAAAGGTTGTTATTTTTTTTTACGTCCGGTAATCAGCAGCGGACGTCTCTGTTAGTTTAAGCTAACATTAGCATTAGCTACTTCACCTCACAGCAGAAGCTCCTCCATGCTTGCAAGTCAGTGGTAGAGTCGTGTTGCTGTTATCCAATCCAGGGTGAGATGTCCACATATCAGGAAGTAAGACTCCAGATGCTTCTGTCTGTAGCTCAGCTGTGATAGTGCAGTTAGCCCTGCTGAGCCAGGGGTTTGTGGGCTTTTTTGTGCCCTGAGTTCTGCCTGCAAGGCATTCATTCCTACCAGAGGCCACTGCAAATGTATTGATTAAACTAGTAATGCACTCATTTATGTTTATGTATTTAGCAGACGCTTTTGTCCAAAGCGACTTACAAGTGATAATCGGCATGTTGCCCTTGAGGCTAACAACAACAATAACAACAACTTGACATCAATCATGGTGAGGAGGGAACAAGGAGTGGACAGTAGAGAGGGGGGACGGGTGCAGGGAGGGTGCTAGTTAAGAAGATGCTCTCTGAAGAGCAGGGCATTTAAAACTATGTAACAGAAAAGTGTTTATTGTTGTGTGTAGAAACCTTGCAGCCTCACATTTCTTTACTCAGGGGCACTTATAGTTCTTACAGACCTAAATCCTAAATCTGTCCTGCGTCTTTCATACGTTGCCTGCGGGGGGACAGGAGCTGTGTCTGAACATCATCCCAACATTCGCCAACCTGATTGACTACCCGGCCATGAAGAATTCCCTCATCCCCCGCATCAAATCGGCCTGCTTACAAACTTCCTCGTTGGCTGTGAGTTTCCCATCAATCAGCTCTCTCACTTTTGAGCAGTTCTCCCTTTTTCGTCCCTCTTTCACATTTCCTGATTTCCCAACTAAAATGTCAAAAATGTCTTCCCGTAGGTTCGAGTGAATTCTCTGGTTTGTCTGGGAAAGATTTTGGAATATCTGGATAAGTGGTTTGTCATTGATGAGATCCTGCCGTTCCTGCTGCAGATCCCCTCTAGAGAGCCCGCAGTGCTGATGGGCGTTTTAGGTAAACGAATCAGCCACATTCTTCCTGCCGATCTGTCCTACGCGCATATTCATTAAAAACATCAAAATCGTGTCGATTGATTTGTTTCAGGAATCTATAAATGCACATTTAGCCACAAGAAGCTTGGGATCCCTAAAGAGCATCTCGCCACTAAGAGCCTACCCCACCTGGTGTCTCTTAGCATAGACAACAACCTGAACCTTAATCAGGTACATTTCCCTTTTAAACACTTCATAAACCATGTGAATGACTTTTCATGTCGTTTCTGTAGCTTTTAGTTCCTTTAACTGTAACCTCCTCTTCTGTCTTTCAGTTTAACTCTTTCATGGTGGTTATCCGCGAAATGCTGAGTCGCATGGAGGCCGAACACAAGACCAAGCTGGAGCAGCTGCACGCGATGCAGGAGCAGCAGAGGTTTCTCTCCACGTTTCATCAGCTGTCCTTAAAGGGGCATTATGGAAGTTTGACAGCCAAACCATTTATAGAAATAATAAATGTCTTCTTCATACATTCTCCTGCAATGCCCTGGTCCTGTAGAATGAGCCCTGGCATTTTTATTGTGATTGCCTGTTTTCCTGTAAAATCACAGAAAAAGAGAGATGCTCGGGTCGAGCAGGCTGCTTCATGCGCGTTCACGCTCACGCATAGCCCGTAGCATTTGCTATCTGTAGCTTTAGTCTTTGTCGCTGTTCCTAACTCCTAGTGACAAACCTAGCTACGTTTCTGAGGACCCTTAGCTACTTTCTGTAGAACTTTCTTCTAGATATTTCCTGCAAATTAGCAACGAAATAGCCATTTTCGCTCCGAACCGTTCTTTGGTTTGACGTTGTTTCAGCTGTCATCAAGGATATAAATGTTACAGATACTGTGAATGTTACTGGTGTGTAGCTCACCTTGTAAGATGTCTGACTCCCATGCAGAAGATCTGGGTTTGATTCTGGGTGTGAACATAGTTCATTTAGAGTTTCTTTTTTACATTAATGGTATATTATTTTTTACAGTAAGATGCCCAAATTTTTATTTGAGACTCGCCGAATGGCATTGAATTCACAGATAAAAAAGATGTGGGTTCAACTTTCATTTTGGAACAAATTTTCAAGCAAGGGAAGGGAATGATCTGAGCATGCAGGAGGACTGACCCATCTTAAACCGTTGTTGGCTGTGCTGAAGAGAAAGGTACAGAACCAAATTATTTAATTAGCTGCGCGTTCTCTTGCCCTCTGGGCCACACACACACACACGCGACTGTCTCAGCTGTTATTTTCGTTAAGGAGTGTGCACGTACAGCATGCGCGCCTCGTGCACGAGCCTACTATTGAAGCTGCCGTTACGCTTTTGGCCTGAGGGGGCAATCGCAAGCATAAAAATTCAAAACTCCGTAAAGTCCCTTTAAACATTTAGGGATCGCGCACATGAACATGAGGGTGTTGGGACTAAAGTTTAGTTTCTTTTACAGGAGTCTGAACATCTCTAATCCAGCAAACCAATCAGAAGATAGGAAGAGTCCACCCAGCTCTGGAAACCAGGTGAGAAGTTAATCAAAAGCTTCGTATGAGAGTAGAAGAAAAACATTTCTACTGGTTTTACTGGTGATTTTCTGTGCTTATTGTGGTCAGATTGATGACATCTTTGGCAGCACGAGTGTTAATGGGAAGGAAAACGGATCCTCGGTTGCGACCTCACAGCCTAACAGGGTACGTTCATCATGTCACACTTAGCTCACCTAGAAGGCAGCGCAGCTGCTTCACCGTCTCTCTGCTCCAACACGACTCCTAGATGTCTCTGACTCTGGAGGAGAAGCAGAGGCTGGCTAAGGAGCAGGAGCAGGCAGCCAAGCTGAGGAGCCAGCAGCCGTTGGCGCCGCAGAGCATCAAACCAGCAGCCAACACCAACTCACAGGTAAGGCCTGGCCACCTCACACACACACACACACACACACACGCTCCTAATCCACGGTCACACATCTGTAGCTTCTCATGTTGCAGACGAAGGACCTGACCAGCAGTCTGATGAACAACATGACGTCTCTGTCCCTGGCTGGCTCCGCACGGCCGCCTCCAGTTCAGGGCTCCACCATGTCTGCCTTCCCTTCCTCCAGCCCCATGGCTGGCTCCATGGGTGCCCCAGTTTCTAATGGTTTCAACCCAGCTATGGGCTTCCAGACAGCAAGCGTGGGAATGGGAATGGGAATGGGTCCGTCAGGTCCCGGCTTCTACGGCGGCATGGCCTCCACCACCAGCACCCCAAACTTTGGAGCCCTAACTCAGGGAGCGGTGGGACAGAGCGGTAAACCTCCTGACATGTCCGCCTTGGACAGTCTGTTCACGCCCAACAAGCCCAAAGTCCCGCTCAAACAAATGGGTCCAATAGCGCCACCTGGAGCCAACACAGCCTGGCTCAGTCAGTTTGGTTCAGCCCAGAACGCTCAGACTCCGATGCAGGGTGTGTCTGTGGGCTTGGGAGGGATGTCCAGTGGCTTTGGGATGCAAGCAAACCCGTTTTTCAGCCCGCAGAACTTTTCTCAACCGGCTGCTCCGAGCATGAACCCGACTGGCGTTAAACAGAGCTCTTCTGTCAACAATGACCTGAAAGACCTCTTTGGTTAAGGATCTGGGGTTAACGAGACGCTGAATGATTGTGGAGAACTTGCAAGAGTTAGATTGTTTGTTTGTATTTTTTAGGCCACTTGGACTCAAAACCTGACTTGTTTTCACATTCTGCTGGAAAATGAACCAGATTTCCATTTCTACCGGACCAGAGGGGCGAGCTGTGGGGATGGGAACCACGTGTTTGAATTCTGGGGGTTTAATACAGTTTTATACTTCAAAATGTGTGGGGTTGAAACTTGATTTGGATTATTTAAAGAAAAAATAACGCATTCCTCTCATATTCAATAGATGATTTCTATGCTTTTACTGCTCTTCCCAGAATATTTTAGTATTTCTGCTGCATGTCTAAAGCGATCAGATGTTTGGCTGCGAAACAAAGACGCCCGAGTCCAGTAGGAGGTAGCGGGAAGCTGCAGCCACTGATCTGCATCCAAATCTGGAACCAAACCAATCACAAGCATCAGACCAGCAGTTTTGCTTAAAGTGGGGCAAAAGACACAGCCGTCTCCATGGCAACTCTTCCTTTGCAGCATCACTAATCCAATCTTTTTCAACAATCTCTGCCTTTTTTCTTCATTTATTTTGATAATTTAACATAAGGAAAAAATCTGAATGAATCAGCATATCACTGACTTGACCAGATGTTTAGTTTGAACATTTTCTGATTTATTTTGTGATTGTGCCTTGGAGTGGTACACAAACGCTCATCCTTCCGCCTCAGGCTGAGCTTTGAGCCAGTAGTGCTGCCTCGTCTACAAAAATATCATTTAAAAAAAATCCTCGATTATTTATTTCCAGCAACCAATCACATTTAATTTCATCTGTTTATTTCCACATCATCTCAACGACTCGCTGTTTCTAAGCAACGCTGCCATCCTGACACTTGGTGGTTTTCTGAAACAAAATCGTATATATTTGTACTCCAGCTGTGTGATGGGCTGTGCTGCTGATGTATGAAGTGTAAATGTACAGTTATTTAAAAGGGATTAGTTTGCCGGGGGTCTTGTGAATCTGGTAAAGAGGCCTTAGATGAGTCGAGTGCAATAATCCTTCCTGTTGAGGACCAGCTTCATTTACTTCATTAGGTTTTCTTAACAGCTGAGCTTTAACATCCATTTGTTTGAAATCTTACATTTTAGAGAGGAGTCACTCATCCTGGGGTTTTAATGCTCTGATTTATTCTTGTGATGATGATTGCTGTTGGTGTCTTTTAATTCAATCATGTAAAAGAAGTTCCACATAAACAAAAACCACCACAGACACACAGTGTTACACACTCATCCAACCTGCCAGGCTTCACTTTCTGTGTGTGTGTGTGCGAGTGAAGGCTTTTTGCACCAGTTTTGGTTCTTCTCTGGTTGGACATCGTGGCAGATCTGCCAGAGTTCACTCTTTCTACGAAGCGATTAGTAACTGTCCTTCCTGTGAAGTGTGAGCTTCGTTTGTGTAGAGGTGCTGGCGTCCGAGATGGTTTAATGAAGAGCTGTAAATATATATATATATATATAAAAAAATACACAATCTGATATTCTTAACTGGCGGTGATTCTTCCCTGTGTGCCGTCTTGTGTTTTCATTCAAAAATGAAAAAAACAAGTCACCGGAAGTCAAAGATTAATTTTTATTTAAAGGCACCACAATAAAAGTTAAATAGTGAAAACAAAGTGTGTTATTTAAATTTAAAGAAGCATTTAACCACAAAAATAATGACTTCAATATCAGATTTTCTTCTAAATCTTAAAGCAGCCCCATGGCTTATAATCTGTATGTCATGTAGAGAAACGTTTGTTTAGTAGTCCTGATGTAAAGAAACCGAAGTTAAAGCTCATCTCTTCTATCTAAAAACACCTGAGATGTCATTTTTTTTTTTATTTTATCTTTTTTTTTTTAACCGTAAATCCTCTAATGCAGGCCCGGGCCTGTATTTGACTCAAGCTCATCAAGCTCCAGGCCTTTATTGGAAGGAGGACCAGTATTAGAGGCAGGCCTCAATTTCTATTTGAGCAAAATGAACTAATGGTTCGCTGGAGTCTTTGACAATTAAAATTGCGCCCACATTTTCAAAGTTAAACACATTTCTTTTAACAACGGTAGGTTCTGCTTCAGCTCTCTCCCCCCTCCCCAGCGCAGCAGCTGCAAACTCACTGATGCGCCTGCAGCCTCTCAGAGTTCCTGCTGCTCTAAACATTAAAATAATTATTTCATTTTCTGTTCCTCACTTCTGATTACCTTCAATGGTGTCTGTTGCAACCACCAGGAACAAAAACTAACTTGTTTTTATTTGACTATTTTTCTGTCCTGCCTGTTTATTATCTTCCTGCATCTCCTCTCAATCCTAAAGAAAAACTGCTACCTGGGTTCATCTATATTCACCTCATGAGTTACCTTTGAACTGCAGTTCTAAAAGATCTACCGACCGCAAAAACAGCGGAGTGCTCGCTGCTTGGCGGCCGCATCAGTGATCGTTGTTTCACCGGAGGACAAGGTGATGCGCCCCGCTCCACAGCAGCGAAACGCATCAGGCGCAAATAAAAGACCGAAAACATTAAAGGAAATGAACCGACATGAACGATCGCGAGTCAGTACCGACGCTCTGGCACAGCGCGTTGCCCCCCTGAGCGCAGGAGCTTGTCACCTGCTGACAGCAGGCTGCTGTCTTTTCCGAGGGCTGCATCTTGCCGGTCATTGTCACGTGACAGCGACTAGTCGATGACAGGCATAAAAAGTCACTAGTGAAGTCGACTAGTTCATACAACCCCTGCTACTGCTCCCCAGTGTTCTGCAGCATAATCAGCACGTTCTCTTTGAACTTGATATCAAATTTTCGCCGCCTCATCGTCTCCGCACCTGCCAAATCACTGTCACTGTCACTGGCAAATCAAAAATGAGACGGATGACACAACCCCCCCCCCCCCCCCCCCCCCGTACTTGCTTGTTACCACATTCCACCCGGCCACAATAAAATACCGGCCATTATTCACCTCCGCCGACTCCGACACCGGCCAAAATATGATGCCAGGCCGTTAATTGAATACAGGCCAATATTAGAGGATTTACGGTATTTTTATTTTTAAGTTATTTAGTCATTGGCTTTCTTTGTGATGTTTGTTTTTGAGGTCTTATGAACGGTGTCCTTAAAAAGTAAATTTGCTTTTCCAAATTTAAGGCCTTAAAAATCCTTAAAAATGACAAATAATCCTTAAGTAGTTTCCAAAGGTCTTAAATTACCAAAGACCCAATAAACAAGATTCTTTTATTTCTATAAAATTTTCCTGAATTTCTAGTTAGTTCAGCATTTTTTGTGTATGATATTGGCATAAGCGAAACCGTACTTATTCGGTTGTTTGTGAAAGGGGGCTTTTTTAGATGAGCATGCTAGTGGGAGTTTGCGCCATGGGGAAGTGCAACATTACAGGGGCATTATGGAAGTTTGACATCCAAAACGTGTAGAAATAATAAATTTCTTCTTCATACATTCTCCTGCAATGCCCTGGTCTTGTAGAATGAGCCCTGGCATTTTTACTGTGATTGCCTGTTTTTCTATAAAATCATAGAAAAAGAGAGATGCTCGGGTCGAGCAGGCTGCTTCATGCGCGTTCACGCTCAGGCGTAGCCCGTAGCATTTGCTACCAGTAGCTTTAGCAGCAGAGAGTGAGGTAGTGCCAACTCAGCGACTTTGTTGCTGTTCCTAACGCCTAGTGATGAACCTAGCTACATTCCTGAGGACCCTTAGCTACTTTCTTCTAGATATTTCCTGCAAATTAGCAACAAAATAGCAATTTTTGCTCTGAACCGTTCTTTGAACGTTGTGTCAGCTATGGGGTGCCATTTGTAAAGTCAAACAGTCATAATCTAACAGCAATATTTTTGGTTGTTTAGCATATCATAAGAGAAAAAATTGAGAGTTCACTTTTTCGAAGTCATATTTTCACCATGTTATTCATACATTTATAAATGTTAAAGTTTCCAAATAAATATTTAGTTAGCAAGCCAAATATTTAATTTATAGTTAAATATTTATGTTGCAAACTAAATATTTATGTCTGATCTAAATACTTAGTTTGTAAAATAAATATTTAATTCACTAACTAAATATTTAATTTACTAATTAAATATTTATTTTGGAACTAAATATTTAAATTGTAAATTAAATATTTAATTTGTAAATTAAATATTTATTTTCCAAAAAAAATATTTAGATCCCAGCTAAATATTTATTTTCCATGATGTTATTTAGCTCCACACTATATTTTATATTTTTGGGTCAGACTTAAATATTTATTTCCCAAATACTGATTTTGCAAACTAAATGTTTACCTCCAAAATAAATTAATCGGACCCATCCCTTATGTTAAATAAAACATACTTCAGCTTCAAAGAGGCAGAGATCACCTTTAAAATAATAAAGTGTTGTAAAACAGGAACAGAATAACAGTCTTTTAAACCCTTTAAATAAAAAAGGCATCTTGTGAGGAATCGAAGAACCTGAGAGGCAGCGACGGACGGATGAAGCAACATCCTCCAAATCTGTCACTGGACGAGCCGTCTCACAGCCCTGGTGACGTTTGTAGACCGGTTCCTCTGAGTCATGGCTGCACAGAGACATGTTCACTGTGAGTCTGGACATTAAAGGTATATTGAGTAGTTTTACTTGCTTTTAGCGGCCCCTGGTGTGTGTTATTAATAATCCACGGTCAAAGCAAAAGTGAAGCATCTCGCTGTGTGTGTGTGTTTTTAACACCTTAATCTAACTGCTGAAACGTCTCCCAGCCTTCATTCCTCAGGAGTGATTCATCACTAAATTAAACAAATCAGTTGTGCTCATGATCTAAAACCTGCAGGAAATGTGATGAAAACAGAGTCCATTGTTTAATTTTTTTCCAAGTCCAACAGCTTCAGCCCATCAGTCTGAAGTTGCAAATGCGGTATTCTGGTCACGGGGGTGATGGGGGTCTATGTGAAATTTGATTAACCCTGTAAAGGGTAATTTTAGCACGTACTGGCTCAAAATTATTTCAAAAGAGGAAAAAGTTGCAAATTATGCCTTTAAAAATTGGATCTGTGGACGCAGAGACAAGCTCGTGCCACCGCTCACCTGAGAAGTCGAGCTCATAGCTGAAGCATTTGGTAGTAAACGTCATGGAGCCTGATGGGTTCTGTTGGTACTGGAGCTCAATGTCTGGACTGGAAACGCTGCACTGACTGTAACCCTGCATGGCACGGGCCGACACCAGAAGGAAACCCCGTTAATCCCGTCCCAGTTGGATTCTTTTAAACACTAAATAAAAAGGAGGCATGGTCTTACTTTGGAATATTCTTTCCACGTCCCATCGATGTCCTGGAACTGCCATCGAGAGCCTGAGCTAAAGAGGATTTAAAGGTTTTACTGCAGAATGAACAAATACTAGACCAGATACAAACTCACTCACGCTTTTATGCAAACAGATAAAATAAAAGTCGTTAAAGTAAACTATTATAGAAAATAAAAGTGATACTTGAACTAGGGTTGTCACGATACTAAAATATCAAACTCGATTCGATACTGGAAAAAAACTCGATACTTGATTTCGATACTATGGGAAAACACCAATTTATTGAACAAGTTTATTAAAAAATAACATTCCTCAATTTATATTGCAAAAATTAAATGTTAAGAATTAAGTGTATAAAGTGCTTAAACCTTTCAAGTATCAGCATTTTTTAAAACGTGCATACAAAAACTGGCGAAAGTTAACACTTTAAATCGTGAATTGTCTCACTATATATACACTATTTGCAGAGTGATGTTTTGCTGCTTAAACTCTGTTTAAGGTGCATTTTTGTCATAAGCTCTAACGCCATATGTTTTGTTCTGTACTTCTGAACAACTCTGTTGGTCAGTAAAGGGAGAAAACGAATTTCTCCACAGTAGGACAAAGGTACATCTACCAGTAATCTTAATAAAAACAGATTGGCGCACGGCAGTGACGTCATTATAAGCGCCGGTTAGATTAGCCGCAGCTAGTCTGTTCACACCTAGAAATCCCAGACCCGCTCCAAACGAACAGGGGAATCACGTTAATGATTCCTAACAAAACCTTTCAACATGAAGATGTTTTGGTGCAGATAATTTCTTATTTCGAGGCTGCACCATGGGTGCCCGTCCGCATCCGTTATATGGATATACACTGACGGCGATTCGCCGATGGATCTAAATACCCCGGGGAATCCAAGTAGCACCAAAGTTGTCAGCGTGAGTAAACAAACGTACTGCATGCTAGAAATTAAGTCCGGGTTGCAATAAACGGGAGTTTCCTTTAAGCACATACGCGTGAATATACAACTACGTGTCGGACTTGGAATGCTAATTAAGCTGGGCTGTGAAGCGCCTCCCAAATTCGCTGTTTTTGTTTATTTATTTGGCAGACAGAACTTGGATCGGAGACAACTCGCGTGGGAAATTGCAATGTAGCCATGCGGCGTCTTCTTCTGTCGTCTGGGAGGCGGAGGCTGCTTTATGGCAAATGGCTGTCGTGCGTGTCGGTGTACTTGAAGAAGGCTGTGTATAATAGTCCATAATATCGATACCACAGGGATGGAATATCTAATTTAGATACCACTTTTAGCATCGATTTATATCTAGGTATCGATTTTTTTGACAACACTAACTTGAACATCTGCATCGATCCGTTTTCAGCTGCTTATCCAGGGTCGGGTCACGGGGGCAGCAGCCTAAGCAGGGAGGTCTAGACTTCCCTCTCCCCAGCCACTTGGGACAGCTCCTCTGGGGGAATCCTAAGGTGTTCCCCGGCCAGCCGAGAGGCATGGCCTCTTCAGCGTGTCCTGGGTCTCCCTTTAGGCCTCCTCCTGGTTGGACGTACCCGGAAAACCTCACCAGGGAGGCGTCCTTACCAGATGCCAGAGCCACCTCAACTGGCTCCTCTCAATGTGGAGGAGCAGCAAATCTACTCCCGAGTCCCTCCTGGATGACCGAGCTTCACACCCTATCTCTAAGGGAGAGCCCAGACACTCTGTGAGAAAACTAACTTTGGCCGCTTGTATCTGCAATCTCATTCTTTCGGTCACTACCCAAAGCTCGTGACCATAGATGAGAGTAGGAATGTAGGGTGACCGGTAAATCGAGAGCTTTGCTTTCTGGCTCAGCTCTCTCTTCACCACGACAGATTGGCACAACGCCCGCATCACTGCAGATGCAGCACCAATCTGCCTATCGATCACGAGCTCCATCATTACCTCACTCATGAACCAGACCCCGAGATGCTTAAACTCCTCCACTTGGGGCAGGACCTCATCCCTGACCTGGAGAAGGCATTCCACCCTCTTCTTCTAACATCTCAAAATATTTTTATTCTTTGCTTTTCTTTAACTTTTTTTGCCTAAAAGAAAATTAGAAGACCAAACTCCTTACCTGGTGTTTGTTTGGACTCCATAGGAAAGAGTCCTCCTCACTGCCCTCGTGGTTCCGATGTTTGAGTTTATTTGACACATTCCTAGAATAAACGGTGTTAAATCAGCTCCCTACGCAGGAGGGTCATTCTACGTTTATGCTGGTATGTGTGAGCTTTACTTGAAAAATCCAACGTATATGAGAAATTGTTGATCCTGAAGAGCAGCTGGCCCTGTGGGTCCAGCTGGTATTGCGTCTCAATGGCAGCACTGTCGAACGAACAAACCTATAAACACGTAAACAAACACAAATAAAGGCGTTTATACCAGAATAGAATGTATATTTTATACGATGCAGATTAAACAAACCGCCACAAAAAAAAACGGATGGTCAATTATTCCGACCTAACTGCTATTTTTAACTTCACCACCAGATGTCACCATTGAGTCTTTTTGATCATAAAAGCTGTGGAGCAGACATTTCAAATGTACATCTAGGCTAAAAATATTCTTGAAGTAAGTGAAAAGTCAGGATCTCACATGAGCCTGGTACTCTGTCCAACGCCCCTCATCTCCCATAAACTCCCACCTAAAGCTGCGATGGGGGAGCTGTGGTGAGAGGGATGTCTGCAGCACTGGGGGGGAATAAAGCCTGCAGGGGTACGAGGTAGTCATGTTGTAACAGACATGGAGATTCCGTGTGAAGTGATTACGTTTCACTTTCATTTCTGGTATTTGTGTTTCATCCAAACAGGAACAAGCCTCACCCGGCAGGGCTGAGAGTGAGTTTTGGACGTCTCCGTACTTTTCTGCTTACGCCTGTGACGGTGTTCTGTTGGGTCATGTCTACGAAATAAAACACAGTATCAACTGTATAACAGCGTTAAAGAAAACAATCCTTTCGTGTCTTTAAATACTTTCACGTACTGGAAAAGTTCAGTGAGTATCTGGTGGAGCCCACAGTGAAGCCGAAGACTCCCCGTGGGTCGTGAGTGAAGCTGAGCTCAACGTCTCCACTGCTGACTGAGGAAGCTGCTGAGCTGGAGCTCTGAGGAAGAGGAGGAAGAGGGGAAATCAGTGTGAATGAGTTTAAATTAATTCATGCAAAGCTTTAAATCTACCTGTGATCCATATTCACACCACAGGTGGTCATCTCTGAAGTACCAGCCGATGTCTTCTGTCTGCCCCTGAGAGAGGAGGCTGAGCCTCTGAACTCTTAATGACGCATTGTTAGTCCGCAGCGTGTCAAAGTCTATAGACACACACCTGTGGACACACACACACACACACACACACACACACACACACACACACACACACACACACACACACACACACACACACAAACAGTGTAACTGCTTCCTGAACACTGTTCATTTAATCCGACAACCCAGTGCTCCGACTGACCCTTGGCTGGTGTTTATGGTGATTCCCTTTGCTCCAGGTTGGCAGTAATGAGTCTCAATCACGTGATCGTTGTCAATTCTCTGCCACTGATTCCCAGTTAACAGCTGCCACTCATAAGGTTTCTCACTGGCTGTAAAATAGACAGATCTTGCCTTGACTTCACTTAGCACAGCTTCCTCTCTTCAATTTCAGACTCTTCAACTCAGATAGATCCCCAAAGTCACAAAGTGAAAGTATCAACAGGAAAATCAGAGGACTGTCAAATCACATGAAAGTTTACAGACCTGCAGTGTTCTGATAAAACCTCTCCTGATTTCCCTGCAGGTTACAAACACAAACTCAGCTCAGGTCACAAAGCGTTAAATACAAATCATGCCTTGTTTAGATTTACCTTAATCTGAGAGAAATACACTACAGCAACAAGAAAACATATGGATTAGTTCAAATAAATTAAATTGTAATAACACATTAATCTCAGATTTTAATCCGGAAACCTCCACAGAAACAAACTTACTAGCGTTAAGATCCCTGGAGTAATTTAAAGCCTTTAAAAAAGTTTCACTTTCATTTCTGTCACATAAATACAGAGGGCGTGGCTCTAATTATGGCTAGCCATTGTATCATATATCTAAACTTTTTTGTGTGTTTCAGCACTTCAATAAAAACCTTCGTCCTTCTCACGTTATTCACACATGCCAGAAAAAAAATGTAATTTTAAAAACGTTCAAATTAAAATTGAAGAAAGTTTATCTTAAATTAATATTTTAGCATATTTGAAGTAAATGTTATTTTAAATTACAGACTAATTACAACCTAGCTCAATTCTTGGCAGTGGGAGCCTTAAGCGGCACTTCCTGTTGGTTGCCACACGTGACTGCAATGATCTTTTTTACAGTGTTTTTTTTTTTTTTCAAATAAACTTTTCAGCCCCTCTGCTGCTCCATCTCGCCATCCTGCCACGACTAATTCCATCCCCAGGGCCGGTGGTGTGCCCAGGGGCTGCATCACTGCTGTTTTGTCTACATTGGTTCATTTTAAATAAATGTTGGGCGTCAGACGCCTGGTTGCCGGTGCAACCACCAGAACTTCCACAGGGCTAAAAGGACTTATCTTTATTTAGTTTACTGTCCAGGTCGTATGTTTACATTATTATTCTTTGGTGTGTTTACTTTAAGCATGTTTTAACGTTATTTAGTATTTGTTTCCCCTAGGCCAATATGTTAATTCCGGTGGACTGACCAGTGATAACTGGACTCCAAGCACTTAACCCAATTCCATTTGTATGTTTTTAGCGTAGATATTTAAACAAAGAATTGTTTTACTGGAGAGATACCATCTGTTCCCATCGTGATTATTGAACCTACGATCTTTTACCCTTCTCTGAGGGGTTAACCCAGGGTGGCGTTGTTGCAACCTTTTTATCCTTTAATTTATTTATGTTATGACTACCACTTGCCACAGACAACAAAAGGGCATTACAAGTAGCAGTAGAGCACATGTATGGGGGAGAGAGTCGGATGGCCGGTGAATTTTATTGATAATGGAGTACAGTGACTTAGTGTTGCCTCAACTGGAGTTGATTAGACAGGAGTAATACTGTAGTTTGGTCAGTGTAATTAAGTCCTTGTACTGAGTCATTTGATTTTTATACAGTTCTTTGCGAATGGTGAGACCAGTTTTCCTGTAGAGGCGCTCAAGCTGCCTGGATTTGGTTTTCAGCGTCCGGAGTTTAGGGGAAAACCAGGGAGCAGACTGACAGAAACAGAACGAGTTTCAACTGGAGCAAGGGAGTTTAGAGTGTGAGCTAACTGATCATTGTAGAGATCAGCCAGGTCGTCAGGAGAGGAGAGATTGTCCGGTAACTGAAAATTATCAATACAGGAGGATAAGGTGTCGATATTGATGTCCTTTATATTCCTAAAAGAGATGAGCCGGGTTGGTTTGGTAAAAGAAAGCTGGGTTACAATTTTGAAAGAAATAAAATAGTGATCAGTTATGTGGAGATCATCAGCTGCACAGTTAAGAGGGGTGAGACCAGAGCAGCACAGCGGATCCAGGGAGTGTCCTTTGGAGTGAGTTGGAAAGTTGATGGGCTGATTAAATCCAAGGCTGTCCAGGCAGGATGAAAAGTCTTTGGTGAGGGGAAGATCGCTGTTGTCCATGTGTATGTTGAAATCTCCCAGCTATTACATTAGACGAGAGTGTAGATAAATGAGTGAACAGTACTGAGACTTCTGACAAAGTCTTTGTGAGGTTTGGGGGGGGGGGGGGGGGGGGGGTAGACTAATCCAATGACAGTGGGGGAAGGTCCATTAAGTTTAACAACCAAACACACAAAGGAATTAAAATTAATTAAAAGTTATTAAATTAAAGTTGCCAAGTTTCGCTAAGGCACATGAAGTCGATTCCACGGTCCTTGATGAGATCGTGAATGAAATGTCCTTTTCCAGTGAGGGAGCGGATGTTGAGTTGTGTGCAATGGTGAACTGGCCATCAGGAGCGCAGGGACATGAAAATTTTTCAGTATTATTTAGGTCAACAAGATGGAAACACCAAAGACATGATGTCTGTTGGAAACAGAGAACTCAAAACCAACCAGTGTCTAGCTACGAGATTAAATAAATTGCCACCCTCAGGCCTCTACAGACAAGGCCGGATTAACCATATGGGCAACTGGGCAATTGCCCAGGGCCCACAAACTCTGAAGGGCCCATGGGAGGGCAGCAAGGGCACGAGCAAAATACTGTATCTGTAATCTCCCGCTTTTCATTAAACTATGGTGACCATACGTCCTGTTTTCCCCGGACATGCCCACTTTTCACTCTCTGTCCGGGCGTCCGGACAGGGGCTTCTTGTATTGATGAAAATGTCCGGCTTTTCATCCAGGAGCAGGGATCAAATTATGGGGGAGCTGGATATCGTACACATCCAGGGGAGCCGGAAAAACGTTTTCTACCTATATTACATCATTTATGGACTCTTCTGAGCAGAGAGCACATATAGCGATGATCGTTGTTGTGCAGTGCTCCAGACAGCTGCTTCCAGCACATGGTCCAAAGTGGCGTAACCAAAAAACTATAATTAGCACACGATCGTTCATGTCCGCACATGTTCTCTACTTTCTGTCTTATTTGTGCCTGAAGCGCTCTGCCGCTGCGGAGCTCATCACCTGTGCTGCGGTGATTTCACCTCACTGACACTGCATCGAAACGCGCTCTCTGCTTTGCGGTCAGGAGATCCCTTTGATCTGCTCAAAAGTAACTGGTGAGATGAAAAAGTGAGAATCCACGCAGCAGTTTTTCTGGAGAGTTTAGAGGAGATGCAGGAAGATGAGAGACAGACATAGATAAATAAAAACAAGAAAACAAAGTGTTGAAAAGTAAAATGTAGGTAGATTTATTTCCACTACGTGTTTTTACCTGTATAAAACAATAGGTTCTACACATGCAATATTTATAAATCTGATACAAATCAGATCACCTTCAAAACTCAGTCACACACCCAGGGCTGTTTCAAGACATTTTGGGGGCCAAGGCAAAATGGCCCCCCTCCCCAGAAGCCTCTGTGTAATCCAAACCCTCTCCAATAGTATTAGTTATACAGTGCTTATAAAAGCCCCTCAGACATGACTGACATGTTCTGATATTATCAGATGAAAAACTAAATGATCAGATGTGCTGTCTCATCTGCTTCTTTTATAAACTTGCAAAAAGTAACAAAACCATTTGAAAGCCACTATCTGTGGATTCTCTGAAAGTTTCCATGGAGTGTGTGACAACTTATTTTTTCATTGATCCTATCGTCTAATCTCACAGCTGAAACAAGCATCCTTGATAATCTGTGCATAGGAAGCTTACCGATGGTGTAGTAAAACAAAAGGTATAATAATTTCTTATTAATAAAATGTTGTTGCAGCATTAAAGCAGAAAAACGAGATTTTGCAGTAAATATGCTAAATATTTACATATGAATTGTTTTAGACACCTTTTATTGGCAGAATCTGATATTAATTTAGTTCTTACAAAAATGGGTCCAAACATGGTTTGTGTGGCGTTGCCATGGTGTGACGTCATAGGCACAGATCCCTGTCCTCTTTTTTGGAAATGGAAATATGGTCACCCATTAAACAAACTGTCCACCCGGGCTTTTGCGCTGCACAGAGACGCTTCGCTGCCTACGACTGAACGTCAGTTGAGAGTCAGTCTCATGCAGACTGACCAATGAAGAGAGGGCCTCGAGTTAAGACCCTCTCCTCATTGGTCAGTCCACACGAGGTGGGTCAAAGGTTACCCTGAGGGGGTTACGTGATGTCAGGCATTCAAGTATTGAGTATATTTACTGCATATTACAGTAAAATATTCTGTATGTGACCATATTATGGTGATCCTTGGGTCGTGATGATGGGGCCCTTGAATATTGTTGCCCAGGGTACAACATTAATCTGGCCCTGTCTACAGACATAAGCTGTTACTAATTATGTCATGAGCCGGGGTGAGTTCTCCTCTCATTATTCCACCTTTGAGTTGTGTGTTGCAGGAGGGGGAGGTTCCCAGCTGCACCTGGTTTGCAATCAGCTGACCTGGCTACTTAAGGAGGATGGAGAACTCACCTCGACGCCGGATGATCACTACAGCTTGGTAGTTTCCAGCCTCCTAGCGTTACTTGGACTTTGTGAACTTTTGGATTTTTGTGATAACCTGCCTCCAGGTTTTAGGAACGTCTCTGGATTTGGCGACTCCTCAGGATCTAGTAGCTGCTGTAGACCAGAGGTGCTCAAACTTAAAACCACTGAGTCATCTGCATATATCAGATGATTTATGACACCACCAGCTGCACAACCGGTCCTGTAGGCTTTTAACCACACTGATGATTCATCCATGTACAGGTTGAACAGAAGAGGAGATAGAATGCCTCCTTGTTTGACTCCATTTCGGACCTTAAATGGCTTAGCAGCAGCTTTATGAATAGTTATGAACTGTTTCCTATGGTTAACCCTATCAAATGCCTTGGATGCATCTACGAAGCACTTAGAGACTGAGGAGTTCTGGTTTCTGTATTCGGTCACCATCTCCTTTAGAGCATATATACACATGTTTGTACAAAGCTCAGACTTAAAGCCAAACTGATTATCTGTGATTTTTAAGGTGCCGTTAATTAGACTTTTGAGAGTATGCTAGCCAGAGCAACGGGCCTTTAGTTATCCATGCTACAAACTCTCTTACCCTTGTCTTTCATCACTGGGACCAACAGAACAACTAGCATTGAATCAGGCAAACACCCACGTGCAAACGATTTATTTTCAGTTGTGTTAAAGAGATGTTTCAACTTCTTATTTATCTCAGTGAAGCTGAAAATAAAATTCTAATGTTTTTACTTGTCCTCTTGGGAGTCATATTATTAAAAAGGAGGAGAAGAGGAAACTATATTTATAAAGTTACAATAAACAACACTTTGAAAATATTTTATGTTCATATTATTGTAGCGTGGTTAAACTACATATTAGAATTAACACTGTTTGGTATCAGCTTTGTTAGATTCTGAAGAAGATCAAACGAGTTAGCAACTGAGGCTTCTATCATATATAAATATCTAGGATATTAATATATTCCATAGAAGTTCATACGCCAACGAGCTTGGTCTATTTTTAGTCCAAAGATTATTTTTTAATTTAAGATAATTAAATTTTAGCAAAAGTTTATTTATTGAATCAGAAGCTTAAAGGAATCTTTGTTTATTCAATAAACAAAATACACACCATTCTGTGTTTCATTTCAAAGAAGAGTCAGGTTTAAAAGTTAAGAATTTATTACTAACACTTTTAGAAATGACAATTTGAAAAATGACAATTTGTAACAGCTCGATATTAAAACTTATTATTAAAAGCTTTACCTGTGTCTGAATGAAAAGCTAAAATGAAATGCGAGGTTTGGATGCGTGAATGATATCTCAGAAGGTTTCTTTCAGAGAGAGAAAGCGTTCTGGGTGGAAAAACGTTGTTTTGCAGCTAACTTATGGGTTCTTAAAGAGAACAGCATCGGACACAAACTGTGTTCCCTCACCCAGTTAGCCGACCCTCTGTGTGGATCCGGAGGTCAAAGGAGGATGTTGTCAGCCTCAGGGTACTCGGTCTGGTAGAGAAGACCCGAGTGAAACCGACTCTCTGGTCCAAAGTTGCCGCAGGGTACAAAGTGTTGAGCTTGCGTCTGGCTTAACTCTGAAGGAGTTTTTGCGTCAGCTGGTTACAGGTGTGTTTATTCGGAGCAATTCTATTGGCGTGACAGAATGCTTAGTGAGGAGTCAGGCGGCCAACCCTCATCCTCTGGGATGGTTCAAGAACTGAACTTCAGCTGCGGAGATTTGGTTTTAACAAAACCTCTGAACACGCCCTCTCCTCGTCAGAAAGCTTGATGTTATGGAGTAAAGACATGTGAGGTGGTTAACTTTACCCTGGATAAGCCCCTCTGCATGATGTGTACACGTGCCAATGACCTTCTGGTTGATGATCACACATTACTGATTATCATAAATAATAATTATTATTAACCCAAAGAATAATAAGTCATTTCAGTAATTAAATACATTTATACTGAACCAAGATGATTATTTATGATGATTATTATATGATTGTAATAAACAGTAAAACAGTTTATTAAATTATTATTTTAAAATTATTATTTTAAAATCTTGAAGTGTCCTTCATCTTGGGATGGAACAGCAGCAGATAAAGATGATGTTTAGCAGACATCCCGGCTCCTGATGGGTAATCTGTGGAACAAAAGTTACAGCTCGACCCAGCTGGGAAAGTGTGACCTTTGGGTCACAAATGTGAGGTCATTCATGTCGCTACATTATCTTTATAGAACAGTACAAATAAACAAACGTAACTCTAAAAGGATTTATGTAAATGATATTTAAATGTAAAAAAAAACTTTTTTGGCCTTTTAATGTGGAATTTTTAATCCTCATTTGAAAAAGTTTGAGCACACCTTAGTTAAATCAAATAGTTAAAAAAAGACAGTTTATTATTACTATTTTTTATGTTTATTTGGCACCAACTGGTACACACATGGTGGCAGGTAGAGAATACTTGGCACATTAAATTAGTTACCAATAACCTTTTAACCATTCTACTGAATTCATAAACATTTGTTAGTTTCACAAAAATCCATCCCAGCCCTTTAGTCAATAAGAGATAGGTGTCTAACATGAAGTAAATAAAAAGTGAAATTAAAACGTCTTCATTTGATAAAATCGGTGATTCCAACATCAATTCCACAAAAGACAAAGAGTCTGTGATTCGTGTAAAGGACATGCGTTTATGCATGTTATGGTGCACCTCACTGAAGTTGCTCATGCGCTTCAAAATGTAAACATAAAATAAAATTTCCCATCATGGCTCTGTCCGAGAACATTTCAATGCAACAATAAAAGCACCAGCTTTCAAAATAAAAGCTGCAAGTTAGAAGACTGCAGTATTCTGTCACACACGTCGGATCTTACGAGAACTCATGGTTGTGAGGTTGATCTGGATCATTGCTGTAATTCACACATTAAATATTAGATAGAGCACATCTTTTCAGTATGTCGTGTTTTATACCACAAACATCACCTTTGAAGTCCAGTTTGTAGGACTGTCCGTTCACTGTGAAGGCCATGCTGTCGGAGGTGTTTTGCTGGTATTTCCTCTCAATGTCATCACTGGTTACTGAGCACTCAGGCTGTTGAAACAATTTCCCAAACTTTAGTTGAGTTAACACAAATTTAGCTGGACAGTGTTGTTGTTAACTCCCTGAAGACCTACTCTGGGTTTGAACTCGTGCCACGATCCACTATTTCCCTCAAATTCCCACTTTGGTGTGTGGCTCAGCGTCAGACCCGCCATAGCTGGGACTAGATGAGCAGATCTGAAGACACAATAACGATGTCAAAGTGTACATCCTGCCATAAAGTCATAGAAGAAGCCATTATAAAGATGCGTATAGCTCCAAAGTGGAACAAAGTCCTCTTGGACCCTCCTTGGAACCGAAGCCGGTAGAAAAGTAGTGGTGCCGACCAAACTACTCTTGGAATGCTTCCAGGTCACGACAGGTTATCATTGGTGTCAGCGAGACCCTGAAGGGGTTGTGTGGTTCAGCTTTTATTCTGAAGGAACATTGCGGTCAGTTGTAACTTGCAACAGATTTTATCCAGCTTGTCGAGGTTCTTTTGGCTGAAGAGGAAGTCCGGATGGCCTGTCCGAGACTCCTCTAGAACGTTTTGAACTAAAGAAAAGGTGGTGTTGAATAGTTTTTATAACTGTCATATTTTGGTTTACTGGCGAATCAGAATTTGACATGCAAAAGAGGGTTTATACAAACACCACAGAAAACCACGCCTCGCGTCAGAAACTAAGGTTCTGATTGGATCAGACAAAAGGAAATGTGTCGTGTGACTTTAGCATTACTCTGTGACATCAGTGTCTATTGCAAATGTCCAAGATTATAATTACTTGTAAAATACTACTGATCACAGGATTATAATATCAAGTAATAACATTGTCATTTCACAGACTGATTGAACATTGGGCTCACATTATTATTGGTAATAACAAAGTTGTTGATTATGTGTTAATCAAAAGAGAGTTCTTCGTCTTCGTCTTGAGCTGTCCAGAGGTGAAGCAGTTTAGATGAGCAGAGTGCATGAAAGACCTTGGCCACTATCTCATGTAGGGCTGTCAGAGACTTTATGTCTCTGCTCGAGCAGACGCAGCAGATCATGACCTTTAGGTCATAAACAGGACATTCATGACGCTACAATATTTACATATTTTTATTGTGACAATACTCTGATCATTAATGTGATCAAATTAAATACATATTTTCTTCTGTGAGGTTGAGAATTACTCTGCTCAGATAAATATAATAAACCAACAGAACAGGTCAAAAATCATTAGTGATCATGACGTCATTTTAGGATTTATAAAAGAGAAACGCGCAACAAGAGCATAAAAAGTTATTTCTGATTTTGTTTCTCTGATTTGAAGCTGTTATTTTCCTTCTGACCTTCTGTTTTCACGAGCAGCTCAGAAGCACGTATCCGTAACTCCTACGGTGCTTCATATCTAGTTGTGCAGTCGGTGCAAGTGCAGAAAAAAGGCCACTGTTAAAAAGTTCCCGTGATGGAATAAGTAAAAGAAGACAGTTGCTCAGCCCTAACCCATCAGTTGCAAAGGGAATAGTGATAACACACTGAATGATTCTATTCAGGATTTAATCGCTGAGCAGCTCTTACCCAATCACTCCTTGTTGTCTAAACTGGGGTCGCCGCGTCACTTTCCTCTTTTTCGTTGTACCCACCTGTCGCATTTCTAACAAACAAAGCAAAAATAACCAATTAGATTAAATATGAAATAATATATTTTCTTCATTTTAAAGGTGTGGTTCACTGAAAATCCATTTTTAGCTATCAGTTCTGATTATAATCCGTCACTCTGAGTTTTTCATGCAGGCTGAACATGAAAATATTCTCCTACACCGATCTCCTGCTTTAGCTTCTGATAGAAAACAGACGGTGAAACTCTAGGATCAGTAAAGCCTGACAGATCTACATCACACTGTCACCCAACATTCATGAACTGATCCATCTTGACTCATGACGGGGAAGGCTCTTGTTGGTTTAGCTAGGAAACAGCAGAGAACATTTCTGCTGCTAGAAGCTAACCGTTAGCAATAGCAACTCCATCAAGCAGCAGAACTCCTTCAGGCTTATTTATGGAGATAAAACATTAGCGTTGCAAAGTAAATGGAGTCAGAGGTAGAGTCGTGGTGGTGTTAGCCAATCAGAGGTGAGATGTCCAAACATCTGAAGCTCTTTTCTGATCTTTTAGTTCCTGAAACAGGAGCTCAGGGCTTTTTGTACCCAGAGTACGTCTAGAGACCGCTGCAAGTGTACTGATTAAACGAGTGAACCACACCTTTAAAAGGACAGGTGTTTGTGTGAGTGCACATCACCTGGGAACCTAATCTCATAGGTTTCTGCTCCAATGCTGAAACTATGGGAGCTTGCAGGGTTTCTCTGGAAACTCGTCTCAATGTCGACACTTTTCACGGGACCAGAGTTTCCCTTTGAATCCTGTCCAGAAAGGCTGATAATCATCACCAAACCAAAAACATCTGCTCTAACCTTTATTTAGTTTTTTGTGAACACAAACAGGAACGACGAAGCTACCTTGTCTCCATACTTCATCCACTTACGATGCAGAGTGCAGTACCAGAGCCAAATGGTGTTCCCGTCATCCAAACGCCTCACTTTCAGATTTTTTCCATAAACTCTCATCCTGGAGAAATCGATGCTCAATGCCCTGCAGAGACGGGAACAAATAACTAGTAGTTTTACTTTAAATCCTCTCGGTAATGTTCAAACATCACAGTCTGCTTTTACCCATAAGCTGTGTTGTAGATTTTGATGCTTTTGGTGTGTGGCAGCGAGTACTGAGCCTCAATGACGTGATCGTTTTTAACGTCCCTCCAGCCGCGGCCATCATTCAGCTGCCACTGGTAGAGCTTACCATTGGTCAGCTTTGGGTCTAGTGAAATCATTATTAACACAACACTGGTTTTACTCAACAGAAAAACCCACCAGACATGGAACAACAATATAAACAAGGATCAAACAGCTGCTCACTGGCTGATTGGTCCTGAAACCTGCTGCTTCCTCCAGATGATGCTCTTCCACCTGAACTGTGACTTCGTTTACAGCTGGATCCATATTTGCAGCTTCCTGACACATAATACTTGCAGACGTGCGGGTAGGGGCAGTTCCTCCCATTCTTACAGCCACCTCTGTTGTAATACTTGCAGGGCTGCTTCCCGTAATCCTACAAAGAAAAAAGTAAACTTTAAAATATTTTTATTGACAAATTTGAATAGAGTCAATTTGTCATTATCACTAACATTTTTTAAACAAGAATAATACAAAAAACTAAAGCCCCGTCTTTTAGTTGTTTTCACCTGACAGTCATCCACGGAGTCTGAATCTTGGTCGCTGTCAGACTCATCAGAAGAATCCAGATCACTTTCTCTAGAGTTTTCATCATCAGGTTCTGGAACAAAACAAATCAGAAACACATCCAGCTCAGTCCAATGTAAACATCTCTTGAAATTTAGCAAAACGAGAATCTAATTGGCTCAAAAATTCTATTAAGGAAGGGAAACAAACACAAACTATAAATGAAACTGACGAGCTTCCATATTTAATACCGAAAAGATAAAAAAAGACCAGAACAGAATATTTAATCGTGTGAATATCGACAGCATGTAACCTCACTACAGGAGATCTAACTAATGATAAAAGAGGAGCTACATATGAGCAGATGAGTGTGTTTACATAATTTTCTTCTGTATATATTTAATTAACTTAAAATATAAATTATTTAGAGATTTTAAATTAAAATTTGTATTTGACTGCAGGATGTGTAGGTTATTGTTGCCACTTTTAAACCACTCACAGTTCTTCTGTGACAACACAATACTTTTATTTAATGAAATATTTAATATTGCCCAGAAAACTTAATTTTCAGTACAGTGATTTACGATTTCTTGTAGGATCCTTTGTGTTATTTGTAAGAAAATCTAAAAACAGATAGTTTAAAACACTCGAATGTGTCTTTTTCCGCCCCCTGCTGGTGAACTAACGCATGTGCTAGCGCCCCGGCTAGACACTACTGACACGAAAAACACGATGACGTAAATCATCCTGACAACGTTGTTTACTTTTTACTTTATGAGCACAAAATCTAAATAAAAGCGTGGTTATATAATAAAAAATGAAGTTTATACATTCGTATGACTGTTTTACAGGAAGTGAAACTAAAATGACATTTAACGTGTATGTGCCCACAACTGAGATTTACTCCCAACATAATTTATTTTTAATTTATTAAATCTTAAATGTCACATGGTAGGTGAAGGAAAGTTTTTTTAAGATTATTTTCTACTGGAGATTATATCTCAGAAACACAGAGAAAAGACTAGCATGAGGAAAATGACAACAACATTGACAATGACTCCAGCTGTGAACAAATTCTTATCATAAATCATTAATCAACATGTAGTTATTTGTTTACATAAATATACACTACATAAATACAACAATACTTAAAAGCTGCTTACCGCAGGCGGACGCCATTCTGCACTACTTTCATTTTTCGTTTTCTCAGCCTGCCTTTATTAAACACCCCAGCAAACCACGCCCACTCAAATTATCTGCTAATAAATAGTTTCAAATGAATCAAATTTAATAACATATTTATAAATATTTGTCTGACAAATTTAGTTTCACCATTATGATGCGTCTATTTATCCATTTCCTGTTGATTTTTTTCTGAAGAATGTGAGTAAACCGGATGTTGATTGATGCCACCTTGTTTTAAAAAATAAAATAACTCTACAAACACTAAAGCAACATTTACTATCAATTTTGTATAAAATCTATCGTATTTTGGAAATTATTTGTGCACTTTCAAACATCCACGCTGCTAGAGGGCGATAGAGAGGTGGTTCTGCAACTCTACTTTTTTTTAAGTACACGAAGAAGAACGTAGGCACCTTTGGAATATGGATCCGAAGCAAATGGCTTTTTCATAGCTCTACCAAGGACACAATATCCTAACAGGCCCTTGAAGAAAAAAGAGCAACAACGATGGAGCAGGCCGATCACTCATACATCAACTCCTCGTTTGAGCAGATCAACAGCGCGGAGTTCACTTATAAGAGTGAGTGAAGACGTCAGGAAAGGTTTATTAAAGCTTCCGGCGCTCAGAGTTAGCTTAGCTGCATAGCAAGATGACTCCATAGTCACGTTATAGTGACCTTCTATCCTTTATCAGAAGTGTCCGAGTTAGTATTTTATACTCAGCCAGCCTGAGCCTCATTTTTGTTAGTAATATTAGCATTATTAGAATAAATTGTGAAATAATTTTTAAACACATTTATGTTGCTGTGAAATGTTATTTTAGCATTTGGATCCACATGTCAGTTTTTTTTATTAATATATATTTTTATTATTTTCAGTGAGTGATAAAGAAATTGAAGACTTTGTGAAGTTGAGAATGTCAAACGATCATCTCTTCACTGGAAGAAAAAATAGCTCCAAGTGGGCATGGAGGTAAAGTTAAAAGGTTGTGAAAGCCTAGAGAGCATGAGCTTATGCATCATGGGAAATTCCAAAACGTGTCCAGTTTCTAAGATTTAATTTACAAATTAAACTGCTAAAAACATGAAAGCTGGTGGCGTGTCAGCTGTTCACCACAACTTTCTACAGTTTTCTCAGGATCCCGTAATACCCTTTTCTATTCATTTTCTTTCTTCCTTCTCATTTTGTTAAATGGTAAATAGCCTGTATTTGTTACGCGCCTTCTTAGGGATATATTCCATTCCTTAATTTTAGTTCGAAACACATCAGTTTCTTTCAGCATGTAATTACTAGTTCTCTTTTCAAATAGCCCCTGAATGTTTGTTGGCAACCTAAATTGGCTTTATACATGGTTTGTAAGATTTTCCAGTCTTTTAAATCACGAAATTTCAGTAATTTATATTTAATAAACAATGGGTTCGATGGATCTCTACAGCCACTATAACTGATGATTCTCAGAGCTCTTTTCTGTAAAAGAAATAAGGGTTGTGTATAGTTTTTGTATGTTGCTCCCCAGATTTCTACACAATAAGTCAAGTATGGAACAACCAGTGAATTGTACAATGCCAACAAACCAGAATTAGTCAGTAAAAACTTGACTCTATATAATACTCCTAAGGATTTGGCAATTTTACCTTTTACGTAACTAATATGGGATTTCCATGTCAAGTCTTCATCAATAAGAACTCCAAGAAATTTAGTTTCTTTTACTCTTTGAATTGCAATCCCATCTATTTCCAGTTACACATCACTGTTCTTTTTATCATGAAACAGTATGAAATTTGTTTTATTAATGTGGCAAGGTGGATAAACGAGGGCCCAGGCAGGATTCGATCCCCAGACTCCCGGGTGAGAATCATACGCACTAACCAGTCAGCCAAAGGGACATCCCTGTGGCCAAGTAGCTAGGGCGCATGATCAATCGGGACATTGTGACAGGACGCTCACACTGTCACATTAAGATTCAGTGTCAACCTATTTATATCAAACCATTTTTTAATTTTAATCAGTTCATCATTTATCACTTTAGCCACATCCTCTATATTTGATCCTGAGTAAAACAGTGTTGTATCATCTGCAAATAGAATGGTACCTAGTGTCTTAGATACATTTACCAAGTCGTTAATAAACAAAATGAACAGTTTTGGTCCGAGGACCGACCCTTGTGGCACTCCACAATTAATTTCACATAGTTTTGATGTATGGTCCTTTATCTGAACAAACTGTTTCCTTTTTTCTAAATAAGTTTAAACCCATTGATGAGCCACACCTTTTATTCCATACCGACTTAATTTTCGAAGTAACCTTGAGTGATCAATGACGTCAAATGCTTTTTTTTCAAATGAATGAAAACGCTAACAGTCATTTTTATTGTCCCAATTTTTTTTCAATATTTCCAATTTGTTATTACGATATGTTTTAAAAATAATTATATATATATTTTTTTTTTTTGTGTGTCATTTTATTTATTAATTTATTTTAATTTTTTATTCTTGTGAAGCACCTTGCGATTTTTATTTTGAGGGGTGCTATATAAAAACCTTTTGTTCTTCTTCAGCTCTTTATTTGATGAAGGATTGAGCATCTCTGATTTCCTTTTTGTCTAGACCTTTTATCTTAAATGTTTTCACCAATAATAATAACAATACTACATTTCTATTTAAGGGACTGAAACTGTCTTTTCAGGTCCATCCTTAAACACATGGGCTTACACTTTAAGATGAACCATCGTCAAGCATCTAAAAAATGGGACAACATGAAGAAGAAGTACAAGGTACACATTCTTATTACTTACTTAGGATTTTAACTCATTCTTTCCTTTTACTGGATATATTTCTTATTTCTTTTTAGGAGTTAAAATATCCTCCACCTGGTGTGAAAATTGTTTCTCAGTGGAATTATTTCTATCTGATGGATGATGCCATGGAGGGTCGGCTGCAGGACATGGCCCCTGTCCTTGAGGGCCTTCCCGACAGCACCAATAATAGTGATTTCTTACAAGTTTCCGTCCCTAAAAGGAGAAAGGTTTTCAAAGAGGGCGTCGCCTCTCCTGCAGGTTTGATAACCAGTGAGCCAGAGATGGAGGTGTCACTAGATGGAGACGAGGATGCAGAGGATGCAGAGGTGCTGGAAGATTACAATGAGATGGAGCATGTCGAAGAAAAGATAGAACTGGTGAAGAACAGCGAACCACAGATGGCAAAAAGAGAAAATACGCTGATTCAAAGGCAGGGGGCAATGATGGACAGGGAAGTTGCTGCTCTGGACCGAGAACGATCTTTGTTGGAGAGGGAAAGAGTGATGATGGAGAGAGAGAAGGTGACAGTGGAGAAGGAGAGGGCAGTGAGGGAAAGGGAGGTGATGGAAAGGGAAAAGGCAGTCTTGGAAAGGGAAAAAGGAGTGATGGAAAGGGAAAAAGGAGTGATGGAAAGGGAAAAAGGAGTGATGGAAAGGGAAAGGGCAGTGATGGAAAGGGAAAAAGGGGTGATGGAGAGGGAAAGGGCAGTGATGGAAAGGGAGAAGCTGATGATGGAGAAGGACAGAGACACTTTGTGCAAGGAGCGTCAGGGTCAGGACAAAGAAGAACACAAGATGGGTGAGATTTCCTGCACTTGAGGGAGACATCTAATTTAAAACTCAGCTTTTGCACCCTTTTTGTGCACCCACGTGGGTCTACTGCCTCTGTAAACACCCCAAACACGACAAAACCCCATCCATCCGTTTTCTAAAGAGAAAACAAAACAGATGCAGCAGAAAGAATCAGGCAGGATTCTAAAGTATACAAAAACGTCACTCCTCTGGCATACCTGACACCTGTCACACCTCGGTCACGGGAGGAACAGGTAGATTCACTGGTGACCGCCACACATGCAGCGAGAGAATTCACAGCCCCTCTCTGTTGCTGCTTTCTGAGGGCGAGAACCGGAACGGATCAGGTTGGTAGCGAGACTGCGATGTTTAAAAACAGTTTATCCGACTGTTGGATGGAAGGATTCATGATGACTTATTTAAAGAGTTTAAATAAGTGGTTTCTTAGGTTGCCCCACTTGATTTGTTCATATTGAAGTGCCTATTTTTGATAAATCGCATCTAAAAATATACACACACATACAGTGCATTTGTTTTCCCGTATTTCGTTATGTCACAGCCTGAAATCTAAATGGGTTAAATAAAATTCCTGCAAAATCTGACTGCAAATACCTCAAAAACACTTTTTATGTTTGAAGTTTGAAATGAGGCTGTAATGTCAAAATGTGTAAAAAGTCACGAGCTGTGAATACTTTCTGGATTTTCTGTATATAAATGAAAAACACAGCTTTGTTTTTTATTACCAAGCTGCCTCTTGACTGTACTAAAGGTAAAGAACCACTACTAAAAAGGCATTTCGTCCTTTGTGTAAAAAGATTTTTGACAAACGTTACATTTCTGTGACCGTTAAGTTGTCAATAAAAACATCGAGCCGCCTCCAGATGGGAGAGGTCTTCAGGACTTTATTTGTTTGTGGTTATTCCATTCAGATCACACAATAGCAAGCGCTCAGTATTATTCTCAACCCCGTCCACAACCAACAACAATCCCCTTCAAACATGACTTTTGAAAATAAAATATACCAATTACTGCAGTTAGTTAAAAAAGAAAATCTTGAGCCTATATATTTCTTATATTACAGTACAAACTTTACAACCAACAATTTTGTTTAAATGCATCTTTTATTGTTTTAGATACTCGATTTACCCCTCATTAAGCTCCAGCTTTAATAGATTTATACCAGTGTACAAGGCCAAAAGTGTTTGATTCATCCTCAGTCTTAATATTAACTTTAATTTTTACAAACTTATTTAGACAATCTATCACCGGAGTAAATGCAGAGTGTGCTTTTTAGTGTTTTTATTTCAACAGAAATGTGTTTTGTTGCTGAACAGGAGAAGGTAGAGCAGTGTGTGTATGTACATGTTTTTAGATTATGTTTATGGTTTTTTTTATTTGGCTGATAACGAAATTTCCACACAGTTTTACAGATTTGCACCATCGTGTCAGCAGCATGTATGACAGTTTGTTGGAAACACAATTTATTGCAAGTAATGGCCTGTTTGACCAGTGAATACACTTGAAGTCTGCGTGTCAGTATGTACAAATTTGCGTGCATGTTGCCGCACTTGTGTGCAGGAGCGAAGGCTAAACGAGATTTCCGACGGGTATACGGGGCAGACAGATGTATGCCTGCGGGGTTTTGCTGAGGTTGATGGGGTTTCCGTCCAGACGGATGTCCTCCAGAGCGTTCCTGATGTAGTTGAAGTCATTCAGGTTGCAGAATGTGTCTTCGTGCATCATCTGAATGTTGTTCCGCTGCAATAGAACAGAAACAGCACGATTTATTGGATGTGTTTGTGTATTGTTTTTTTCTTTAAGCGTAAACCAATTTGCTGTTTTGGTATCTACATGCACAATGAGGTTTCATTAAAGGTAAGACGTGACTCGGATCTAAAGTGGAAATCTTTAACAACTAGGATCTGTAACGGGGCGGTAGGTGATGTTTTACTAGAGCATTTATTGCCACATTGCTGGAAATTCTCGCAACCAATAAATGACATGTTCTTTAGAAAACATCACAAGTGGGGAATTGTGGCATCAACAAGTCATCTCCACGCCGTGTTATTCTTCAGCTCTGCAACTAAACCAGGTGATTTCAGTCAGCACAGTGAATGAACCTTGCTCAGTTGCTGAGCATATCAAAAACACAGCATGGAGGTGACTTGTTTGTGCTGCAGTTTCCATCTCTGGAAACCAGAGTCATTTAAATCACCTCTGAAACGGACAATCCTGGAAAAACCTCATCCAGTCACTGTGAATGTCCCATTCTTAATGATCGGATCCTGATCCACCCTCTGACTGCCCTCTGACCCTCCCTCCTCCCTCTATACAAACCCCTTCTTGTGCATAAGTCACGTGTTCTTGGCTCGGAGCGGCTGAACGGTAAGTGAAGCCAGAGCTGGGCTGGGCTATACTAAAGTAATGGAGAGACATTGGTGCATTATGTTATAAATCATGCCAACAACAGGTCGAAAACGTAAAACTGTATTTGAAAAGGCTGTGGCCAAGAAAAAAGCTGATGAAGAACGGAATAACAGAGAAATCTGAATGAAGGAACATTAACCTTTAACGTGTATGATCAGCTTCTGTTCTCGGGTCACGCTGCACCTTTCTCAGAATTTGTGTTCCAGTTCGAAACCATTGATATATCTATATTGATGGACCAGTGATCTTTGCTTTTAGTGGGGATTGAAGCCACTAAAATCCATCTATGGGGAAATGGACACCCATGTCTACTTCCCCATATCAACCTTCTTCTTTTCCTTTGGGCATTTCACTTATCGGACATCTCTAGATGCAACAGATATCTGTGTACCTGTAGATGTATAGATCGCAGGCTGTCTGGTAAAGGCACTGGGATGTAATCGATGTTGTTATCCGTCAGGTACAAGAACTGTAGACTGGTCATGTCCTGTAATCCGAGAAAAGCATAGAAAGCATTATTGACATTGACAACACAGAAAATAATTCTCTTTAGAGTACAGATTCCTTCATTTAGCCGACACAGATGAATCACAAAACATTGACTAATGTTTCTGTCAGAGCATGCTATTGGCTCATGCATTACTTAATTCAAATTCTATGGCATGCAGCCTTCCTAAAAACAAGTTTTGGTAATCCTGTAGAAGGTGCACGGACCTTAAAAGCCTCTTTATGAATCCCCCTTGAGCCAATGTTGTTGTGACTGCCATCGATCAAGGTCATGGTCTCTGGGAGAGCCGGCAGCTGCGAGACGTGGTTTTCTCTGATTATCAGCTGCTCCAGCGCAGGCAGACCCATAAAAGCTTTATCATCAATAGCTGTTATCTCATTGGCAGTCAGGTCAATCCGCTTCAGTTTGTCTGCAAGAATGAAAACACTCTGAAAATCTCATGATCGCAGTTCACACAGGCTGCTGGTTTAATGGCCAAGCATGTTCATCCATGAGAAACCTACTCATGTTGGCAAAGTCAGACTTGTTTATCTTTGTGATTTTGTTGTAGCGGGCATAGAAGTGAGTGGTGTCTTTGGGTAGAGGCGGAACACTGTCCAGCTTCAAGTCATCGCAGTAGACCGAACCACCAAGGCACGTGCACAGCAAGCACACTGGCATACCTGGAACCCATGGGAAGGAATTGGCAAGTGAGATTAGAAGCAAGTAGGATTACAGTGCAGTAAGAGAAATAATCACATGTCCTGTTCTTCACCTTGAAGAATCCAAATTCTCAAGTTTCATTTAGGTTCTCTTTTTTCCTGCAGAAATCAAAGTTTCTGTGTCTTGTGTTGACCTTGGTGGTCCTAATTGGTTTATCATCATCATTTTTATTTATAAAGTGTTTTCACATGGCCAATCTAGTCAAAGTGCTGAACAACCATAAACCATACATAAAAGTCATACATGAAATCAACCAACACAATCTCACTCCCAGCACGTCAAAAACAAACACTTGGTCAGCCACCCTCCGCCTCAGACCCCTGACGCCAAAAGAGCCCTTTTTCGTTACTTATGTGCGAAAAGGGGTTTTTCCCTTTTCTGACTGCAGATCCCAATGCAGCGTTACACTGACGCGATGGGATGTCCGCAGCCAGGGCACCAAACAAGCTCATTGTACCTCACCCTAACCTTATCCTCTTATTTAACCTTCCCCTCACCCCATCCTAACCTTAACCATCTTGCTAGCGAACACGTTAGTGATGTGTCGATCGCTCTAAGAGCCGGCTCTATGAAGTGAACGGCGGGAGCCGCCTCGTCATTTGTCGGGTTTGGGCCGAGCCAACGCGAGGGGGAGGTTTCAACTACCAAGGTGGACGTTAAAAGTAGACGGTATTTGTAACCTCCCCCTCGCCAGATGGTATGTTCTAACGTTCCCCTTGGGCGGCAAATACGAAAATTCACAGTCAGACTCTGACTGTCAGAGTCAGAATGCATGGGAAACAAACGCTTGATCACAGTGAGAGTAACGTTTTAGGTAGCAAGAGGGTTAAGGTTAGGATGAGGGAGAGGGGAAGGTTATAAATAGTGAAACGTTAAGGTTTAGGTGCAGTTAAATGAGCTGGTTCTGTGCCGCATCAGCGGATATTTAATCACATCAGTTTTACGCTGCATTGGGATCTGCAGTTACAAAAGGGAAAAACCCCTTTTCGCACATAGGTAACAAAAAACCAAGCGTTTGTTTTTGACGCGCTGGGAGTGAGAATGTGTTGAATCAACGAATAAAATGAATGCAGTCTAAAGGACTAATAATGAAAACAGAAATCCCCTTGTAGGACAGGGCAGGTTAAAGGCCAATGTCGGGCGACCGGCTGGCTGCACTCACCCTAATGAAAGCCCACAGAGAACAGGTGTGTTTTCAGACAACTTTTAAATCTGGCGAGGGGGCTGGCCTGTTTCACTACCTTTGGAAGATTATTCCAGAGCTGAGGTCCCAGTTCAGAAAAGGCATGGTTACCATGGGTTTTGAGTTTATGCTCAGGCTCCACCAGGAGATCCTGCTCAGCTGAGCGATGGATGCGTGAGGGTGTTTAATGGTGAATTTCTACTTCATGTAAGAAAGACATCAGCTGGACATCTATAATAGCCTTCTTCAGGATTTTAGCTAGTAACGGTATTGTCGATACTTGTCTATAGTTTGCCAAAACAGTAGCATCCAGACCTCCTCTCTTCAGCATCAGGTGCACCACCGCATGCTTAAGAGCACTAGGAACCTCGCCAGATAACAAGCTGCTATTGACAATTTCCATCACATGGGGAGCTACCACAGGAAAATTTCTTTTAGCAGCTTGACCACATGAGACACGGAACCAGAGGGCTTTAGTTTTCCTACCAACATCTGCAGTTCTAACAGAGTTGAAGCCATTAAAGACTGCTGGGGTCGAGACCTGAGGACATGATTGACACTTTGGAGCCATAATCGAGACTCTGGTTCTCCCCACGTTGTTTAAAAAGAAGTATAGAAAACTATTGCAAGAGTCGGTAGAATGTTGAACAGCCAATGGCTCATTTGCAAAAAAAAAAAAAAAAAAGATTCAGTGTGTTAAACAGAACCCAATGATTAAGAGAGTTCGAGGAAATGATATCAGCAAAATAGTTGACCCTCGAGTGTTTAACAGCTTTCTGATAGGCTACCGGCTATCTTACAGTAGATCAAACGAGGTGCGCTGTTGTGCTTCCGCCTTTGTTCAGCCTGCCTACAATCCCTTTGAATTGGCCGAGTGGTTTCATTTAACCATGGCTCTTTCCTAATGTGACAGGGTGAGCGTCCTGTCACTGTCCCAATTGATCATGTGCCCTGGCTACTTGGCCATGGGGATGTCCCTTTGGCTGACTGGTTAGCACGCATGACTCTCGCCTGGGGGTCTGGGGATTGAATCCCACCCAGGCCCTCGTTTCTCCACCTTGCCACACTGAAACCGGGTGTACACTGTGCGACTTTTTCACTTTTTTGAGCCGATTTTCTGCGAGAATCCACAGGATCTGGGCGAGTTTTGCGCCGAGCGTCGTGTAGTGTACAGGGGGTTACGAGAGGCGATTAACACCACGTGACCAGCTACCGATCAGCAATCGAGAGCTCGCACGGACATCTGGAGTGTGATATTTTGCTCGTTCCTCGTGAGGGTTGAAGTGGCGCAGCGAGCGGCTGCAACCCAAAAAGTACCAGAACCACTCACGGCGCATGCGCAATCCTGCATCAACACCGCTCACTCGCTATTTCCCCAACACACGTTGTTCATTTTTATTTCTAAACATTTTTTTTTACACACAGTGACAAGGATTGTCAAGAAAGCGTGTTTGTCGAGTTCATGTCGAATTAAACAGATCACAAAACACGGATTTACTTTCTTTATTTTGTTTTCCTCATCCAACTCCCATAAATCCCTGTGTGTCCTCCTGCAGCACTCCTGAAGGACAACAGGCAAGACAAAAAAGTCTGACGTGTTGAGTAAAAACTGCTATTTTTAGCATATTATTAGGTCCGACGTGTTGCTACCAGACGTACGGTGCGAGCACATGGCTCGTGAGATCTACCCTGCGATGAAGTCGTACAGTTTGAGCGGAAGCCATGGACGTAAATTTCACTTTAGAAGTGTGTGTGTGTGTGTGGGAGGGAGGAGGGGGGGGGTATCTTTACAGTATGTTCTAATGGGAAACAGGCTTCAACACAACTGGTTGTTTTCTGCTTGGTCCTAGAGCTCAACCAGTGTCAATTTAATATTGTTTTTGGATGGTAAAAAGTGCAGGGGTCAAAACTTGACTTTGGAGGGGGGAGGGGGGGGGCATGTCCCCCCATCCCCCCCCAAAAATTACATCCATGGCAGAAGCTGAGTGCTACGAGTGAAAAAGTCGCACAGTGTCCGCCCATCTTTAGTTTAGGATTCCTGACCCAGACTGGTGCAACCTTATCCAGCGCCTTAGTATAAGCTGAGTAAAACAATACAAGGAACTCCTCAGTATTAGATCCTCCTGGATGAAAACTCAGTGGCTGTGGAGGTGTTAAAAGCACCACAATGTCTAGCTGGGGGCGCTGCTTAGTAATCTGACATGGCAGAGCCAGATCAAATAGCACAAGCCTATGGTTTGCGAAAAAGGCTTCCCCAACTTACAAGTTAGAGATGGCCACATCCAAGATTCAAGATCTTTTATTCTCATTGCACAGGTCTACAACAAAATTTACTTTGTGCTCACTAAAGACAGGAGGTAGTAGACAGTTCCAGATTTAAAACATGACCTGTGTGGGTTGATCAACTGCTTGGGAGAGATTAAAAGTGTCCTCTAGATTAAAAAAGTCCTTCTTCAAAGATTTACCTCGACAGCAAATGCTTATTAAAATCCTCCAGGATTAAAACATGGTCACACTGCGGGATTAATTCTCCTAGAAACTCTGAAAGCATCCAGAAAGTCTGAGTTGGATCTAGGCGGTTGATAGAGGAGGACAACTAATAGAACTAATAGACAGCCCAGTTCAAACAAACAGAGTTCAAAACTGGTTGTGGAAATATCTGTCTGCAGGTGAATTTTGATTTATAAATCCCCGCCGGACCTCCTCCACACCTCGAAGGTCTCGGGACACTAAATTATGTACAGTCATTGAGAAGTAGCTCCACAAAAGTAGAGGTTTCACCTGCCATAGCCCAGGTCTCCGTAACGCACAGGTAATCCAACCCACGTCATCCAGAAAGAGTCTTTCAGCATAAAAGTTACCCCAGATTCAGCAGAAATAAATCTGAAGCTGTCCTTCTGCTGATGGTCTAGAGGTTTGTTTTAAAGGTGATGAATAATAAAATGAAAATCTCAAAGAGCAAGACAACAATGAGACAAATATCCACAATAAAAGTCCATCCCAGTATTGTCTAAGATTTCACCTAAAAGGGATGAGTCCGGGTGAATCTTATGGGCTTTCTAAAGGGAACTCTCTGAACCGACCTCTGCTCAGTACTGACCTTGTGCATCAACCACCTCTTCCTCGGGCTGCTCTGGATCACCAGAGGTCATTGTCTCTTCTATACTGGTTTGCACCTCCTGAGAGGGTTCAGGTGTGGTTGGAAGCAGCTCCTCCTCTTGTTAGAGACAAGATTAGTGTTAAAGGAAGAGGTTAGACCAACACGGACACACAACAGGAAGTCTGGCAATCAGTTGCCCACTGTTTGCCTCAGCAAAGGGTTTTAGCAACATTAAACAAGGGGTTTGTGGATGTAGGTTAAATGAAAATGACTGGTTAATGACACAAAAGGTGATTAAAAATACATTAAAGCAGGTTAAAAAGAATTAATTTTAGTTCGGCTTATATCTACAAACAGTGACCTCTAAACTCCCTGAGAGGCTGAACTTGGACATGGTCACTGTTATAAGTTTGCGTTGGTGCAACTAAACATACTGTGTGAGAAGAAACGCAGAAGAGCAGCATGAACAGAATAAAAGGCTTAATATAGTATTTACTGTTAACAAAGTTAAATATTTGAGTATAATCCTAATTTTATTCTGCTTTTAAATTCTTCTAAAACGTCCCTATGGTCCCAAACCTTCACATGAACCCGTTGCTGCCTCTTCCTTTTCACATTGAATTTTAAACTTCTCTGATTTTTGATAATGTGTTTACGTGTGAGCTTGTTTTTACTCATAGGTCTAGACTGGATACTGACCTTCTTTGGGCTCAGGGAGCAGATTCACCTCAGGGACCTCGATGTCTCCAGAAGCAGAGACACCAGAAGTTCCAGAGGTTCCGGAGACCTCTAAGCCTCCGGAGACACCAATGTCCCCTGAAGCTCCAGAGGTTCCTGAAACTCCTGAGATCTCCCCAGAACCCCCCGATGCTTCTTGGGGGATAATTTCTGGAACGAGGGGCCGTTCCTCCTCTTGTTAGAGCCAAGCGTCGGTGTTAGGAGGACGAGGTCGAGAGGGACAATCAATCACACTCACATTTTACAGAGGGGATGTTAGGAAGACATGATTATGTGAAAAATACATTACGTAGGACAATTAGGATCGACATTTAACCACATTATAAACACAAGCAGTTAAATGGAATTCAAGACAAATTACACGAATAATGACAAGTTATTAACAGATGAGAAGTCATCACAAGCTTTACCAAAAGCTTTGTGAAGGTACTAACCTTCAGTTATAAAAGTTATCCCTGACTGCCCAGATTCAAAAGAGTCCCCGGAAACCCCAGAGATTCCAGAGGCCCCAGAGATTCCAGAGGCCCCAGAGATTCCAGAGGCCCCAGAGATCAAAATATCTCCAGAGAACCCAGATCCAGACGGGTCCCCGGATCCACCAGAGCCAACAGGGAGTTCGGTGACAAATTCAGATTCTCCAGATGGAATGTCCCCAGAGAATCCAGAAACACCAGATCCACTAGTGACTCCAGATCCAGAGAGATCCCCAGATATCAGGATGTCCCCGGATAATAATTCCTCAGGTCCACCAGAGCTGAACAGCTCTTCTGAGGCTCCGGACATCATGATAATTTCACCAGACTCCCCAGAAGCTCCAGAGACCAGAATGTCCCCTGAGCCTCCAGACCCCGAGGCCCCAGAAGCTCCGGAAGCCCCAGAAGCTCCTGAGGATCCTGACCCTGCGGAGCCTCCGAAATCCCCGGAAACATGGAGAGTGTCAACGGGCACCCGACGTAGCTCCACCTCTTGTTAGAGACAAGATGAGGGATTAATAAACAGACAGATGGGATGGAAACAGACCCTTAATCAGGTTGGGAGAGCACAGTGGTGATTGGGTTAATGAACACATTTAACCTCTAAATATTAAATGGATGGCATGCACATGGGAGATGACACAGATGCTGGATTCAGAAAACATGTTTTTGGTAACTCAAAGCTAAAAGGAGGAAGCCCACCACCCTCGTTAAGCTGCACTTTAAAAAAAGGAGCATCAACATTTCAGAAGCACTGCTTTAAGTTTTTACGCCTCGTTTCCAGACCTTTTTGTGTGTCTGGGCCCATGAGAACGCCCGATCCTCCTGAACCCTGGGGGATGAGTTGGGGTGTCAAAGGCAGCTCCTCCTCCTCGTTTTCCTCCCCTTGATTATACTCCTCCTCATGGTTATCCTCTTCCTCCTTCTCCTCTTGATTTTCCTCCTCCTCCCCCTTCTCCTGTTGAACATCCTCCTCTTCTTCTGGCTTTTCCTCCTCCAAGTCTTCTGGTGGGTAGTTATAGTCAAGTTCGTTTGGTGTTTCAGTCTCTGTCTGAGGAAAAGCACCAGTGGTGAGACAAACGTGTACAAGTGGAAATCTGAAGGAACAGCTGGACATCAAACAGAGCTCTGGTTCATTGGTAAAGCACATTTAACCACAGCGCGTCAGCTATGGTTAGACCCCATTAAACAGTGAGTAAAACAAAGATTAAAAAAATAAAACTCCTAAAAGCATAAAAACAAGGTAGCATAAACTACGTAGTACGGGAAAATACGTCGAGAGCAAAACCAAACAATTACGTAAAAATAGAGTTAAGACACAAAATAGAAATGCAAGAGAAACAGTAAAAATAAGCAGAAGACCGATGACACCCAATTGGAGAATCTCATCTGCCAAAAGTTGATTTGAAGAGATTATAATTAAATAAACTAAAATTTCACCTGGTTGAAGTAAAACCCTGATGGACCAGACCCCACATATGTGGCTCCAACTGCATGCAATGAGAAGAAACCGTGCTGCCATTGGCTGCTGAGCACCACACACTCCAGTGGAAGAAGAACTTTTATACTGAACCCTAAAACGAACAGGAAGCCAGCGCAGGGAGGTTATAATGGAAGCTGCGTGCTCTCTCCTGGGCCTGGTACCTGTTTGATCTGACGCCTGCGGACCTGACAGCAGGGTCTTACCATCGCTGTTTGCCCAGGACTGTAGGTCACCCCTTCACCTGTTCCACCTCTGAGTTTTTTACTCCACCAAAATGCAGGATCCCATCAGCTGGAGAGGTCAGACAGGAGGCAGCCCAAACTGGCCTGACTGCACGTTTGAGACGTCGATGGAAAAATTCTCCCAGGTTTTTGTAAATTAAAAGTGACCCACACTTGTATAGTGCCTTTCAGAGTCAGAGGACTCCAAAGTGCTTTATGCTACAGTGTATCATTCATCCATTCATGCACATTTGCATGCTGGTGGTGATGGGTGGGGCTGCTGGACATGGGTGCTGCCGGTCCCTCTGGCAGGTGAATTGGGTGTCTTGCCTAGGGACACAACAGCAAGATTGTCTTTCGGGAGCTGGGATCGAACCTGCAACCTTCTGACTACTGGACAACCCGCCCAACCTGTTGAGCTACAGCTACCCCTAATGTAACAAAGTCCTCTACTGCTGCCTCAGCATCATTTTAGAGATGAAAGAAAAAAAACTCTTCAACTCTTTGACTTTATTATGGTCAATAATTTAAGTCTTTATTTAGAGGGGAACTCGGCAGTTTTGGCTTACTTTTAGCACCCCCTAGTGTCCGTTTGTAGAAGCCAAAGCTAAACTGATCTGTACGTTTGCCTTTTTACCACTTTAATGTAACAGCAGAAATGTCTCCCCAGCCTTCATTAGATTTTAGATTTTTATTGGAAATAAGCGCGTACTGAAATGGGCAATAATGGTTTATCTGTTGCACCCAGATGTAACATTTCATAAAAAGAAACAGACCATAGATAGATTCAAGATGTTGTTTGTCATTCCATCAAATACATTTAAATAACAGGAAATTCTATCTTACACATCCAAAGGCCATTTAGTAACATCTGTGATCATTGGTTTTGTTCTGAATGGATTCTTCCTCTAAATGAAATGATTTTATGTTCTTATTGTTGCTTTTGTTTCCAGGTTTTTCTCTTTTATCGGTTTACTGTCCCTTTACTCCCTCATCACCTCCTTGTTCTGCTCTCCTTACTTCTTCCACCTTCCTCGGGATCCACTGATTTCCCTCTTTCCTGTTCACTCTCTCTCTTTCTTTACATTTTTAATTACAATTGTCTATTTTTTGCTCATTTTAAATATATTTGTAATCATTTTCTAAATTCTTTTTTACATTTTTACATTTTTTGTTTTTGTGAAGCACCTCGTGATTTTTATCCTGAGAGGCGCTATAGAAAAGATATTTTCTTCTTCTTCTTCTTCTTCTTCTTCCTTTGCACCTGTTTTTTTACTTATTAACCAACACACCTGCTGATCATTTATTCCCAAGGCATAAATCCAAGGTATTCCTTTTTCCACCACTTGTTTTACTTCAAAACTCTCACTTTTTGATTGAATAAACAAAGAAATACCTATTTTTAAGTTACCTGGCATGAGATTGCGCTCTGCACTAGTATTCACATTCGTACACATCAATGTAACAACTTACTTTACTTAGCATTTTTCATTTTTTTGCTATCAAACAGTATCTTTTTAATTATAACCAATTAAATTGTACAAAATAAAACCAAACAGCAGGTTACAGTTTCTGAATGTAACCTTTAAACACTTTTTGTCTAGTAAATTAATGTGTGTTAAAGTCATTTTCACCACACACACACATAGATTGTGCACATTTTGCACCTTCTTTTACATGTTTTGCAGTTTTTCCCTTATACCGTAGTATGTCACACACGTCTTCATCAGTTGTTGGATCTTTCTAATGTATTTTTATCACATTCTACCATGTTTTTCTACCCGTTTATTTTTTACCACTATGGTGCAAGATGACTCAATGGGAGCACCCTCGATTTCGTTGTACCTTGGGAGTTTGAAGGTTTCCACAAGTTTCCACATCCTCAAAAAAGGACTATTCTATTCTATTCTATTCTATTCTATTCTATTCTATTCTATACCAAAGTAATCAGGAACTGGACCAGTCTAAAGGTGTGCTATTACATAGAAAATCTTCACTTCAGGTACATTCAGGTGGTTTTTCATATTTATGTTTCTTTGCAAGAAAAGCTGAAACATGACCAAACGGGGGCTGCATTTCCCCAACATGTGTAAAAAAAAAATATTTTCACCACTAGATGGAAGCAAACTGTCAAGGATTAACATTGCTAAAGAATTCAAATGTCATTAATGCCTTTGGGAAAAAAATAGAGAAGAACAAACGTTTTACAAGCTACAGATAATTATTTCTGGAATGCATCCTTTTGACTGACTTTAGTTTCCAAAGCAACGTCTGAGGCGTATGGATCGAATGTGGCAGCTTGATTCAGCTTTGTATCTGGCTCCAGAAGCCAGGGGGTTTTAGATCACTTTTTAATGAGGTGACAGAAAACATCATAGCAGCTAGAGACAAACAAAATGATGTCTTTGTTTCATGGCTTCAAAGTGCCCAACGATTTCACAAGCAAAAGGCTTAACACCTTGTCTTGTGTTGCCAAACCAAAACAGAACGCACCCAAACCAGCAGACCTGTGTGGAGGACAGCTTTTCAGCCTCCATGTTTAAAGCTTCTAGTGCTTTAGCCGGTTCTGATGCTTGATGAGACCTGCAGTTCTATCATTTTCCAGAGGAGGGTAACGAACTCCCAAACACTGCCTGAGGTAGTACCTGACACTCCTGAATGGTCCATGTGGAACCAAGACACACATGGTAGCTGCAAAGGATTCACATCTGAGTCTGTGCAGTAGCTTCAGCCCCGCTCACCCAAAAAAGTCAGGTGTCAAAATGTGTTCGCAGATTACAGACAATCTGATTGGACCATTCAGGCCAGCAGACATGATGACGTTCATGCAGCAGTGAAGAGAGATTCAGGACTGGTGTGACATTCAGGACTTTGGCTCAGACGCAGTTTTGGATGCAACAAGGTGAGTCTTTGAAAAGTCACGCACAGAGTTAGTTCACACCAGCTCTCCCCTTCATTTCCCCCGTTCTCCAGAGCAAACACGGATACCTCAGGGGGAAGACGAGGTTAAAGGCTAGCAAACCAAAATAAGCAGATAAATAAATAAGAGAAAAAGCTCTGAAAGCAGCATGGAAGAGCAGGATTCGGAATGTGAAGCCAGAACCAAATGCTCTCTGAAATGATCTCAAGCAGAATCCTTCTCTAAAATAGGAGAATTAGATGACTAGTTCATTACCACATTCTGTACAAATGGCACCGTGTCAAATCCCTGGAGGCATTTTTAGTGTCATTTATAATAAATACAGTGAGGAATGGAAGTATTTGAACACCCTGCGAATTCTCAAGTCCTCCCACTGAAATTCACACTGTAGGGTATTCCCAATGTGAGAGACGGCTTTTAAAAAGAATCAGGGAATAACTGTATCTGTATTGCACTGCTGCTCACAAGCATTTGAAGACCTGAGAAAATCAGTGTTGATATTTAGAACAGAAGCCTTTTTTTGCGATGACAAAGGTGAAAGGTTTCCTATAGCTGTTGACCAGGTCTGCACCAACTGCAACAGGGATTTTGGCCCTCTCCTCCACACAGAACTCCTCTGGATCTGTCAGGTTTCGGGGCTGTCTCTGAGCAACACAGAGTTTCAGCTCCTCCAAAGATTCTCTACTGGCTGTAGGTCTGAAGACTAGCTAGGTCACTCCAGAACATTGATGTGCTTCCTGCTCCTTGGTTATCCTGGCTGTGGCTTTCAGGTCGTTGTCATGTTGGAAGACCCAGCTACGACCCATCTTCAGTGCTCTGACTGATGGAAGGAAGTTGCTGCTCATTGCCCCATTCATCCACTCCTTAATACAGTACAGTTGTCCTTTCCCCTTGGCAATAAAACATCCCCCAAAGCATGATGTTTCCACCCCCATGCTTCACATGCAGGGATGGTGTTCTTGGGAGGAAGCTCATCCTTCTTTTCCCTCCTGACAGGGCGAGGGGATTTCAGATGAAAAGGTTGTATTTTGGGTTCATTTGACCACATGACTTTCTCTTATGCCTGAATCCTCTGGATGGTCATTGGCTAACTTCAGACAGGCCTGGACAACATGTAATGACTCGAACAAGGGAAGCCCCTATCCGATTCAAATCTTTGTTGACAGGAAATGCCAAATCTCTGTTTCTGTGGACACTAACTGAAATGAGCCAATCATGGCACGAGTTACATACACCAAGCATTCAATCAGATTAAATAGGTTTAGCATGTGCAGAGTTGTCTTTTCTGGAAAAAAACGGTAAACAAATGCCATCTAGTCTTTTCCCTCACGTTTTATTTTCTTATTCTCTAACTCTGTCCGTTGACTTATGTACTAATGATCACCTGCTCACTACAATTAGGGCACACTCCTCCAGCAAGGACCAGGAGCCAGTGGATGAAGGTCCGAAGTAAGGGCCGGTGGGAGTGTATAATGTTCATGGAGTTTACAGATTTGGAGTTCCTGAGCGTCTGCAAAGGCAGAAAGATGTTACGCTGAAGTTGTACACATACACAGTGGGCATTCTTTTACTCCAACAATCCGAAAGGATGTGAAAATGGACGTCAACTGGAATGATGATCGGACAAAACCACCTCTTTCAATCAGAATGAAATTTCTCCAGAAAGTTTCTACTAGTAAAATAGCATTGTTTAAGAGTTTATAGTGTTTTCAACGAGTCAATGTTTAGACACTAAATGATACAAGGTGAGCTTGAGCCTCTAAATGTGTCAAAAGTGTGTCTTAAAAAACAACAAATTTCCTTAAATCCGACTATTTTATATAATCTGAAAAACTGAATTAACATTTCTTTAGGCCTCTTCAGAAAATGAATTAAAGTCCCGTTAGTCATCACACACTGGTGAGATTCACCTCCGCATTTGACCCATCCCCACGGGGAGCGGTGAGCTGCAGCTGTGTGGCTGTGCTCAGGAACGATTTGGTGGTTTAACCCCCCCAATCCAACACCTTGACTGGGTCCCATTTTATGAGTCTTTGGTATGACCCCAGGGTGGACACTCTACCACTAGGCCACTGGGAAGGTTTAGAGAAGCCTTAGTAACTCTCATTCCAGTGCAGTAACAGTGTTGCTCACTAAAAGCTCTGAACACAGAAAAAATCTGGACCCGTATGCAAAATACACACAGAGTATCTGATTACAGCGGGGTTCATTCACTTAAACAATACATTTGCAGTGGTCTTTAGGAATGAATGCCTTGTATGTCGTACTCGGGAGGAAAAATATATACTGTTGCACCATTTCTAAAAGTTGCCCAAGGAGCTTCAGAAGGCTAGCCTGACAAGCCAGACTAAATAAATGTATTATTTAGTCTGGCAACGCTCCATTGACGGCTCTCGGTTGTGGGGCGGGTTCTATCGTTGTCTTTCAAATGATCTCCGCATGCTACTGGACAATGAATGTGACATACTCACCACAACAGCTATCGGTAAATGAGGCGGTCCACAGTTGAAGAAGGAGAAAACATAATTCTTTCTAAAAAACGGCACTTAAATACATCTATCTGCTCCTGATTCTAATGAAGCCCAAGTTCTAATAGTCCAAAACTGATGTAAAAGCTGTTTCAAACGAGCTGTCGCCATCTTGTTTCACTCTGTTGCATCATCCCACCCACCAGGCATATAGAGTGCCCTGATTGGCCCACAAAGCAGATAAAGCTCTGTGATTTGTTCACTAAGCAGATAGAGCACTATGACTGGCCCACCATTATGGACCAATCACAGCTCTTTATGTGTTTGAAACCCCTCTAGAGAGCTGTGATTGGCCAGCCAGAATGCTGTTAGGGGCTGCAGAGGTTCCAGTGGAGCGTTCCTAGACCAAACTTTGCAAAGCAAGAATTTGGTTTAGTTCACTAGGCTATCAGACGGCAGCTTTTGGAGTCTTATTTCCTGATATTTGGACATCTCGCCTTGGATTGGATAATAGCAAACAATGTTTTATCCCCACAAATAACACAAGCCAGGAGGAGCTTCTGCCGTGAGGGTTAGGGTTAATGCCAACGGTTAGCAAGACGTTCTCTGCCAAACCAACAACAGCCTTCTCCGTCGTGAGTCAAGATGGATGAGTTCATGTACGTTAAGTGACAGTGTGATGTAGATCTGTGAGGACTTTCAAATCCTAGAGCTTCATCGTTTATTTTCTATCAGAAGCTAATGCAGGAGATAGGTGTGTTTTCATATAATCAGAAAAAACATTTAAAAATGGGTTTTCAGGCAACCACACCTTTAAAAACAGTTCATGGCATTTGTAGTGTTGTAGATTTTGAACTTTATTTTAATGTTTATCAAGTGTCATTTTTAAGACCACATATTCTAACCTCTGATGACCTTTATTCTGATACCTGAGGCCCTTTCACCTAAAGTCTGACATCTGAGGCTATCCCAAAAAGGACACGTGATAAAATCTGATCTAGATGATCAATAAAATTCCAAGATGAATTTTCCTGTGCAGGAGTCACCAGACTCACTTTCAGCCTTGAAATCTCTTCTGCTATTCACCTCACATGCCCTTTTTTGTTTTAGAAAAAATAGGGTATTTATCCAAAAATAAAATACTGCTTCCACAATCTAAAGCCACACAGTCATATTTCCTTTATAACCTAGAAGTTAGATGGTCTACTGTTCTTATTTTCCCAGAAACACTCTTAATTCCAATGCAGGAACTCTACAAACAGCTGCAGAAGTGACGGTAATATATCAAGAGAACATTCTGGTTCCACACTGGGAATGAGAGCGCACAGCCCAGCTAAGGAAACCTGAATGAATCTAAAGATGGCGATTAAAGTATCCGGACGCAGCAGACTGAAGATGATTTGCTTGGATAACATGCAGATGAGCTTTTATTTCACTCCTAAGAGACGAGCCTCGGAGAGAAAGCAGAGGAATACCAAACTGGAGCTGAAAAACAACGACTCAGCATTCCAGAGGGGCGCAGCTCATCGCCGCCTCATTTCTCCCCTCAGACTTTACGTGTTTGTATATGAAAGAAAAACTTCATTCCATAGAAATGAATGTACTGTGCTACCAAACAAAGCTACATGAAATGATTTTTTATGTGATTTCTAAGCACCGCTATTATGAGTCAAAACTTAGTGCTTGTTCAGCAATGATGATGTTCCAGTCACTCTGCTGGAGCCAGGAAAAAAGTCCCTCAAGGCCATGAGCAATCTGCCGCATCATTTACACTTTTGCCAAATATTATCAAAGCAATTTCCGAGCAGAGCAGCAGCAACTTTTCAACTCTGAGCACCAAGCTGTGAAACTCTTACGCAACAGAGCTCTGTCGCTCTGACTGAAGCTTAAAAAAGTGGTGGTACTTCTCAGGGTTTGGTGAAGTTTAGAGATGTTGGTTTGATCAAATGTCTTGATTTGAATGTTCTCAGCTGCTGATGTGTGTTTTCATCAATGTAGAGTTTATTTAAAGCCAATACCCCATAGGGAGTCAGCTGAAAGGCCTGTGGGAAGGGTTTGTTTCCCATTTCCAGTCTCTTGACCAAGACTTGGTCCAATTAATTTTGTTCCATAACATGAAATTTGGTCAAAACCAAACTTGCCATATCGCAGTGGGTTCAATCTGATTTAAAGTGCCCTGCTGGTAGCAATTTGTCATGCAGATTATGAGCTGTTTTTACAAGAAATGTAACAAGCAAACAAGCTAGATGAGAGAGGAAAAATCTTAAACGCTTCTTTAAAATACAAATCTGTGGCTTAGCAGACACAATCAGTAAAAGCCAACAAAAAATAAGGATTCACATTTTCTGCTGTGTTGGGAAGGAAAGTTATTCCGGCCTTATTTCCCAGGCTGAAGACAGAGGTCTGAACTGATTGATTTCACAGCTAAAACTGCTCCAGATGCACACAGGCTTCGAAGCCTTGGCCAGCGGAGTAGAAAACTGAAGCAAAATGTCTTTTTCTGTTGAGAGGAGCTGAAATCCCGTCTGCCTCATAAACCTGGTGACCTCGGTTTTAAAAAGTAGCCAACAGTGGGTGGAATTTCAATCTGAATTTAGGGGAAATTGGTTTCATCTGCAGGTTTGCAGCATGAACTGGACTCTAAATCTAAAACTTAAGGTTTTGTTCTAGCCCAAATGGTCGATAAGCTCATCACATTCAGTGAAATAACAAAGATTTGAGTAAAAAATGTCCCAACTTTTTATTATCCTACCTCAGACTCGTCAGTTGTCAGTTCCTCGTCATAGTCGTAGCTTTCTCCATTGTCCAAATCAAAGTTGTCTTCCTCTTCGTCGTAGTTTGCGAGGTCGTACGTGTCCAAGTCCACTTGTCGGGAAAATCTGGGACTGGCTATCGCCGCTTTGAGGACGAAGAGTCCGAGCACGAGCCGCACGAGCATTCTCATAATCCACCTGGACAAGGACAGAGTTGGAGGGTTAAAGGGAGGAAATGCAGACTGAAAATGTATTCTTACATTAAAATCAGGAGAACTATTCTAAAATTATTCTGGTTCACAGCACAAGAGTCGCTTATCATGGTTTTACAGGCTACAATACTGGCTTTCAATAGCATGTATACACAGAGGCTTGACTTTGGTTCCTACCATTAAGGTCGTCCACCTCATTACAAAGGTGCAGACAGCTGAGGGATCAAAATACACGAGCCTCTTTCATCGCTGAAGCCAGAGTCTGATTGTTTGAAAGAAGAAGCTCTCTTTGTTCAGCTAAGTGCTCCGCTTTGGCGTGTCAGCAGGGAATATCAGAGCCCGTCTAGTGTTAAATCTGCCCGTCACATTATTTAGGGTTAGAAGTTGAGGAAGGTTTTAGGTTAACTAGTCTCAAGCAAAGTACTCCTTTGTTTTATTCATTTGGCGGAACATAACATTTTCACAAATGACTTACTGCTTGGCTAGGTTTAGGTTAGCTTCAGGAACACATGCTTTATCATGTCGAAGGTCAACCCGGTCCCATGTCGTACTCATGGACACAACATCTTCCACTCAAGTGGAAAAAAGTTCATTCTTGGAGTTCAAACAACCAGGAAGGAAACTCAGACATTCCTCTCCCTTGTGACATTCCAGCTCCTCCTGAGGGATCCCAGGCCAGAGAGGAGATTCAGTGAGTTCTGAGTCGGCGCCCAGGTGTCCTGCCAGTGGAGCTTGCCCCAAAACTCTCCAAACCACCTCAACTGCCTCCGCTCGTTGTAAAGGAGCTCTACTTCGTTAGGCTGTTTCACACAGAGTACGATACGGAGGCGGTCTGGTTTGCATATGGATTCTGGACCGACTGCCATTCACGCTGCTACGGCTCATGTGCTGAACATCTGCGGATATCTGCTCTCACGTGAGCACCAAATGATCACAGCTTTGACATATTAAGTTTACAAATACGTCTGTAAAAATAATGTGAACCATCAAACACCATGAACATGTATCGCTGTCATAAATAAAATAAAATCCGGCAAAATAATGCGACACAGCTTTGATTTTCAATTATACTGGATGCAACTTGTTGAAGCGCGTCCCACTTCCTGTCTGGCTCGTGTTTTTTCTTTATGACTGAGAACCTTCACCAGCATGTTGTTTCTTTTACTTCATGACAATCTGCACATGGTGTCTGGAAAAAATAGACTCAATGCCAAAACCTTCCGGAGATCTGCATCCGGATCCACACCACAGCCCGTGTGAATGCTATGATTGGACTCAAAGACTCTTGACCTCTGTGGAAGCCGTACGGAGACCGGATTGCATCCGTTTCATATTCGGTGTGAAAGAAGCCTGAGTGGTTGAGCTGTGCTGCTCTACAGCCGCGTTAATGGGATCTTATTCTGTTGGACAAAATCAAAACCTCCTGACCACTAGTTAGAAGGTAGGAGATAGGAGCTCTGGTCACTGAAGAGGAAGCATTAATCCACCCTCCACTCCCAAACTACTGGAGTAATAAAGTAAAATAAAATAACTTGATTGGTGTAAAATACTTGAGCTTGTTACATTGTGGACATGCGCCCAAACTTGGGTGAAGAGTCTACGGAAGAAACAACAGCCTTGTCACCATGGTAACATCAACCAGGTTACACATCCTACATGTTTTATAGTTGTACCTGCTTTAACCCAACTGTTTGGGGTCTTTAGCTTCTAGAGTTCACTTTTAGGCTGTGATGTTTTGCCTGGCCCAAAAGAAAGTTGCCACCCAAAAAAAAGGTCACACGCTTTAATGTTTCATTGGCCACCTTTAACTTTCATTACGACACACATTCGCGGCGCCATTGTTTCGATAAACTCCCACATTGTCACCAGATTTATTTCCATCCAGTGCTGCATTAATGTTTCACCAAGATCTTGCATTGATGATGGGAGAGTCTGACTGCTGCACAAAGCCTTCTCCAGCACTTCCCAAAGATTCTCCCTGGGGCTAAGGTCTGGACTCTGAACCACTCTTTCACTATCTGAGCCCGATGAATCCTGGCATTGTCATCATCTTGGAATATACCTGTGCCGTCAGGGAAGATGGAATAACCTGGTCATTCAGTATATTCAGGTAGTCAGCTGACATCATTCTTGGAGCACATCCTGTTGCTGAACCTAGACCTGACCAACTGCAGCAAGACCAGATCATAGCACTGCCCCCACAGGCTTGTACAGTAGACACTAGGCATGATGGGTGCATCACTTTCTCTGCCCCTCTTCTTACCCTGATGCACCAACGAACTGGAAAAGGGTCCATCTGGACTCATCAGACCAGTTTTTAATAATGTGTTGGACAGTTCTTAACCCAGTTTTCGTATTTTCTATCTCCTTAGATGTGTTGTCTGCTTGATGCATACCAACGATTTGACCCTTCTCAAACAGTCTAACGTCTTTTCCTCGACCACCAGATGTGTTGTTCCACATGGTTGTTCAAGAAATGAGAAGAGCTCATTGCACCAGGTGGGTTAAATAACTTGCTGCTAGCTGAAAGATAATCGCCCATGCAGTAATTATCCAATAGGAAGCTCGTACCTGTTTGCTTGGTTAAATCCAGGTGGCAAACATTTTTGGGCCAGAGAGTGATATGCTTCTTTAAAAGGTTATTTAATTTTTTTAAATTTTTGGCATCAAGAACGAAAAAAAAAGAAGAGGTAGAAAAATAAAAGCCAGACAACATCTTTGACAAGAATGTGTTTGTACCTGGGCCTAAAATGGCAAACTTCTCACTGCGCTGGCCCTGACCTAGATAGCCGCTGCCCATAATCCTGCTGATTTCCTCTGCTGCTCAGACAGGCCTCATGAGTTTACCTATTAAATTCACGAGAGGTATTCCAAAGCGGGAAGCACTAATAAGATTAGCATGTGTTAAATAGTGCTTAATTAGCTGACCCGTACGAACGTTAGCGTCGAGGATTTAACCCTTTGCCGCCTGTTGTTGAGTTGGTATTTGAAGTTGCAGGTGTAGCTGTGATGCAGACATTTAATAGCAGATGTGAAATCCAAGAAGTGGCAGAATAAGTCAAAAAGAGTCCTCTAGGCCAGGGCGAGGAAACGGAGAGCAGGGGAAGGGAAGAAGAGTGTGATGGCAAGGGAGATAGAGACTAGATGTTGGCCCTCAGGGTTAGATGGAGAAAGTTGTGTGTGTGTGTGTGTGTGTGTGTGGGGGGGGGGGTAGTGAGGATGTACAGGGGAGTGCAAGTAAGTGAGAAAAAGAGAGAGGGACAAGTTTCTAGGCTAACCCCGACCCCTGGTCCTGTACAGAGAGCCTTTATGAGGCCCGGGCGCAGCCTGTCTCAGCACTCAAACTCCAAATTCCACCGAGGTTTGTGGACAGGATAGCAGCGAGTTACTGCTGCTAGGAAAAGCTTCATTCAGAAGGGATGGTGCTCACACACACACACACACACACACACACACACACACACACACACACACACACACACACACACACACACACACACACACACACACACACACACACACACACACACACACACACACACACACACACACACACTGGGAGAGATGCGACCCTCACTGAAACCTTTCAGTTAGAGGAAACAGAATTTTGGAGCGAGGACAGTTAAAAATAAACCGATCTCCAGATCCTTCACCATGATCGCACAAGGAAGATGGTGTTATGTATTTAAACCCGTCCTTTCGCTAGCAATAGTCTGAACTTGGCGCACTCTGCTGAAAAGCTGGAGTTGGCACAGCGACTGAAACAGACTTTCTGTCAGGAAAAGTCCAACTCAGCCATGCTGGAAGGGCTGAGACCGCACAGAGGTTTGCTTTAATACGTGCCATCACAGCAGACAGTGTGTAGAAGCTGTGTTTGTGTGTTACTTCCAGACTGCCACCTTGTTGTGTTTGGCTACACCCTGAGCATGCCTGATATCCAGTGATTCTACCTCTCCCCCTCAAAAACCACAAGCAAACTGTGTGACGTCCCTTCACTCACAGGTTACAGCACAATAAGCAGAAGTTCTGTTAAACTTCTCCACAAACGTCCAGCAGGTGATTTCACGCATGATTTATGCATTTGAAATGTGATTTAGACAAACATAAAAATTATTAAAAATTTCATTTATTTTTAATTTAATCTCATTAAAGTAAATACAAATGGTGTAACAACACTCCTCACCTGTGTACAACTCTGCGTTGCATCTGCAGCATAGAAAATACTGTAAAAGACAAAATCCAGGTAGTGGGACACCTGCCAAAGTGTCACAGCTCCTGTGTAAACCCTGACTGCTGTTGCACAGAAATGGGTCACCCCTGCCTGCATAATCCCTTTCACAAGAGAGTCACAACGTGAACGAAACACCAGGAACGCTTACCTCTGCCTCCTGCTTTCCCGAATGGTCCCTCAAGCCGTGATGGAGATGCTGAGGGCTCCAGGACTCAGCCAATATTGAGAGGTTGCACGGGGTGATATTTAGAAGGGAGGGTGTGTGTTTTTTGTGGATGGGACAAGTGTCTAGGTGTGTGTGTGTGTGTGTGTGTGTGTGTGTATGTGTAGGTCTGTGCGCGCCGGTGGACCTGAGTGCCCTGCCGCTTATGTGTGAAGGTAGGCACTGAGGCTGATTGGGCCAGAGCAGATTGCTTTTGGTCACTCTGAGTGCGCCCACCCCACACTGTACACACACACACACACACACACACACACACACACACACACACACACACACACACACACACACACACACACACACACACACACACACACACACACACACACACACACACACACACACACACACACACACACACACACACACAAACACACACACACACACACACACACACACACACACAAACACAAAGAGAAACGGGAGACCAAAGCGCCCCCTTGATGAGAAAAGTCATGTTTTATCCCTTACAAGAGTGTCCATTATTTTTTTAAGAGGGAAATCAAAGAGAAGAGTTTGTCCTTCCTTTCCTGAGGTGAAACTCAGGCATGTGGCTCTTTCATGTATGAGAGGATCCATGGGGCCCTTGTACACAATGGGACCTCTGTAAGGAGCCCCTGTTAGCATGGTGCTGAGAGGAGGTCCCAGCTCAGAGGAAGGTCCCTGCCCTCCTTCCTTCTCGGTTTAAGCAGCTTTCTCTTCGCGTCGTCTCTCGCTCACCAATGCTCTTAAGCTGCAGATCTGGGTTCAGTCCTGACAGATGTGTAGTGGTTTGATTTGTGGGAAAATTATCTGATCTTGTTTCAGAGCCATAGGGGAGTAGTTCCTTTGTAGTTCTGTACAGACCTTCAAAAAAAAAAAAAAAAAAAAAACTACAGACAGTTTGTAATTAATGTCCAAAAACATAAAAAAGAGAGAATTTTGCCACAACCTGCCCACCTCTCCACTCACTAATCTGATGGTAACTCTAGACTTTTTGATGAGTGAAAGGAAGCAGGAGGAAAAGGAGAAATCAGTCTGCACCTGCCACAGGAGCTCAAATTACAAGCCAGAGCTCTACCTCTCTGAGACAATATTACAGAGACAGGAATTAGAGGAAAATTTACAAACAAAATCATGTTTTGGACAATTATTTAATGCATGAAAGAGAGAATTAGGCTGAAATAGAAATTTCATAGCAACAATCACCAAATCAGTGCTTTACATCAGTGTTATAATAACATTAAAATGTCTCACTGGAATGTGAAAAGTTATTTGCAGAAACTAATAAAAGCTATTTTTATTCAAAATCACCAAACTTTTTTTTTGTCTGATAAAACACGAGGATGATACAACAAAGAGGTGGATTATTGGAAGATCTTTAAAAATGGAGCTACAAATAAACTTTTCATGTGAAAAAGAAATTCAGCTGTCTCGTTACAATGGGAAATGGCTGCATTTTATTTTGAAAAGGTGGCAGTAAAACATATCCACGCTTCTAGTAGTTTTTACCTCCAAAAGATTTAGCATGCACTTCCTTAACATGCACATCCTTTACTTGCACTGCCTTAACAAGTAAGAAATAAAATGCTTCCAAAGAAATCTGTATATTGGTCAAAGAAAGAGAAGGTGGGTATAACTTAAGAGGGAAATGGAATTTAAAAATGAAAAGTGCTAGAGCAACTTTAAAAACTATGTCAATCACAATTGCAGGAGTTAAATTATGCAACAGACTAACAGAAGAAATAAAAGAAAGTAAAAACATAAACCAGTTTCAAGTAAAATATAAAATCCTAATTTTAAATAAGTATAAGAATGAATAAAACAGGGTTAACCCAGAACAGTAAAGTGGCTGGTGATGCTGTTGTGCTTATTTTTCGGTGTTTTTGGTTTGTTTATTTGTTTTTTTCTTCCATAACTGGTGAATCTGCATGCTTTCGTTCTTTTTTAAACACAGAAACAGTTTTGTTTACCTGTTTGTAGCTACAATTTCGCCGACAGCTGCCGGCTTCTTCAGGCTGACGCTGATGGTGGCGCGTCACTTCCTTCTCCGTTTATCTGCGGGCAGCAGAGGACGTTGTCGCCCTCTACTGCCCGCTCTCCCCTCTTCGACGATGCAGTCCCATGCGTGGTCCAGCGTGTAAACTCCGTCGTCCCTGTTCATGGTCCCACATCCACGTCTCCTTATCTCTATTGCTTCCTTGATCCATCTTTTGTATTTTTGTTGTTCGGTGGTTATGATCCGTGTGTTGTCCCAGTCCATTATATGGTTTTCTCTTAAGCAATGATCTGTTACGGCTGACTTTTTTATTGTACTTTCTGCTTCTTCTTTTGCTGCTCTTGTGTGTTTACGATTTGCCTCTTTCTCGCACTCCTTTCTGTGTTCTATTGTCCGTGTATTGAGTTGGCGTCCGGTTTCTCCTATGTATGTTTTATTGCATATTTTGCATGGGATTTCGTAGATGACTCCACATTTTTGTCCAGCTGGTATCTTGTCTTTTGGGTGTACTAGTCTGTTTCTAACTGTTGTGTATGGCTTTGTTGGTGTGTTTATGTTGTGTTTTTTCATTGTCGCTCTTATTTTTTCCGTTATGCCTCTGATGTATGGTAGGGTTATCACTGGTTTTGGTTCTTGTCTTTCTGGGTTTCTGGTTCTTTTTTTGGGTTGTTCTTTGCTTTCTGTTTTTGTTTGTTGTTTTCCTTTGTTTATTGCCCATGTCGGGTATCTGCAGGTCTTTAAAGCGTGTTGTATGTGTTTGTCCTCTTGTTTACGGTCTCTCTCTTCTGTTACCATGTTTGCTCGGTGATATAATGTCCTGATTACTGACATTTTGTGTATGGTGGGGTGTTCTGATGTCCATAATAGATATTGGTCTGTGTGTGTTGGTTTCCTGTATGTGTTTATGTTTAGGGTCCCGTCGGTCTGCCTGGTGATTTTCATGTCCATAAATGCTATGCTGCCTTCTGTTTCTAACTCATAAGTGAATTTTATGTTGCCTGTGTCTTCAATATTGTTTAAGTGTTGTGTTAGTGTTTCTGTTTGACCTTTTGGTATGATTTCCAGTATGTCGTCTACGTAGCGTTTCCATAGTTTTATTTTGCAGTTTGGGGGGGCGGTGGCTATGGCTTTTTGTTCCTGGTCTTCCATGAAAAACTCGCACAGGGTGGCTGATAATGGGTTACCCATGGCGAAGCCTTCCAGTTGTTTGTATATTGTGTTGTCGTATGTGAAGTAAGTGGAGTTAGCTACCAGTCCTATCAGTTGTGCTATGTCATCTGCTGTGAGTTTTGTCCTTTTATGTAAAGTTTTGTCTTGTCTGATTCTGTTAACTACTATGTCTATGGTTTTTTGGGTTGGTGTTTTTGTGAACAGAGATGTGACGTCATGTGAGATGAGTATGTCGTTGTCTTCTATTGTAATTTCCTTTAGTTCTTTTGCCAATTCTATGCTATTTTTGCAGTGTTGGTCTGTATTTCCTAATAACGGGCTGATTATTCTGCTGATATCTTTTGCCATGTTGTATGTTGGTGTACCTATGCTGTCAACTATTGGTCTAAGTGGGGTGTTTTGTTTATGTATTTTTGGTGTTCCATATATTCTTGGTGTTATGTTTGCTGTGGGAATCCAGTGTTTGTACATTTTTTCTGTTATTTTGCCTTTTTTGTGCAGTGGCTTCAGTAATTTTTTCATGTTTTTCTTAATGTTTTCTGTTGGATCTTTTTTAAGTATTTCATATGTATTTTTGTCTTCTAGCATCTGTTTCATCTGTTGTTTATATTTTTCTCTGTCCATAACTACTGTGGTTCTTCCTTTATCTGCCGGTAGAATAATTATCTGTTCATTTTTGGATAAAGCTGTCATGGCTGATTGTTCTTCTTTTGTAATATTGCTGTGTTGAATTTGGCTGTTTTTTAATATCCCAACTACGTTATTTCTGAGTTCTGCTTTCTTTCCCTCATCTGTGATCTGTTGACATGCTAGTTCTGTTGCTACAATAAATTCATCATATGGTATTTCTTTTGGTGTGACTGCAAAGTTTAAACCTTTCTTTAATATGCTCTCTTCTGCTTCTGTTAGTTTGTATTGTGAAATGTTACATACCCATGTGCATTTGCAGTCACACCAAAAGAAATACCATATGATGAATTTATTGTAGCAACAGAACTAGCATGTCAACAGATCACAGATGAGGGAAAGAAAGCAGAACTCAGAAATAACGTAGTTGGGATATTAAAAAACAGCCAAATTCAACACAGCAATATTACAAAAGAAGAACAATCAGCCATGACAGCTTTATCCAAAAATGAACAGATAATTATTCTACCGGCAGATAAAGGAAGAACCACAGTAGTTATGGACAGAGAAAAATATAAACAACAGATGAAACAGATGCTAGAAGACAAAAATACATATGAAATACTTAAAAAAGATCCAACAGAAAACATTAAGAAAAACATGAAAAAATTACTGAAGCCACTGCACAAAAAAGGCAAAATAACAGAAAAAATGTACAAACACTGGATTCCCACAGCAAACATAACACCAAGAATAGATGGAACACCAAAAATACATAAACAAAACACCCCACTTAGACCAATAGTTGACAGCATAGGTACACCAGCATACAACATGGCAAAAGATATCAGCAGAATCATCAGCCCGTTATTAGGAAATACAGACCAACACTGCAAAAATAGCATAGAATTGGCAAAAGAACTAAAGGAAATTACAATAGAAGACAACGACATACTCATCTCACATGACGTCACATCTCTGTTCACAAAAACACCAACCCAAAAACCATAGATATAGTAGTTAACAGAATCAGACAAGACAAAACTTTACATAAAAGGACAAACCTCACAGCAGATGACATAGCACAACTGATAGGACTGGTAGCTAACTCCACTTACTTCACATACGACAACACTATATACAAACAACTGGAAGGCTTCGCCATGGGTAACCCGTTATCAGCCACCCTGTGCGAGTTTTTCATGGAAGACCTGGAACAAAAAGCCATAGCCACCGCCCCCCCAAACTGCAAAATAAAACTATGGAAACGCTACGTAGACGACATACTGGAAATCATACCAAAAGGTCAAACAGAAACACTAACACAACACTTAAACAATATTGAAGACACGGGCAACATAAAATTCACTTATGAGTTAGAAACAGAAGGCAGCATAGCATTTAT